TTGAACACTGCCAGGGATGGGGCAGCCACAGCTTCTCTGGGCACCCTGTGCCAGCGCCTCAGCACCCTCACAGGGAAGAGCTTCTGCCTAAGAGCTCATCTCAGTCTCCCTTCTGGCAGGTTAAAGCCATTCCCCTTGGCCTGTCCCTACATCCCTTGTCCCAAGCCCCTCTCCAGGTTTCCTGCAGCCCCTTCAGGCACTGGAGCTGCTCTCAGGTCTCCCCTTCAGGAGCCTTCTCTTCTCCAGGCTGCCCCAGCCCAGCTCTCTCAGCCTGGCTCCAGAGCAGAGCTGCTCCAGCCCTCACAGCATCTCCGTGGCCTCCTCTGGCCTCGCTCCAACAGCTCCACCTCTCTTGTGTGCTGCTGCCCCAGAGCTGGATCAGGACTGCAAGGGGGGTCTCCCCAGTACGCAGCAGAGGGGTAGAATCCCCTCCTATGTCAAACTAAACTAAAGGGGAAGGTGATGAATGGGCATCCTATTTTTTATTATATTTCCCTTGCTGGTTGAACATCAGGAATTCTCCTCTGCTGCCAACAAAGCAGCACAGGAGTCTCACTGCCAAGTGGAGTTGCAGGCTACATTCTGGTGAGTCTGCAGGACTCCTATGGCAGAGGAGATGCTTCTATTACCAGTAAAATGCCCAAAAGAGAATTGTGTCAGATAGAAAAATGAGGCTGTGGAAGCTTTAATGCCTTATCAGTACCTTGGCCTCACCCACTCTCCTCAAGAAACACAAGAACATAGCTCCAAAATAATGAAAAGCAGTTCAATCAATCTCAATCATACCATGGTGCAACCTTCCATGTCCTCAGCTAAGAGGGAATCGAAAAAGGCTCTTGAAATGTAAGAAGTATTAAAAGGCATAAATCAGAAAACAGCAAATGAAAGCCTGTGTCTGACAGAAGCAATGGATACAACTACAACTGCTGGCAGTTTCTCTTTACACTTCATCTATCCTTCTCTGTCATAATCCTGAAGTGAACAGACGCTTTTGCAGATTGCAAAGACCACCTTTGGTAGTGCAGCAGTCTTGCATGCTTCAGGTGGAAGCTGCTGTAACTGGGTGTTCTGCTTTGGTTACCAATCAGTGCATTTCAGCATTTTAGTTAGCATCTTTTTTTTACACTTGAGCTTGAAGATTCTCCTTGGTTTCTTTACCCCTGATAAAAACCTAGCATTGAACTCACCTGCAATACAGCCGTCTGTTCTTTCCTGAGATTTGTAGGTCTCTCCCCAAGGCAGAGGGCACTTCTCTTTCATAGTATGCCTGCAAGTGTTCCTCAGTCTGTATTTCTCTTTGGACCCTGTAAGCTGCTGGTTGCCTGCCAGTGCCCATGGTGTCGTTGAGCGCCATGGTTTCCTTCTGACCAGAGTCAGGCACATACAGAGGAACAGCAAACGCTGGAGACCACCAGAAACACCTTCCTGGCACTGAGACTGGAAGAAAGAAACAGGATCACTGATGAAGTATCTACTAAACCCAAACCAAAAAGTGTAAGTTTTTGCCCAAAGTAAGTCCTGTGAAGCCAGTAGTTACAGCAGGGATAAGCAAGGCTCTGGAGACTGAAATCCATGAAAGACATGCTGCTCTTGGGATCAAACAAATCAGTTGCCAAATCAGTTGTAGGAATACCAGGTCCTTCTAGAACTTGTCTTGTTCTTATTTGTCTTGTTCCTACTTTTCCTAGGGAAAAGCAGCACCCCTCTGTTTTGTGATCCCAAAAGCAGGGCTGTGTTTAGGGAACTAAATACAGTCACTCTCCATAAACTTATCACAGCTGAGGAAACAGTTTGAATTCTCCTTGTTTCCAATCTTGGGGAAAAAAAGGTTGAGTCTGAATCATACAGAGAGCAGCTAAATCTGTGGCTGTTAAAATGCCACAACTTGCTGTATAAAACTGGTATCTGATACCATTCAGGTTTTTAAATACTGAAAATGACTGACTTGTGTTCCTTAGAATTTTAGCACCAGGAAGGAGATCTGAATTCAATCACTGTCTCTCAGAATAGGTAAGTTGTGCTTTCCCAAAGTGAATACTGAGTAAAGTAAAAGGCCAGTGCAAGAGCAGATCTAAGACAAAGTTCTCATGCCAACAGCTGAGGCAGAAAATAAATTCAAATCCAGAGCTACCAAGTAAAAGTGCATTTAAGAAGGGTGGTGACATGTAGCAACATACTTTTTGCTATGGGCAGAACTAAGAAAGAGTAAATATAAAAAGTCTGCAAGTAGGCAGTTGACACTCTACTCAGAATGCAGTTTAAGTTTCGAGTAAAAATACTATAGAATCATACAATGGTTTGGGCTGGAAAGGACCTTAAGATCATCCAGCTCCAACCCCTGCCCCAGGCAGGGACAACTTCCACTGGAGCAGCTTGCTCCAAGCCCCTGTGTCCAACCTGCCCTTGAACACTGCCAGGGATGGGGCAGCCACAGCTTCTCTGGGCACCCTGTGCCAGCGCCTCAGCACCCTCACAGGGAAGAACTTGTGGCTAAGTCCTAACCTGAACTTGCCCTGTTTCAGTTTGAACCCATCACCCCTTGTCCTATCACTGCAGTCCCTGATGAAGAGTCCCTCTCCAGCATCCTTGGAGCTCCCTTCAGACACTGGAAGCTGCTCTGAGGTCTCCATGCAGCTTCTCTTCTCCAGACTGACCAGCCCCAGTACTCTCAGCCTATCTCCACATGGGCGGTGCTCCAGCCTCTGATCATCCTCATGGCCTCTTCTGGGATCATCCTCATGGCCTCTTCTGGGATCATCCTCATGGCCTCTTCTGGGATCATCCTCATGGCCTCCTCTGGGATCATCCTCATGGCCTCTTCTGGCCTTGCTCCAACAGGTCCATGTCTTTCTTATGTTGGGGACACCAGAATTGCACACAGTGCTGCAAGTGGGGTCTCGTGAGAGTAAAGGGGCAGGATTACCTCCTTTGACCTTCTGGTCATGCCAACCCAGGATATGGTTGGCAAATCATTGGGATTTAAGTTTTCTCCTCATCTTTAATTTCCTGACCCACCAGGATCAGTTTTTATAGGTCTAATGCTTTGCATCACTGAGATCTGCTACTTCTGATCCAGCAACTCAGTGCAGTATTTACTGTCTTGTGAGACATCCACCAACACATACACAAGTCCCAGTCATTCTAAACCACAGAGATTTAGTAGTAGGCAAGTCTCAAACACCTTCCCTAGGGCACAGCTTCTCCCTCATTTTAAAGAGGAGATAAATCAATGTCTTTCACAGATGAATTTAAGAGCCATTTCTTTCATTAGCTTTTTATAACCAGTCCACGCATTTGAAGCCTGAGCTGACATCTTTGAGCACCATCTCCTCTTTTCAAGGCTAGGTAATCAAGAAGCAAAATTAAGAAGATGCTAGAGTTTGCAAAGTGAAGGTATTGAAAAGGCACACCAAGAAGTAGTTCTTTGTTAGATGCAAGCAGTGGTAATGTACAGTTTTTCACTCCCGTTATTTGCACTTCAGTGATGGCTCGCAGCAGCAGAGGACAGGGTCCCACACTATTATGCTGCACAGACAAGGGTTTTGCTGTGGAAAAATGTTTTAAAAACAGAATACGTTTGTCCTGCACAGGACTGCAAATGAGACTCATCTTCTTCAAACTTGAGGTCAAAAGCAATGTTTCCTTAAACACAAATCCCTATTTGCTGTGATATTCCTGGCCTGTACAATCACCAGTGCGGCAGCAGGGCCAGGGCAGGGATTGTGCCCCTGCGCTGGGCACTGGTGAGGCCGCACCTCGAATCCTGTGTTCAGCTCTGGGCCCCTCACTGCAGGAGAGACATTGAGGTGCTGGAGCGGGGCCAGAGAAGGGCAGCGGAGCTGGTGCAGGGCCTGGAGCACAAGTGTGATGGGGAAGGGCTGAGGGACCTGGGGCCTTTAATCTGGAGAAGAGAAGGCTCAGGGGGGACCTGATGGCTGCCTACAAGTGCCTGAGAGGAGGATGGAGCCAGGAGGGGCTGGGCTCTGCTCCCAAGGAACAAGGGATGGGACAAGAGGAAACGGCCTCAAGCTGCCCCAGGGCAGGTTTAGATGGAGCTGAGGAACAATTCCTGCCCCAGAGGGTGCTCAGGCATTGGAACAGGCTGCCCAGGGCAGGGCTGCAGTCACCGTCCCTGCAAGTGTTCACACAACGTGGAGACGAGGCCTCAGTGCCATGGGTTAGGGGTGGCCTTGGAAGTGGTTGGACTGGATGAGAGTAAAGGGCTTTCCCAGCCTGATTCATTCTATGATTCTGTACTTACAACCTGGTGAAGACACAATGGGCTCCAGTCAAAAACATGCTTAACCTGTAGCACTTGACTTCATGAAGTCTTAAGCATGTACTTGAAAGCAAGCACATACCTCTCTTTGATACTGCAAGGCCTACCACAGTATTGTCTATTCTCCAAACACACACAGGAAGATCAGGGCAATCTGGGCAGGGAGATCGTCGCTCGCCCCATTTCACCGGGCTTGCAGCCACTGGAATGGAACAAAGCGTCCACAGTAAGAGCTTGTAAGACTTTATAAGCAGTAGAGCTGCAATTACCCTGATTGACACGGGGCGGGCTGCTGCTCTGCAGGGACAACGGCAGGTCACCCTGCGCCTCAGAAGGGTTTACCTATGTTCCTTCGTTTTGCTTAATGAAAGCACGGCCTGCAGGGACACTGCGCAGGAGAGCCAGGCAGGGCTCGTGCACGGGAGAAACAGGGGCGCCAATTCCCGAATTACCGCTTCATCCACCGGAGAACGTTTCCGCGAGGCCCACCCCCACCCGGGAAACCGAGAACGTTTCGCGGGCGGCGCAAGCGGCCGCGCCAGGCGAGGGGGTGCGCGCGCGCGCGCGAGCGGGCGTGAGGGGACGGCGGCGGCGACGGCGGCGGGGCGGGCGGTGCTGGTGCGGGGCCGCCCCCGCCCGCTGGAGGAGCGAGGTGGGGAGAGGAGAAGAGGAAAGAAGGAAGAAGTTGGTGCTGCTGCTGGGGGAGGTGGCGGCACGGCAGCGGTGGGGGGGTGGTGGTGCTGGTGGTGCTGCTGCAGCCGCGGGCAGAGCCTTCCCCTCCCGCCGGGCCGGGCGGGGCGGGCTTCGGAGCAGAGATGTCTCAGGAGCGGCCCAAGTTTTACCGGCAGGAGCTGAACAAGACGGTGTGGGAGGTGCCCGAGCGCTACCAGAACCTTTCCCCCGTCGGCTCCGGGGCCTACGGTTCCGTGTGGTGAGTGCCGGGAGGGGGACTGGGGGTGGTGGGGGTGTGTGTGTGTATGCGGCGGGGGCTCCCTCGGCCTCCGCGGTCTCCTATTAGTCCGCAAGGTTTTTACCAGCAAGAAGCGCTGCTCCTCCCGATCTGGGAGCGGTGCTGCCGGGAAGCCGCAGTCTTGGTCTTTGGAATGCGGCGGGGATTGCACCACATGGCAGGTGGCACTAAAACATTTTTGCAGGGGAAGATAATCGTGTTCCAACCCTTCCCCCCCAATGATCTCATATGGACATATTTCACCGAGCTTCCTTGCAGTTCGTAGGTGGGGGGTGGAGAGGGATGGAGACTGGCAAGTCCCTCTGCAGAGCTGAGGGCCTGGCAGCTCTTGTCCCTGTGCCTTTCTGGACCTGAAGAATATATTTGAGACAATTGTATTTTTAATCTGTTGATGGGCAGGGAAAGTAGAAGGAAGGCTAAGAGAGCTGTTTTTGCACCCCTGCCTTGTTTACCAGTATCGACGTTTTCTTGCAATGTAGATCAACAGAGGAAAACTCGTTTTATTGCTATAGAATGACAGAATTACTGCAGTATGCACTGCCTGGGAGAGTAAAGTCCTTGTGTGAGAGCTGCAGAGATACAGAGAGCTTGAAGATAAGAGTTTCGTTTTTAATGTTTAAGGGGCAGAGCATCTGACTGGTTACATATGCGAAATACAGCACTGACTTAATATGTAGTTTCTCTGCTGAAGTATGTTGGATCATTAAACATAAATTAAGTGGATTGCATGCATCGTTTAATCTTAAAGACAGGGTTGTATTTGAATCAGTTTGATGTCTGGACTTCAGCAGTCACGTAGTACAAACGTGTTCACAGTATAAATAGGAAATGTTTTCCACATGAACATTCTGGTTTTTATTCTTTGGCTCTCTCTAGGTGTGATCTCAATTTTCAAATCTGTGTGCATCATGATTGCTGCTAGATTTGAGCAGGCATGCATATTTCTTGGCATAACATGCAAATTCGTATTATGAATATCATGTTCCATGCTAAGGAGGGATGCATGCTGCAGTCTGCTAGTAAAGTAAAAGGAGCTGTTTTGCATGTGCTGCAGTTTTAAAAAAAAAACATGTTCTCAGCTGTTCTTACCAGCAATTTTATAGCGGTAGGTTAAGTTCAGCTTAAGTAACAGGCATTTCTTAAAGCTGCTATGCCTCAAGTATGCAAATGCTTGTATTTCATGACAAAGGCTGGTCAAGTCAAGTTGCAGGACTATCCACTGTAGTTCTGAGGTTTTTTACATAGAGGGGTTTAGTCTGGTGGAAATAACATTTGGGCCTCTCTGCCACAGCTGATAAATACCCCGTTAGTGCCGCAGAATGACACCACCCCCCCAAATGTAATGGGAGCTCAATTTGTGCCTTGCCTTGTCCACTGTATTTTGAAGGTTGCCCCTACACCTTCTAGCTCATTCCTCTTCTATTCCCTCCCCTCCTTTTCCCAGTCTCCATTGTGCCTCTGATACTTACAAAGTTTGTTTTCACAACCAATAACTGGAGGCTTTGCATCATGAATTTCCTGTTTTGCTATGTCAAAATTTTCAAAGATTGTGCAACTGTGTTCACAGCAGATGAAACAGTTCGGTGTTGGAAGCGATTCCAGTCATGTGGCACGAGTCTCTTTACATTCTGTGTTAATGGTTTTCTGTATGTTCTAAAAGTATGTTTCAGAAAAGATATAGTCCAGAAAGACTGGTGATGTGGAAAGGGTGTCAGAATTAAATAAACCCCCTTGCATATATATGTATATCTTATTAAGCTGCAAATGATGATGTATTTAGGATATTCCTGCAGCGACTTGTCCTGCTCTCTGTCCCTTTGGAGATTTTTCTCTTCAGTAATAAGTTACCTGGTTTCATTTGTGACTTTGAGGTTGTCCCTCTGTGTTTGAATAGTAAATTGCAGGGTTTTAACTACCCTTAAACTGAATGTTTAAATATACTTCCATGTATGCCTACTGTATCATTATATTAGAGCAAATAAAATGTTCTGGGTTTCATTTAGTTGTCAAGATGAGGCATTTATAAATGAATTTGTAGAAGGGGGGAATTAATAAAAAATAATTAAACTAGCAGATAATAATTTAGACTATGGAGCTGTATGCTATACGCTGCTTCAAGTGTCTAGTGTGAGTGTGACTCGGAACACCCCAACACAAGAACCCGACTTTATTTTGCAGTCAGTGGCTGGAGAGAAGCACTTTCTAAAGGAAAATGGGCATGGAGCACCGTGCTTAGAGCACATACCCCAGTGTTTTCTGAAGTATTATGTGTAGTATCAGAAAAATGACATTCAAATGGCCAACTTGGGGGGGTTTCAGTACCTGTTTTTTAAAAAAACTGGAAGTACGTGGAGATGCAAGTAGGGATTCAGTTCCAAACCTTCAAGAAATACCGATATGTGTCCTCAGATTGATCATTACTAAGTCACGTAGCAGTCGCTGTGACATCTGTTGTGTGAAATGCTATTTCATTTATTCTTGCAACAATTTTGTATATTCATATAACATATCTTGCATGAAGAAGATTTTTGTAACCAGGTCTACGCTAAAAGACATGTGGGCTCCTGACATATCAGTCTTGTAATACTCCACATGAGGAGAGGGGTGTAGAGAATGCTTGTTTGTAGACTGTCGAGTTTTGTGGCCCTTCCAAAACCTGTGACTTCCTCCCATTTGGCCCACAGTTGTACCAACACCGACTGGATATCCTGGAGATTACAAAGATACTGAGATAATTTCCCTGTTTTTAAACTAACATAGAAACATTATTGGTTTAAGAAATTTCGAAACATTAGGCTCCAGAGGAATCACAGAATCAACCAGGCTGGGAAAGATGTTTAAGCTCATCCAGTCCAGCTGTTCCCCAGCACTGCCAAGGCTACCACTAACCCATGGCACTGAAGGCCTCGGCTACATGGTATGTGAACACTTGCGGGGCCAGTGACTCCAGCCCTCCCCTGGGCAGCCTGTTCCAATGCCTGAGCACCCTTTGGGGAAGGAATTGTTCCTAATCTCCAGTCTAAACCTCCTTTGGCACAGCTTTAGGCTGATTCCTCTCGTCCTGTCACTTTTTACTTTGAGAGGAAACCAGCCCCTACCTGACTACAATCTCCTGTCAGGCAGTCAGTCTCCTGTAGAGAGCAGTAGGGTCCCCCCTGAGACTTCTCCAGACTAAACTATCCCAGTTCCCTCAGCTGTTCCTCAAAATGAAAATTAAATGAAGTAACCACCCTAAATTCACCTTTGTTGTGCCTCCATGGACTTTTTGTTTCTTTTTACTAATGCACTTTAAGTTTACTAATCCCTTATCAAAAGTGTTCAGGTGCCTCCAGAGTATGTATGCACTCAGAGGTACAGGTGCCGGCTGCTCCAGTAAGGTGTGGTAGATAGGTGAGGAGTGATATGAAGAGGATATAAAAGTGAGTAGGATGAAGCAGCCTTGCAGGTCGGATTAGCAGAACACAGGAGGGGGGAATTCCACAGGTGAGGAGCTCTGAAAGTGAAGGCAAGAAATGACATCACTGTGAGCACATCTGTCCTACAGAGATTTTTATTGCAACTTTCTGAGAAGCAGCAGCCAACAAAGTAGAGGAGAATGAGACTTACGACTTTTTATAGTGTTTTGTGAGGGAAGCGACTGACATGCACATGTAGACTGAACTCTGCAGCAGCAGGTGTTCATGATAAACTGCCAAGTGGGTTTTTTCTGCCTGTAACTAGAGGTGCATAAGTAAATTCCAAAGGTACCACCAGAAAGGTTCAGTTGCCTTGGGTATTGGCATAGGTGCTGATGGTAAGCAGCATGCTATTTGGTAAAAGTCTGCACAAAAAATTAACATTCTGATTATCAAATGTTTAAATAAATTGCTTTCTTTAATTTTGTGTGTACTTTAATTCCCCAGAGAACTTCAAATGTTACAGAAGTAACATTTAGAAGTTAGATGTTGAACCAGTGGATATATTCTCTAAAATAGCTGTTTTCTTCTAGCTCTTCTGTTCTGGATTCAGTTCAAGTTAGCTCAGAATGATACTTCTAGCTTGCTTAGGGTGAGGTGGATGCAGTTTGTGGGCCATAGCACAATACCATGCAATAAGTTAAAAAAAATGATAAATGCAGAATTCCTGCTGATCTTGTTTTAAAAAGGATTTAAAACTGTGGCTCATGCATTTTGTTTCCTATCTGGGCTTTTTTTTAGCTGAAACACCATCAGTGTAATGCAGCTGTTTTAAGTCTGTGATGAAAGTCAGCTTAATGTTCTTTAAACCCTTCTCCAGCCTGACAGCTCTTCTGTAGTGTGTGTTCTACGCGTGAAAACCATAAGGCAGTTATGTGTATCGGCAGAAAATTATTCAGCATGCCTTTATCTGCAGGGAAATAGTCTTTAGGCCTCAAATATGACTGAACATAGAGTTCTTCTGACTTCAAGAGCAGCTTTAGGTTGTGAATGTGCAGTAATAGAAAATTTTCTTTCCTGGGCTTGTGCATTATGTTGATTAAATGGTTTTATGTTGGTTAAATGGTTTCTCAGTACTGCCGATTGCATCTCTTGTTGGAAGTTGTACATCTACAGGGGAATGATGACTTGATATGGCCCCCAAAACGTCATTAAAAAGATGAAATTGAATTTCCTTTGGAGTCTGAAATAGCTGATGTTGGTGGCTCTCAATTCTGTTTTAAAGACAACCTGGTGGAAAATGAGAGAGGGATCTGACTGTGTAGCCATGAAGATGGTTAATATGAAGGGGATCCCCTTCTTTTCAAGATGAAAGGGATACTGGTGTATGCTGCCTTTGTACTCAAAACATTTGAAAACTGCTAAAGATACCTGATTAATTCCCAACAATGTGTTAAATTATGATGAGTAACCTTATTTTTGCTCTAAATCCTAGAAACCATCTTGATTATCATTAAAATACTGTAATACAATTACAGCCTGAATTAGGGATGTTTATATATTGCAAAATGGTTTACTTCAAAAAAACCTGAATACCAATATTCTAGTGAGGTGTGAGAACTTGCTGGTTTGAAAACAATGTTAAAAAGTGAATCCTTAATATCTGCTTTTGTTCATCCAAGCCGAATGAGGGGATCTGGTGAGTGGAAATGGTCAGTAATGGGCATGATCTGGGGCAGTCAGTAATGGGCATATCCTTGGTGATCCTGTGATCTACTGTGTAGCTGTATGGCCATGGCTCTTCCCACTCGGTGTGTGAATGTGCCCCTGTACAGAGAGAGGAGGAGATGCTTTTCCTCCTGACTGCCCAGTGGGTTTTCCCACTCTTGCAAGATCTGGCAGGGGAAGATTGCTGTTGGTAGAAACAAACTTCTTATTTTGTTTTCTATTTCTGATAAACCTCATCTAGCAAGTTCATGGAAACTGAGCAGCTCTGAGATAAGGAGTGTCTTTGCAAGTTAATTCCAGTTAGTTGCTTTAACAATAGATGACAACTACATGGGGAGGGGGGAAGGGGGGAGAAGGAATATACATTTGTGAGTTTGTTCTGGGGTGATTGGGTTTGAACCTTCTGTTAGCTGAGCTGCTACGCACATTTATCTTAGAGGGATTTTCCAATCTAGTTGATTCTGTGGTTCTGTGCTTATCAAGAGCTAGTGCATGCTCACTTTGAAATGGAGTTGGGAGTTTGCCCTAAATCAAACTGCAGCAGGAAAATAAACAAGTATTGTCCTTCTCTGACTTTCTCCAGTCCATGCTTTCCTCTTGTTTGTTACCTTGTATTGTATGACCTGGATTTCACATCCTCTCTTTCTCCTTCTCCTTCCCCTTCCTTTTTGATAAACCAGAGCTGTTTTAGGTAAGAACATCAAAGAAGAGACGAAAGAGGAGTAATTTGGTTCAGAGCTAAATAGCTTTACAGTTCTTTAGTTCCTCAAATATAAGCCCTGTGCTCAGGAAGATTTTATGCAATGTATCAGAAATTTAACATAATTCTTAATGTGTGAGATTTTTGTTTCAAACATATTAGGCTTCTGCTTCTTAATATTATAAAGAAGTTGTATAAGGACTTACTTCAAAAGGTGGTTTTACATTACAAAATACCAAGTATATATACATGTAAAATTGCCAGATCGTATGGAGTTAGTCTTTGTGGATTCTAATAAGAAATATTATTTATATATGCAAAGTTTCTGCTAAAGGGACAAGCTTTGGTCATGTACAGCTTAATATGATTTGTTTGTATACATGTTTTTGGTAACAGGACTTGAATTTTACATGTGATTTACCGAAGAAATGTGACTTCAGCTTCAAATGTGATTAACCATCACGGTTGATTTTTATTAGGCACAGACCTTGGATTTTTATACGGACTTTAAATCATAAAAGTATTTTGAGCACAGCATTTTGTGAAGAAGTGTGGTCTATGAAAATGTGTTCAGGAATACAGTTAATATTTAACAATATTTCCCTTTACTGTGTGAACAAGACTCATCTTCTATACATTTGCTGTAGAAACCAACAGTTGTGTCAGTATGTGGGGGTTTGGGGTGGGGGCATGGATTGTGGACCAGGATCTCTAGAAGTTAGTTTCATTGCAGGGATGAAGAAATGCTGTTGACTGTGGTTTAGTGTCCCAGGTAGCTGCTGTCTGGAGTTGTCAAATGTGGATTTGAAGGTGTTTATTAAAAAATGATTTTGCTAATTTGATTTCACTTTGTCATAGCTCTGCCTTTGACACAAAAACGGGGTTGCGTGTGGCTGTAAAGAAGCTGTCCCGACCATTTCAGTCTATCATCCATGCCAAGAGGACCTACCGAGAGCTGCGGCTGCTTAAGCACATGAAACATGAAAATGTAAGTTGAAGGAGTAAAAGTGAAGTATGAAAAAGTGGCCTGAAGTTGGACTGTCCAGAGAGCATCCATTGGGATTGGATGTTTGGATATTGGTCTAGTGTGAGGCGTCCCTACCCATTAAAAGGGAGGGTCAGAACTTGATGATCTTTAAGGTCCTTTCCTACCCAAACCGTTCTATGATTCTGTGCTTTTCTCCTAATGCTAAATACAAGGCTTTTAGTGGTCCAGGGATAGCTGTGGAAAAGCACGTAGATAAAAAGAAAAACCCAAACCCAATAAATACATAACCAGTATCTTAAATACATAACCAAACTAGTATTTCCTAGAATGATCTGGAAATTGCTGCTTCGCAGGTACATGCTGTCTTTAGGTTTTGGGACACAAGTGATATTTGGTTTGGCTTGCCTCTGTCAGGAGGATGTGGAGCAGATGATCACTATTTCTATAGGTAAAAGGGGTGAGAATTGGATGGCTTTTCATACGAGCCAGCCACTTAAATCATCAATAGGGAAAACAAATAGGATGTGACTAGTGTTATATTAAACTGTGTTTTGGTGTAACCCTAGTTTGGTGTAGAAAAAAGTTGTTTGACCAGTGCTGTGTGTTTGAGCCGTTAACATACCGTCACATTTATTTTGCATGCTGTTTGGAGCAAATAGTTTCATAGCCTGCCCTCTGTAGAGCTGTCAGGATTCAAAAGGAAAGGAAGGTTCTTGATTTCTTTTGTCTGAGCAAACTCCAGCTTAGCAGAAGGGAAATACTGTTTTGGAAGTAAGCTGAGCAAGCCCAGGACCTTTATCTAGCACAGAAAGCCAAATGAGCCTGATTTCATTGGCAGGTTCTCCTTGAATGGTCTGTTCAGATCTCTTGTGGCAGTGGTGGCTGTATGTTGTGGCTTCAGAGCACTGCAGTCAGCAGCTCATTACCCCTAAATCTTCTTGACATTTTTAGTGTGACTGATATAATTGGAAGTTTTAATGCGTATTCCCACTATTGTCAACAGTTCTTCCTCAGCACCTCTGTGTGATACCCATGCCTCAACAGCAGAGGTAGCATTTGATCCTGCTTAATATCCACCTCCTGGAATTCTTCTGGACATTTTCTCATAGCTGATGAAAGCTTTTAATATCTGTGTCTATACAAAAAAAAAAAAGAAACACCACCAACCAAGCAGCATATGAATCCATTTTTTCTAAGATAATAAGATTAAGCAATGAAAATGATATTGTGACTGGTGCTACAGAAGTTCTGTGTCTGACATACGTTAATATTTTTGGATTAGTGCTGCTAAAAGCCTATGTAGCTTTAGGAGTGAGTGATAAAAGGAAGTTGTTTGTATATGGAAATATTTATTATCAGTTCATCGTACTGTCATCTGTCTCTGGGAAGTTTATCTAGCTTGTGGTTTAAAAATCCTGCAGATGCAGAGATGTTCAGAGCTGGTTCAGGCAGGATCATCACTGCTGGTGTCTTGAATAGTCTCAATTTGGAAGTAAACTGCTTGGTTTTGCGTGGTACAGATGGCAGGAGCAAATCTGGAAGGTTCAGTGGGTTTTTAGGGGTAGATGAAGAGAACCCGTCTCTTCAGCTCATATATTCATAGAATAATATTTGCTATTAGGATGAGGAAAATAAGGTTTAAAAGCACATTTCAGTGAAAAATAAGAATAAAGTTTATCAACCAAATGGACATTTTTTTTTCTAATGCTTGATCTAGAAGACAATTATGGGATAATAAGGTAGAGTTCTTTCCCACCGAGTAACACAAGCATATCCTTTTCCTCTCTGATACAGCAGGTTAGGTACATATTGAAAGGTCTTTCTGCTCTTTTGGCAGAAAATACAAGTGACACTGTCACAACTGTCAGCTGTGTGTGAAAATTGTGTGCTCGTTGCATGGCTGTTTTCCTGACTTTTCCATTGTAGTTGTTATTATTCATTGCTTGTGTTATGGATCCTTGAATTTTTCTACCCGTTACTTTGGGACAAGTGAAACAAATCATAGAATCCCAGACTTGTTTGGGTTAGAAAGGAGCTTAAGATCATCCAGTTCCTACCCCCTGCCACAGGCAGGGACACCTTCCGCTAGAGCAGCTTGCTCCAAGCCCCTGTGTCCAACCTGGCCTTGAACACTGCCAGGGATGGGGCAGCCACAGCTTCTCTGGGCACCCTGTGCCAGTGCCTCAGCACCCTCACAGGGAAGAACTTGTGCCTAATATCTAACCTGAACATCCCCTGTTTTGAACCCATCACCCCTTGTCCTATCACTGCAGTCCCTGATGGATGCTCTCGTAATACTCTCCTAATTCTGATTTTAGCATGGAGTCAACAGTGTAACTAAGAACTGAGCAGGAAGTAGGCAGTTTTGTCTGGTGGTTTATTTTTTGTTGTTTTCTCATCCATTTATTTCCTGAACAAAACTTTAGATGCTTTTTGGAGTAAGTTAATCTCAACCACTGTTTACACCTGCCTTTAGTTACAGCTCCCATTTGATGCTCTAATTGGGTGGTTGGTGTGAAAAGACAGCTGTATATTTTTAACCTGAACTATTCTTTTATGCAAGAATTGAACATTTGCTTCTGATCTTGTATAAATACTAATGTGTTTATATCTGAATAATTCATGTAGTTGGAAATGAAACGGCTACTGGAATGAGTGGCTTCTGTTCCACAAAGGATCTTGGTAACTGTATCATATTATACTATGAATGTATTTCCCAGCTTTTTCACTGTACTGTTTTCTTTCTAGGTGATTGGCTTGTTGGATGTGTTCACCCCTGCCAAGTCTCTAGAAGAATTCAATGATGTGTAGGTAACTTCTCTTAAAACTGCAACAAAACATTTTTTGTGTCTTCCTTGCTTTTCCCAGATAGAATCATAGAATAGTTAGGGTTGGAAAGGACCTTAAGATCATCCAGTTCTAACCCCCCTGCCATGGGCAGGGACACCTCACACTAAACCATGGCACCCAAGGCTTTGTCCAGTCTTTCCTTGAACATCGCCAGGGATGGAGCATTCACAACTTCCTTGGGCAACCCATTCCAGTGCCTCACCACCCTCACAGTAAAGAACTTGCTCCTTACATGCAATCTAAACTTCCCCTGTTTGTTTTAACCCGTTACTCATTGTACTATCACTACAGTCCCTAATGAAGAGTCCCTCCCCAACATCCTTATAGTCCCCCTTCAGATACTGGAAGGCTGCTATGAGGTCTTCAGGCAGCCTTCTCTTCTCCAGGCTGAACAGCCCCAACTTTCTCAGCCTGTCTTCATGCGGGAGGTGCTCCAGCCCCCTGATCATCCTCGTGGCCCTTCTGTGGACTTGTTCCAACAGTTCCATGTCCTTTTTATGTTGAGGACACCAGAACTGCACACAATGCTCCAGGTGAGGTCTCACAAGAGCAGAGTAGAGGGGCAGGATCACCTCCTTCAACCTGCTGGTCACGCTCCTTTTGATGCAGCCCAGGATACGGTTGCTTTCTGGGCTGCAAACGCACACTGAAGCTGGCTCATGTTCATTTTCTCATCAGCCAACACCCTCAAGTCCTTCTCCGCAGGGCTGCTCTGAATCTCTTCTCTGCCCAACCTGTAGCTCTACCTGGGATTGCTCCAACCCAGGTGTAGGACCTTGCACTTGGCGTGGTTAAACTCCATGATGTTGGCATCAGCCCACCTCACAAGCGTGTCGAGGTCCCTCTGGATGGCATTCCTTCCCTCCAGGGTATCAACCGAACCACACAGCTTGGTGTCATCGGCAAACTTGCTGGGGGCACACTCAATCCCACTGTCCATGGCAGCGACAAAGATGTTGAACAAGAGTGGTCCCAACACTGATCCCTGAGGGACCCCACTCGTTACTGGTCTCCAGCTGGACATTGAGCCATTGACCACAACTCTTTGTGTGCGGCCATCCAGCCAGTTCTTTATCCACCGCGTGGTCCATCCATCAAATTGATGTCTCTCCAATTTAGAGACAAGGATGTTGTGTGGGACAGTGTCGAACGCTTTGCACAAGGCCAGGTAGATGATGTCAAGTGCTCTACCCCGTCCATCAGTTTCGTAGCCCCATAGAAGGCCACCAAATTGGTCAGGCAGGATCTCCCCTTAGTGAAGCCCTGCTGGCTGTCACCAAGCACCTTGTTGATTTTCATGTGCCTTAGCATGCCTTCCAGGAGAACCTGCTCCAAGATTTTGCCAGGTGCAGAGGTGAGATTGACTGGTCTGTAATTCCATGGGTCATCCATTTTCCCCTTCTTGAAAATAGGGGTTATATTACCCTTTTTCCAGTCATTGGGAGCTTCACCTGCCTGCCATGATTTCTCAGATAATGGACAGTGGCTTAGCAACTTCATTTGCCAGCTCCTTCAGGACCCGCAGATGGATTTCATCAGGTCCCAGATGATTACACACGTATTTGCCACCTTAATTCATCTGCCACCATTCTTGAGCAGTTCTGAATTCCAACACAAAAGATCCTGGAACATCCTAAACTACTGGACCCAACAGACTTGCTCACTTGTGTTTTATTGACCAGTGCTGTAGGAATCAGCCTCCTGATACATAGAGTTCATGACTGTATTTAGTGTCATGAGCCATGTTTCATTCAGCAACATGCTTTGGAACAGTCAGCCCTGCTGCTGGCCCTTCATAGGGAGTTCTTATCCTAATCCAGGAGAAGGGATTGCTTCATAGCCTGTTTCTTTTATTCCTAGGTACTTGGTGACGCACCTGATGGGAGCAGATCTGAACAACATTGTGAAATGCCAAAAACTCACTGATGACCATGTGCAGTTCCTCATATACCAGATTCTTCGGGGACTGAAGGTACTTGTCCCTGTCCTTCCTGAATGTCGGAAGCTCGTCAGTGGGAGGTGGATGTTCATGATGAGTGTCATTTTTTCAGAGATTCATATCAATACATAGCAGGAGTTCTGTAACTTTCCTAACATATCACGGGATAACCTTTTACTACTCTTTCACTCATACCTCTTTGGAGCTCTGACAGTAAAGTTAGTTATCATTTAAGAAAATATTTTTGCACATACCTCTAGGCAGAGTCTGAAAGATGATGAACTGAGCTGCCCTCTCATCTGCTCTGACTGTGAATCTTCCATTTCTTCAGTTTTGTTTAGTTGTGGTGTTCCCCCCCAGGATGGCATTGCCCTGGGTGATCCTGAGGAGAGGCAGGGTGAGACAATGCCCGGTTCTTCCTGCAGACAAGCTGTGGAGTTTGGGTTGGGAGGGATGGGGTAGGACAATAATTGTCTAGTGAAGAAACATGAAGGAGGCTGCTTGGACTGTTACATAAAACTTGTCATCTTGCTTTACAGTACATCCATTCAGCTGACATAATACACAGGGTGAGTATATATCCTGTACTGAACCAAGGGCTTTAAAATTGTAGCACAGAATCTTACAATGCAGCACCTATAGAAAAAAAGAAATTTTCCAGGAATTATTTGGGTTAACCAGTCAAAAGGTTAAATGTGGGAGGTGGTTGTCAAGATCCTTAGTTTCTGTTCCTGCAGATGTTTGGCTTGTATCTTTGTGAAATAGCTTCTCTATTTAAATACACATCTGCAGCACTAGTGTTGCAATAATCTTTTATGTGTTTTCACTTAGATGTGACACAGGCTTTGGGATAATTTCCCGAGTATGGAGAGTTGATATTTATGACCAGTTAGAATCTATATTCGCTCTGCATTTGCATTTTAATTACTTTAGACTTGTGAAACAACATATATACCACTGTTAATGCCGATGTTTCATTTTTTAGGATTTAAAACCTAGTAACCTGGCTGTAAATGAAGACTGTGAGCTAAAGGTAGTGTGATCACAAGCTCTGGTTGGATTGACTGGGATTTGAGTGAATGCCACGTGGATGTTGTTTGAAACTAAAGGGACAAAATAATTCCTGCAGAAATATTTTTGCGGCCCAAAATACTAATGTCCTTCCCAGCTGTAAGGATGTTTTCCTGTATCCGTTTCTGTGTTTTCAATGAGAGTTAACAATTTGGTTTGAGTTTAGTTGGTTTAGAGACATGGTATCCATACAAAATTCAGTGTGTTGAGTCTTACGCTGTTCTGGTGTCTTTTAACAGCTTGTGAAATGTGCTTCATCATCTGCTTTTGCAGCTGCACCACCTCTCCTCCACCCAATCCAATAACTGCCTAGCTAATTGCTCTACCTAGTTTGAGTTGTTCACTGCAGCAGTTGGTGGATGTCTCTTCCATTCTGTAGATCCTGGATTTTGGCTTGGCCCGACACACGGATGATGAGATGACTGGGTACGTGGCTACCCGGTGGTACAGGGCCCCCGAGATCATGCTGAACTGGATGCATTACAACCAGACAGGTAACACAGTTAATTAACACAAGGCTTTTCAGTTCCTGAATTGTGGAATAAAAGAAGTTACCCTTAACATGTGCTGCTTTACGTTTCATCACCTAAGTTGGGAGTCACGGGAATTACGTTTCAGTGAGGGTAATTAAAAGAAGGAAGGCATGGAATGAGTATTGGAACTACAGTCTACTGAACCTTAGTAAGTTCAGAATCACTGTGATAGCATTCATAAAACTTCTTTAAACTCAAACCTTCAAAATCATAATTAGCAAAATACTGTCTTAGCATGGTGGTTTTTAAAGTGAATGAAATGTATCTGGATGAGGAGAAGGTGTGTTTCTAGGAATCTACTGGAAATATGCTGAAAAGTATCTCGAGTTAAGGTGTGAAGAAATGCTATAAAGTATAAATCTCCCTTCCTTTCCTCTCTTTTTTTTTCTCAGCAGCTCCTTCACAATTATATCTTCCTCACAGTTTCCAGTATCTTCTCAGCAGCACACTGTGCTTCTGTGCAATGCTTCTAGATCAGGCACTGAGAGGAAAAGCAAAGGCTGAGAATAGTTCTTGTGCAGGAGAGAAAATAATGTGCTTTTCATACTCCACTGTTTTCGATGCTTTTCTCTTTTCCCCTTGCATGTATGTGGACTTGTCTTGCGTCTGTAGCTTAATAGCTGGTGGTGGTTTGGGTAGAATTTCCCTTGGGCCATATGTGAATTCATTCCTCAGGGTTGTCCTGAATGGGTTCCTTCCTCTCTGGTTGTGTAGTTTCCTGCCCAGCTCTTTGGTGTTCAACACATGTTATACTCTGGAAGCAAAATCTGCCTGATCTTGACTTCTGTTATCTGGACACATCTGAGATGATGCAGTTACTGAGCAGAGTCAGTTACCTTGCACTGTATCTCAGGTCCTTTCAATGTCATAAGCTCATTTAAGGATAAAACTGTTCATACTTTTTGGACAGGGTGATTCTATTGAGACTGTTCTCTTCTGCATTACATTGTTCTGTGTTTTATTTTGTTCAGTTGATATTTGGTCAGTGGGATGCATTATGGCTGAACTGTTGACTGGAAGAACGTTGTTCCCTGGAACAGACCGTATCCTTTAAAAGAAATATATTTGTTGGAATCTTCACTTTAGTGAGCTTCACAGTAAGAGTTCTGGGTTTGCTTGTGGGGTGGGTTTATCCTCTTCTTAAATTAATGGCTTCTTTTACTCACAGTCTGATGAGGTGACTTTGTGATTTTGCTGCACACAAAACAATCACTGCAAGAAGGCAATTCTATTCCTCTTTATTGTCTGTTAGCATACCAGAACTACCCGCATGTTTGTTTCTGGGAGGTACCTTTCTTTAAGTTCATTTAAATTCGTTGCTCTTTGACTTTGTAGAAAATAACTGCATAGAGTAGGCTGGCTGCTAAGAATCCTGTCACACTTCAGGTTCCTAGCGAATGTGAAGCATACCTTCTGGCCTTTCTCTGTGTCGTGGTGGAATGTTGTGAATGCAGCCCCTTTGCAGATGCTTTAGTGCCAAATAACTCATGCCATATTGCTCTGAAACATTTAGGTTCCACTTCCATTCTTGAGTGTTACCAGATTGTGAGCCTTCTTTCACTGTACCTTTATATCAACATGAAAGATCAGCCTCTAACAACATCATTTCAAAAGCGTTTTGTTGCTGCACTGAAGTGGGCTGGGCAGGACACTTGAGCAGATTTGAGAGAGCACTTTAGGAGAGTTGGTCAGACTTTCCCCCATGAAATTAGAGCTAAGACCTGAATCGAGCTGTTACCTTCCAGCTTCTGTTCCTTCAGGCACATGTTGGGATAACTTAACTGCCAGCAAGGTTTTTCTTTGCCAAGAAATTGGACTTTGTTTGCCAGAGAAAATAACACTGCCCACCTTTTAGCAATGCTTATTCTTTCAACCACATGTTGTTTATTTTAACTTATTAATTACTATTTATATTTGTTAATTGAAATATATTAGCATTTGGTGGACAAAAAGCCCAACAAACTAGTGTTGGAAGTGCTGGCCTCCTGTTTACTTGCTTACTTGCGGAAAGCGTTTCAGTTCCAAAACTCTTTCATGGGGGGAGAGGTTTTCTTTCCAGTTTTGACATGTTTCACCTCCCTTTTCATTGTGCTTTAGCTTGATCTTTTTTCTTCTCTTCTGCCTATCTCCATTTCATAATCTCTCTCCAAATTATAACAAATAATATCCACAATGCAGACTAAAGTTTACTGTTAGGATCTACATTTTTTGCTTTGGCATATTAAGATACTTTACTAATTTATGTCTCCCAGCAGATACTTGCGATTCTTTACCTGAAATGCTCCATTTCTTTTACAGATGGTAATAAAACTTTTGAATTAAATGCTTTTTCTGCTCTGAGTAGGTTAGATTTTAAGAAAAGTAAGGCTTGATCCTTTCCCATCATAGATAAAATTTTGTAGTACTATAGTTCTTACAGTCTTTGTGTGCAAGTTCCAGACTTCACGTAACATATGTGCCATTTATCATGAGGTTAGGACTCTAAGGGGAGCAGGGTTGGTGGTTATGAGTTTTGTTTGTGCATGTAACTCTTAGCCAAGGATCTAGAAAGGTCCCAGGCTGTCAGTTTACGCTCCAGTTTTCTTCATATCTAAAGACAGCAAGTAGAAGTAACATTACAAATGGTTGTAGCTTCTCCCTCAGAAGGCTTTTTGAAGTCTTTATACATGCATGATTTTGGGAGAAAGTTTTAGGGATTTTCCCGATGTAGATCCTGTTGGGTGCTTCTGAGCTCTTAACAGTTTCTTTGTACTCACAGATTTGCTGAGGCCTGTGCTACTCCTGCAGTGTCACTGTGCAATTGCTGCCTGACTTTGCAGTTAATATGCTTAATTCAGGGTCTATTTTACCATTAGTCATACATAAAGATGCTCCGAGGGCTTGAGCAGCTCTGCTTTGGAGCCAGCCTGAAAGAGCTGGGCTTGTTAAACCTGGAGAAGACTCCTTAAGGGATGACCTTAGAGCAGTTCCAGTGCCTAAAGGGGCTGCAAGAAACCTGGAGAGGAGCTTTGGGCAAGGGATGTAGGGACAGGCCAAGGGGAATGGCTTTAACCTGCCAGAGGGGAGACTGAGATGAGCTCTTAGGCAGAAGTTCTTCCCTGTGAGGGTGCTGAGGCGCTGGCACAGGGTGCCCAGAGAAGCTGTGGCTGCCCCATCCCTGGCAGTGTTCAAGGCCAGGTTGGACACGGGGGCTTGGAGCAAGCTGCTCTGTGGCAGGGGTTGGAGCTGGAGGAGCTTTAAGGTCCCATCCAACCTAGACCACTCTGATTCTATGCCTCTAGTAGCTGAGGATACAGTACATCCAAATCCACTGCAGTTCTAGGGAATTCACTTTGCAGTTGGAGGCAGTGGGAGTTTATATTCTGTGTGTTCAGGAAGCTGGAAACGGCTCCTGTTTGACAGCAGAAAATTTGACATTCTTCTTGATTTTTGTTAAGACATTAATTTTCTCACTATATAACCTCACATTCCAAAATGACATATATAGTGACAGAGTAGGTGGAGCTTTCTCAGGATGATGGTCATAGAATCATAGAACAATTAGGGTTAGGAAGGACCTTAAGATCATCTAGTTCCAGCCCCCCTGCCAGGGGCAGGGACACCACACAGACGATGTCACCCAAGACTGTCTAAACCTGTCCTTGAACACTGCCAGGGATGAAGATTCATAACATCCTTGGGCAACCTGTTCCAATGCCTCACCACTCTCACAGTAAAAACCTTCTTCCTTATATCTAACCTAAACTTCCCATGTTTAAGTTTAAACCCATTCCCCCTTGTCCTGTTGTTACAGTCCCTAGTGAAGAATCTGTCTCCAGCATCCCTGTAGGCCCTACTCAGATACTGGAAGCCTGCTGTGAGGTCTCCACACAGCTTCCCTTCTCCAGGCTGAACAGCCCCAACTTTCTCAACCTTTCTTCATATGGGAGGTGCTCCAGGCCTCTTATCATCCTTGTATCCCTCCTCTGGACTTGCTTCAACAGCTCCATGTGCTTCTTATGTTGAGGACACCAGAACTGCACACAATACTCCAGGTGAGGTCTCACGAGAGCAGAGTAGAGGGGCAGGATCACCTCCTTCGACCTGCTGGTCACGCTTCTCTTGATGCAACCCAGGATACGGTTGCTTTCTGGGCTGCAAGCGCATACTGAAGCCAGCTCATGTTGTTTCTCATCAACCAATACCCCCGAGTCATTCTCCTGTTCAGATGATTCTCTTGGTTGAAACATTGGGCTCTTTCACCAAGGATTTAGCAGAAATGGCGTAATGTTATTTCCAGGGTGTCGGATAGTTCTTTATATGGCCTGGAGATGCATATATTGTACAGGCAGGCTGTAAAGTTAATCTGGTAAGTAATCAAGTTGTATTCTGAGATGGTGCTCTTCTGTGATGGTTGTGCCACTGATAAACTTAACGCTGAATTTAGTTTGAAGTTATGAAGGACCTAATCTGTAGAGATTCTGACTATGGCTGTCACTGACTAAAGAAACAGTTGTAGATATACTTAGAAAAAATCCTTTGATTAATGTGGCTCAGCTCTGCAGGACTTCAGACTGAATGTAAACTATTTGAATCGTTCTGTTGTGATCTAGGGGTGGAAATACTTGGGTGAAAGCTGGATTTCTAATATGGGTCAGATCTCTGCCAGGAGGTGGAGAAGGCCAACAAGATTGTGAGAAAGACAAGGCAGACACAAAAAAGTGGAGGTAATGAAAATCAGACTCCTTCAAGCTTTTCATGTGAGGCCTGGCTAGAGGCTTTTTGGGGATATTATCATACTGGTGTCAGGATCAGTTTTTGTTAACCATGTATATTCTGGATGTTTTTACAACTGTTGTCGATTCATAGAAATAAGTAGGAAAGTTGACTTGCATAAAATTATAAAATACGACTAGTATCTTGAATGTTTTGTACTAGTTTAGCCAATTTTCTGTATGTTTTAAATTGATGGTATTCCCTTTAAACTCTGAAAAGCATTTTTGTGACTGTTTTTTTCAGTAGTGTGAAACTTCCCTGATAACTAACCAATCTGACATTACATGTTCTTCTGATACATCTTGCTCCTGCTTGTGGTGGCAGCTAAAACAGAACATAGCTTTGCCTGGGTAAGCTCTCAAAGCCCTGCAGTGCTTGCTGGTGATGGCAGGTTCTTCTCTGAAATTTGGAATCACTGAGCCTCACTGGGGGTGCCTTGCTGATGGCACTTGGGGTTTGCATGCTGGGCTTTTCTTCTCCATGCACATGTTTGTTTCTGGCTTGTATTTTCTTTTGCTTTGTATTTACTAAGTCTTTTTCCTGTCTTTTAATTGTTTATGGCTCATTTCTCTGATGATCTTAGAGGTCTTTTCCAGCCTAGTTGGTTCTGTGACTCTGGGATGTGGTAAGGCATGTAGTTGATGAATGCTGCAGTTCAGCAGGTTATAGAAGGAGCCTGAGAAGCAGGGGTTGGCTTTTGCTGTGCCTGCAGCACATGAGACTTGCTTCATTAGTTATGGAACTTTTTCACAGTGTGCAAGGAGGATGAAACCTCCATACAAGAGAATTCATGTTCTGTGTTTTCTCTTGCTTATCTGAGAAGCCACTGAAGCATATTGCACAAAGATCTTCCAGTAGCACTTTTCCTGGGAAAAGAGGTGTCAGCAATATTGTTGGCGCACCTGGTGCACATGGTTTTAAAAGCATTTAAATATAGGTATGGCATGTGACTTCTGAAGCACAGCAGCAGCAGCTTGAAATTTGCACAAGGGTTTCTTGCACAAGAATGATTGAAAGAATCTATGATTCTGTGTTAAGGGCTGTTTGAAATGGCCCTGAAGAACAGCTGGCTTAGATGCTATCCTAACTGGGGTTGGGATAGCACCCTCTGCTAACTCAACACTGGATATACCGATTTCATTTTAAACATTGACAATTAAGAGTTGGCAATTCAGCAGCTAAGCTAAATCCAACTAGATGCATTGGATTTACTCTTAGGTTTCGAGTGCCTTAAGTAGGTGGGAGCTGGCCAGGCAACTTGAGAAGTTAGTTCGGCTGTTCTGACAAAGTACTATTTCCAGGGCTTTTAATTCATGTCATGTGTAAAGCTTTAGATCAGCTTTAGACCAGAGTTTACATGAAAAGGTAAAGGTTTTAGCAAAGTCTTTGTGATTCCTTTCTTATAGAGTTTGCCAGTATTGCAGGAACTGAGGCTAGCTTAAGAAACAGAAGACGGGTTTTGAAGTTCTTGCAGTACTCAACATACTCTAACCAGGAATTGTAACTGTGTGTTAAAACATGAGGAAGGGATTGATCTTGGAAGAAACATTGTCTGGTGAGTAGGCCAGTCTAGTGAATAGATTAGTGAATAGACTACTTCTGTGGAAAGGAAAATATGTGACTGGTTTGATACGATTTTAAGGGCAAATGTAAACATTACAGACATAGTCTGAAATCACTAGTAGGTTTTGAAGGGCAGCATGGAGAACAATTCAGAGAGGAAGGGAGATTATTCTTCTAATGGTTTATCAAAGACACCTTTGTCTCCTTACTGTGAGGTTTAGAAATACAGCAGTGTCTTTAGTGGATTTTTCCCTTAAGTGTACGTTTTGGCACTTAGGTCTTGTCAGAGAGGGTAGCTTGGATGTGTATGTGGGTAACACATTCTTTGCCTCTGCAGTGCGATGTCCTGAGGGCTTTCTGCGGAGAGACTTTAAATGTGAGCCCCATCTTCTGACGGAGCAACGCTGCAGGTCACGAGCAGGCTCCAGTTGTTTTCTTACTTTCTAAGTTTTAGAAGTGGCTGAGTTACTTTGGAAGGCATTCACAGAAGGCCTTGACTCTTGTTAATACCAGTTCTTACCCTTGTGAGTCGCCTGCTTCACTTCATCTGTCACTAACACAGCCTAATCCTATTGACTGCTTGTACTGTTGTGTGAGGCCTGAGCGGGCACAGTGGGCATGTGAATTGGTCCTTTGCCAGTGGAGCAGCAGCTCTGGCTCCTGCTCTGTGGTAGTGAAGGATGCAGTGGCTGATCCAATGCATGTGGTTCGCTTGTAGACAAGTTGTTCCATCTGTCTGGGTACAGACTGAGCTGTGTTATAAGGGGGTATTCAATGAATGCAGTTTGCTTAAAACAGCTTCTCAGTTGAGGCCTTGGCAGGAACTAACTTTCAACAGGCTGATAACATTACGCTTTTCATTTTGATTTGTCCCAGCATTTTCCTTTATGGTCCATCATTAGATATTGATCAGTTGAAGCTCATTTTGAGACTCGTTGGAACCCCAGGGCCTGAGCTTTTGAAGAAAATCTCCTCAGAGTCTGTGAGTTTACACTTTGATTGTAATATCTGCCCTTTCGGAAGTCCCCAGTTTGTGCGTTGCCCTCCTGTAGTCTTATCTGTAGTATGTGTTGGGGTTTGTTTTCTATTTTTTCTTAATTCCTTTGTCATTCTTTGCTCTTCGATGGCTTTGAGTTCTTCTGCTGTGTGTGTCTGATCTTTATTCCTCTTACCCCTGTCTGTGGTATGATTTCCTCCTTCTGTAGTCTCATTTTACTGCCTCATGATGTTTCTTTCAGTTTGTGGGTGTATACTTTGTGATATATTATATGCTCAGGTGCTGCTGGGGAAGTATTTTTCACAGCTGAGAGCTTGAGGGTCATCTCAATTACTGTTTCTCCTGATAGCCTACCCAGGGCTCTTTCTTAACAGGGGCAGATGTGTTATCCTCTGAACACACAGTCCCTTCTGTAGTATGATTAAGTCTGAAATACTGCTGCCACAGTCTTTGGTTTTGTAGCCTAGAAGCCAAAATGCCTTTTAAGTGCTTTTACGTGGTAGCTAGTTCCATGGCACACAGTCTACTGAGAATATATCTTATTGTGCTGTGTATTTAAAGAGTATTGCTGTGTGTGGGGCCCTTCTGGCAGGGTAGTAGTGAAAAGCTTTCTGCAGTTCCCTTTTTAAATGGGGACCTCTATTTTCAGCCATTTCTGTATTGACTCTTGCAATCTGAAACTTGAGCAGAGACACTATTAAATGACATTTAATTTTACCTGTTTCTGAAGGTGAAGTGCATAAAAGTTAGAGCAAGAGCTGCTCTAATCCATAATTCATGCCATAACAATACGGATTAACAAGCGAGTGCACAGTGCGCAATGAGCTTGTGTAGAGGTAACTACCAGTGTACTGGAGTGAGTCAGTCTGCTGTTCCTGATATATAACGGAGGATCAGCATGGTGGATGGTGATGATGAGCTTATTTTGTACAGCACCTTTTGTTCTTTTTCACCTAACAATGACAGTAAATGCAAGATGTGAGGTTAGCCTTGAATTGCAGTTGATAAAGGCAGATATGTGCAAGTTGGAATCTGTTGGTAACTTGCTGTGTATCAGACCAATAGAATGAGCCTTGGGTTATTCTGCCCTTGGAGGGGCTGGAGCTGGTTGCCCTGTGAACTGACCTGAGGGTAGTCTGGTATGTGAAGTGCTGGGGATTAGAGAGATAAGCTTAAATGTTCACTAGGTCAAGCACAAGATTAACTCGCATACATAAGGTTGAAGTCGGTCTTTTTATTTAACGGTGCACAATAAAAAGAATAATTGCTATTAGCCAGGTCCAAATCAAGAGTCTGCTTAAAAATAAATGCAGTAATGTCTAGTCTAGGTCATGCTTTAACTAGAAAGGTTGGACCTCCTTGAGGTTCCTTCCAACGTGGGCTTCTCTGATTCTGTGGTACTGTTACTACTATTTCTCTCCATTGTATGGAGACAGCAAAACTATTGAGGGCTTTAGTGTGTCATTAACCAGTTGTGTTTTCCTGTTGCATTACTTACTCTTCCTCTTCACTGCCATCAGCTAACTCTGTCTTATGCAATGCTAATGGTTTGCTAATTTTGCATTTATTGCCTTCTGTTACCTCACCCACATCTTAAAGTGCATTCAGAGCTGTTTAGAAGGAGGTGTCGGTTGTGAGCCAATGCCACTTTGCACCCTAAGGAACTTAAGTACTTTCTGAACAGCAAGAAAAAAAGCTGGTAACCAGTGCAGGGGGTACAGTTGTTGTTTCTGTTTTAATTCTTGTTCATTTTCCTGAGGCTGGATGTAAATGCAGCAGCCCAGAGAAATCTCTGACAAGCAGCTTTAGCCAAAGGAAGCATCTACTGTGGTGGCTTAAAACTCCTGGGAAATGTCAAGGCAGCCATGTTGTAATTAAAGCTATTGCTGGTGGGCAGAAGTACTTCATGTTCTGACACTGTTACCAACTGATCAGTAATTCCTTGTTGGTTTAAGTGTTCCCTGGTGCAACTACTAAACTTTTCATGAGTCTATGAAGAAATCAGTGGGCCCTGATGATTGCTGATGGCTTTTGCGTTTTGGTTTGCAGAAGAGATGCTTTGTATGTAGCTGTTTGGTGTTTAAAATGGTTTTTGCACTGTTTTTAACAAAGCCCTTGACTAGGCACTTAAGATATTAACCAGCTTCAGCAGATCATGCGTCTGACGGGGACACCCCCTGCATATCTCATTAACAGGATGCCCAGCCACGAGGTGAGATCTGAGCAGACAACGGGGGTTTGCAGGGCCAGGGCTGCTTCTGGAAGTGATGTGCTCGCATGTGGCATGGGGTGGGCAATTCCCTACCTGCTCTTCGGCAAGACTTGTGTACTAAATGAAGACTGTACATACTCAGACATACACTTCAGAGACTGGGGAGAGCCTTGGATGCGAGTGGGTTTTGTGTCGTGTGCCATATTGTGCAGCTTCCCAGCTGACACTGTGCTGCACACAGCCTCACTGGGACTCTGAGCAGCACCTCTTTGCTTTCGAGTCTTGCATGAACCCTGAGTCTTGTCAGCTCTTCCTCTGCTGTCTTGAGTGGCCTTTAGTTGGGAAGTTGCTGATGGGCTAGTAAGTACCAGACTAAGTAAGGAGAAAGCAGAACAAGGAGACCGACCATAATCAGTGCTTCAGGATGATTGAGATGTACTTTGTCTTGGTGGCTGGATTGTATTATGCTTCAACAGAGCATTTATTTCCACAGGCAAGAAACTACATTCAGTCTTTGTCTTACATGCCAAAAATGAACTTTGAAAACGTGTTTATTGGCGCCAATCCACTAGGTAAGGAGCTTCTCAGATGCTATGCTCTTTTGGAGACTGCAGCTATAGAGGGTCTTGGGACACACTGACTTCCTTAAGTGCAGTTTTGACTTCAGAAGTAGTTCAGAACAGGACTATGCCCCATTTCCAGAGTTTACAAAGTATGTGTGGGCTGCAGGTATAGGAGGAGGAGATTGTGGATGGTGAGTGGGTCCTCAGAAACTACAGATTCCTCAAAAAATAATTCCTCTGACAACCATATACTTCAGGGAGCAGTGTTGTAGAGCTCACTGTGTAATCCTTTCTTTCCTGTTGTGGTGCTTTCCCAGCTGTGGACTTGCTAGAGAAGATGCTGGTTCTGGATACGGACAAACGAATTACCGCAGCAGAAGCACTGGCTCATGCCTACTTTGCTCAGTATCATGACCCGGATGATGAACCAGTGGCAGACCCCTATGACCAGTCCTTTGAAAGCAGAGAACTTGAGATTGAGGAATGGAAAAGTGAGTTGGGGGGCAGGAGGGGAGCCAGATTCTCTGGTGAGCTGTGGGAGTTGAGGCACAAAAGAAACAGCTAAGACCACAGGTGTCCTGTTATGAGCGAAGCTGTTACATGCTGTGCTTGAAAGGAGCATGGTCCCTGGTAGCTAATTACTACTGTAAGCATACAAGCATGTAGGTGACATAGTTGTTCATGTCTTCCATATATTCAAACTTCCTGACACCTCCTTGATGCTCTGGAAGTATCTTTTATTGTGCATGGTAGTGCCTGAGAATGGAGGAACCATTCTCTTTCTTAATTGAACCACGTTCTTTGCTTAAAATAGTGTTGGACCCTCTAAGATTGTTGCAGGTTTTCTTGCACAAGGGATGTCTTCAGTACTGCCTGTTAAGGTCCTGTCGTGCTTTTCCCACCAGGCCTGACTTACGATGAAGTCATCAGCTTTGTGCCACCACCACTTGACCAAGAGGAGATGGAGTCCTGAGAAACTGCTCTCTTCTGCTCATCCCACTTCACTGTGAGGGGAAGGCCTTTTCGTAGGGACTCTCCAGCTATCATTCAAGTGCCTCGTCACAATATTCTCCTTGGTGGAGGGGTTTTGTGTGTGTTGAACTGGAGGGGTGGGAGGGGGGAGGGAAGAAGCTGAGTCTATGTAAACATGCTGCATGCTCTCTTGTATTCTGTGTCCAGCCTGGAGCAAGCCTCTGAAGAACCTGTTGTGCCCGCGCATTAGTCCTGCCAGAGTAACAGTGCACAAACAGTTTGCACTGCTGGGGCGAGGTGGGGAAGGTGATGTTAAGTTTGGTTACAATCATTGCCATTTATCAATTCTTCTACAACTGAATAACCTCAAAAGAGTGGAAGTTGGTTTATAGGCTTAGAGAGTCCTCTGTTTCCTTCAGGACTGCAGGTGGTGTTGAGGGATGTCCTTGCTCAATGCCAGATGGCTGATTTATGTCCAGGTCTTCCTGGTACAGTAGAGTGTACAGGCCTTCTCATGTCCAATTCATGGATCATGAAAAGGTTTTGTTTGAACCTGTAAATATGTTTGTGCCTTAAATGAATGGGGAGAGAGGGGAAATGAAGTCTAGAGCTGAAATCTGACCTGCTGGATTTTGGGGGGGAAAGGCTCCCAGATAGTCAGGCATGAACTCTGTGTTACCTGGAAATAACTTTCCAAGGCAGCAGCCTCTACCCCTGGATTGAGTGTTCCTGTATCTTTCCCTCTTGCCCTCCTCTCATTCTGAGGCTTCCCAGCATTAATCCCCAGGAGACAGAGGCTGGAGAAGATTCTTGCTAGCCACACATTGGTGTATTTTGTCCTTACAAGCTGGGGTGGTTTTGCATGTCGTAGCTGTCTGTGCATGTAGAGCTGCTTGATTTTTCTCATTACTTCTCGGGGATGGCAGTGGGGCAGTTAAACCATCAGTGAACACCGAGTACCTCAGCCAGTGCCATGAAATCACAGCATCCTTCCTCATGTGTTGCAGCTCATTGTGAAATACCTGCCATGCTGGAGGCTCTGAGGAGGAAAGGAGAAAACATATGGCATAGACGCATGCACCTTTTAGTTTGTTCTGACCTTTTGGTTTCAGAGGAGGAGAGGTTGGGATGAAGGGTTTCTTGTGAGATCAAATGTAAAATATTCTAAGAACCAGCTATGGCATCTTGTGCCACAACTTAAGTTATTTCCTGACAAGATGTTTTTAGAAGTATTGGAATCCAAAGCAAAGAAATAAGCATGCATAAATCCACAATCTCCCTTTTGCTGTCTATATCTATAAATATAAATATTTATATATAAAAACCTAACATTTACTAAAGGTTGTGGGGTTTTTTTACCCTCTTGGGTAAGAGCTGCTTGGCTGTTTTTGAGCAGGTTGATCTCTGCCTGAGGAAACACAAAAAAGGGAGTTTGTTTGAATGCAAACGTAGTTCAGATACTTTGAATTTTATAGGACTCCGCATGAGTGAAACACCCAGAGGTAGAGACCTGCAGGAAGGAGGTTTCCCAGCATGTGTGTGTGCTGGAACTGCACCTGGGGAGCTCAGGAGCCCAGTTTTAGGACTTCAAGGAGATGGTTTTAGACATTTATGTGTGGACAGTGTAGTTGTGTATGTGAGGAGAAAGGCTTTTGCAGTATTTTGTACCCTTGTTACCTATGGGATGGAGAGGAATCGTCAGTAGTGTTTTTTACCCTGTTTGGAGAGGCTGCACAAAGGGATGGGACAATTGATTCTTCATAGGCCTCTTTCCAGTTATCTCTTCAGGTCAAACACTTTATTAAGGTGTGAGGTGAGGTGAAGAGAGCAGTTACGTCATGCTCTGGGATAAAACTCTCCTCAGCCCGACAAAATCAAGATACAAACCCCTCCCTTTTCTGCTGGACCAGCAGTCCAGGAATCCAAATGAAAATGTAGATACACTCTAAACCTACAGCAAGATTATTTTTAATCTGCCATTTTATGTGTAGATGCTACAGTGTGGTTTTGTGCAGATATTGCTAAAGATTTTAAAACCCAATCTAGACATTGTGTGTGTGTGTGTGTGTGTGTGTCTGTGTGTGAGTGGGAATGTTCCATCCGGAGCTTGTCCTTGGAGGCAGACCATGTGGGATGCACTCCCTTGCCTGCAGTGCAGCCTGAACAGGACGCACTTGCAAGAAGAGATCTGCTCTTTGGGTTCTATCCATGAACTTTGCTGTAATTGGTTATGACAGAGAATATGTCGTGATACCACTGGTTTAAAAAATAAAACCTATTTTTCAGATTTACTGCACTCATGGTACTTGCAAACCTCTTGCTCTGAGGGGCTGGTGCTCACGCAGTGTCTATTCCTCTCTTGTGTTGAAGGGCATCCTGTGTGTGGTGGTTGGGGCATGGGGTTGAGGCCACGGGACCTGTTGGCTGACACTGGATTGTGTCCGTACTTGTCCCAAAGAAATTACTTGCTAGAAAAATAGCTCAGAGTCTGACCACGAGTACTGGACACAGAACAAAATATTTTCATTTTCTGTTTGGTACAAAACCACAATAGACCAGCAACCTGGTACCTGTCCAGACAGGGGACCCTTCCCCAGTAGCACCGCTTTGTGTTTGTTTGCTCTTTTTAAAAGTGATTTGTTTTCCTCTTCAGCTGCCATCTAGTTGGTGGTGGAAGGGTGTTGGCAGGAGCATCACGGCTCCATGGTGGAGCTTTTCTGACTTCTGTTGAGTATTGGTGCACTTCACGCTGAAGAACAACTGACTGAAGTTGACCAAATCCTCAGTAACTGATGTTCCCAGTGCCCTTATCTGCTGAGGTGGTTCCTGTTTATCCAGGTCAGATACCCACCACACATGTGCTCCCCAGCAGCAGTCACAGTGAGTACACTGTGTGGGGTGTTCTTTTGGCTGTGTGGGAGCTGCCCTCCTGCTTGCTTCACCCTCTGCTTGCCTTGGTGCAAACCAAGAGGGGAGGAGGGAAAAAGCCCCACCAGGACCTAACACTGTTTTCTGGGAGGAAAAAAATCCAGAGTACCCAAGATAGACAATTCCAGGATGAGCTCAGTTACAATATAGAATCAGAATGGTTAGGGTCGGAAGGGACTTTAAGGTCATCTAACCTGATTAGCAAAAAAACCCTTTAAAATCAGAATTGGATTGGGGAAACAAACTCCTTATACAAAATCAAATCACTTAAGGTTCCTATTCAATTTGGATCAGTCACTTGAATTAATTCATCTTTCTACAGCCCAGACATGCCCTAGATATTTAGAACTCCTTAATTGTGCACGATGACCTGTGTGTGCATGTGTAGTTGAGCAAGAGCTGTGTTCATAAAGTAACAACCAAGTTACATGCTTGCTTAAGTCCAGGGAGTTTGCTGTAACACCTCTTGCTCACAGGTGTATTTATAGCACCAAGCCTGCTGTAGGTTGGTTTCCTGACTGCTGTTGCTACAGCTGTGGTTTATTGACATGTATTTGCATAGGCAAGGATAAAACATTGCCGTAGCACCTTGGTGGTGGTTTGTAGAACCTTGCTGTGGCTGTTTCAAGAGGTCAGGGTTGATACGTACCACAGTGGTTGCCTGTAAGGAGGTAAAATTAATTTTTCCAAACCCCCTCATGTTTTTTTTTCCCCGCAATTCCCATTTGTCAGGTTAGCTTGGCTCTGGTCCTGCCATGCGGATGCACTCGGAGCAGGGCCACCTTTGTGGGTGGCATGGATGGAAGGCACACAGGCTACAGGCAGGGTTGGGGTGAGGGTGGCGAAGCACTCTGTAAGCAGTCGGGCTGGCTTGGTAAGGCACAGCTTAGTCACTTCCTTCGGGAAGTGTGCAGGATCACCCACCTCCCGTGTGGGAGCCCCACCGGAGCCTCCTGAAGCTGCAGCAAAATGTCGAGGTGTTCTGTGCTCACCAGGAATGGACTTCCTGACGGGTTGGGTTTGCTGGCCTGGTCCTGGTGGGTGCAGCAGTGAACCTGAGCACTGTGCTGCCTGAGAAGGGATTAGATCTGCTGGAGCAGATAGAACAAGACCCAGCAAAGCCTGGGGCACAAGCAGATCTTGGGATGAACCTGTCTCGCAGCTGCTCCTGAACCTCCTCACTGCAGTCACTGCAACGAAGGTGGAAAGGATGGAAGATGGAAAACTGGGAAGCCAGGCTTAGGAGAAAATGGTGATCACCTCGCTGTTCTGCAGACCTATCACCCTGGTACCCTTCATCAATCACGAGGAGCCTAGAGCTGTCCCCCATTAGCTGGAAGGAAGAATGTTCCCGCTCGTCTGACGAGGCGCTGTGGCTTGTCCCCGGATTCCCCGGCTCCACGAGTCCTTACTCATCAGGGTCAGGATTTCACGAGACCCCCCCCTTCCCGACGACATTGCTGGGCCCGGTGGCAGCCCAGAGGCCGAGGTGCGGGGCTCCCGGAGGTGTGGGCCGGGCGCTCGGGTCCTGTGGCAGAGCCCAGAGGCACCTGCAGAGACCGAGGCGTGTCGTGAAACCTGATGCCTCACCTCCCCGATGTGGAGGCGGAGGGAGGGCCGAAAGACATGTCCGTGCGCGCTCACTGCAGCTGAGAAGGCAGGAGGAAGCTCGCTGGAGCCTCTCTGACCAGCACAGGAGGCCTCACTGTCCTGCTCTCACCCCAGAAGCCCTCCCGTACACCAGGACTCTGGGGGGGTGGCAGTCCCACACCCGCCGGGCGATGAACATCACAAGGAGAAGAGGCTTCTACAGACAGGAGGTGAACAAAACGCTCTGGGAGCTGCCCAGGAGATACACGTCCCTCCACCCGCTGGGGTCTGGAGCCTACGGCTCAGTGTGGTGAGTGGGGCCCTGCCCGCACGGGGTGAGCTCGGGGTGTTGAAGTGTCACGGCAAGGGGAAGCGAGGAGGTGCTTCTGGGCACCCCTCCATTAGGGAAGGACATTTGCATGTGTGATGAAGGCGGTCTGCCTCCCGCTCCAGTGCAGGCAGCGGCTTGGAGACCTGGTTGCTTGAAGGAACTGAGATGCTTGCTCCTGTGGTCACCCCGGGTGGGCAAAGGGGAGTCACCTCGGTGGGTGTGCTTAGGCAGCAGCTTGAGAATCAAGGCAGGGCTGCTGGGGACATGGAGGCACCTTGGGGTGTCCCATTGGCACTGGGGATCAAGCAGCTTTGGAGCTTCCATTGAGACTTGTGTCACACAACCTGGCTGTCTGGAACAGGGGTGCTGTGGCATGGCCTTGCTACTTAGTTCAAGGCAGCTGTTTTTTACCAGTGGTATTGGCAGTCCTAGGGTAACGGTTGGAAACCTAGTACCATTCTATGATTCTATGCTCGGCTGTCTGGAAAAGGAGCTGGACAATACAACGTCCACCTTGATTCAGCTTCCAGCTAGAAAAGCTAAACTAGGAATTACTCAAAACCAGGATCAGTAACAGACTGGGACTTCTTCCCAGCTGGGGGTGATGCCCAGCCTACAAGAGAGCAGCACAACTGCTGTTAATGAATTGGTTGGTCAAAGGCACCTGTAGCGAGAGCAAGCACAAGTCAGACCTTGCCTGCTTTACAGTGGCTTTCTGAAAGGTTAAATCTGAAGCAGTCCAGTGCCAAGACCTCAGCAGAGCACTTGATTCATAACACACCGAGCTACACGAGCAGGCGTGTCCTCTGTTGTAGGTGTGAGGCAAAGCCTCTGCCGGCTGGCCCAGCTAATCCTGACACCCTGGGGCCCAGGCTGTATCCTTATCCCCCAGCTACCCGGTATTTCCTTTCCCCCTTTTGCTGTTCAGGTTCATTGAAGCTTCTGAGACGCCTAAATGAATCTCTCAAAACCAGGCAAGCCTAAACCTGTCTTTTTTTTTTTTGTTTTTTTAATATTTGCACAATATTTTCTGATTTTTATCACAAAGGAAAACAGGAAGACTGAAAGAAAATAGGACATAAAAGGGAAAGCGAAATCCTTCCAAAGCCTCTTTGCACTCCAGAGAAAACCAAACATCAACAAGGCATGTCTTTTACTGGTCCCTGTTATAGTCTCGGCTGCTCTGAGGCCTCGGGGAAGGGAGCAGTGGATGCTGAACCAGCCCTGGGTCCAGGGTGGTGGTCACAGCATCCATGGGGAATGCTCAGCAGGGAGGATTCCTTCACAAAGCCAAGGTGGAAGCCTGTGGAGTTTTAGAGTTTGCTGTCCTCTGCTGGGAAGTTTTCTGGTCCCAGCATTATTTGGAGCTGCTGGTTTTTATACCCCATTGATCAGCTGAGAAACTAGCTTAGGAAAAACAGCAAACGGGTTAATTCCCTCATTAATTCTGCCCAAATCTGTAGTGATTTAGTTTCCAGCTGAATGTAAGTGGTGGAAGAAGATTTTTCCACAAGGATGTGGGGAGCGACTCTTCATCAGTGGTAGGACAAGAGGTGACGGGTTCAAACTTAAACAGGGCAGATGGAGATGGGCAGAAGCTCTTCCCTGTGAGGGTGCTGAGGCGCTGGCACAGGGTGCCCAGAGAAGCTGTGGCTGCCCCATCCCTGGCAGTGTTCAAGGGCAGGTTAGACACTTGGTTTGGAGCAAGCTGCTGTATGGAAGGGGTCCCTGCCTGTGGCAGGGGTTGGAGCTGGAGGAGCTTTAGGGTCCCTTCCAACCCAAACCAGTCTGGGATTCTGTGTTTCTGACCATTCAGTGCTGGTCTTGCCCATCACTGCCAGCCGGTCCTGGCTGCATCACCTGAATTAACTTTGGCTGTGCCTTACAGTAAGGGTGAAAGCAGCATAGTCAGTGCTGGGTTGGGGGCTCCATCACAGACTCTCCTGCACTGGGGGCTTGGCTGCTCCAGGGAAGGCAAGTGAAAACATGCACCATTGAATCGGGAAACCTGCCCTAAACCTGAACCTGTTTGACTCTCTGGTCCAAGTCCCTTCTCCTTCCTTCCCTGCTCCTTGGAAGCCTTTGTGCTGTCCTCTCTGCCTGCTCAAGTCCTGAAGCTGAGACAACTCATCACTGGGATCTTCAGTGCTGAAGCTGCCTTGTGTAGCCATTCCTGCTTCTCCCTTTGCCTTTCCCAGCTGAATGCATTGGTGAAATTGCCATCAAACACTCCCAAAGGATGCTTTTTGCTCTCATCACACACAACTTTGAACAACTGGAAGGGACAAAGAGATTGGAGGTTGCCCTGATATCAGGGTGGTTGATGGGAGCTCTTGATAGCCCAGGCTGATGTTGGAGGCACCATCGTCTGTGGCTGACAGTCAGGGAAAGCTGCGCAAGAGACTTCCAAGATGTGCAGCAAGCAGCTGATAACCCCTCTGCAGTGTTGAACCACAGGGAAAGCCACATGGAGTGGGATGTTCCCACCTCTCCTAATGCCGTTACCCCTTAACCCAACAAAATGAACTGTTTGTGATATTATAAACAGCATTTCCCTGTTGATTTATGATGTCTTGCCTCTGAATGATGGTCCTGGAGGATACAGTAATCCTTGATTCAGTTTTGTGGTACCTGCCCCTCTGAGAGCCTCAGGGAAGGAGCAGTGGCTGGAGCCTGGCAGCTGGGCACTGTGGCAGCATGAACCACGTCTCCCTGCAGAGGAGGTGGGGAAGATGCCTGTGCAAGGCTGGAGGACATGTGCAAAGGGCTAATGCCAGCACTCATGTTGGCCTGGTTACCCTGTGCTGTGGGACTGAACATGCTGATGTTCACCCCTCCCACTTCCCATGGAGATCAGGATTTACAAAGCAGTGGGAACTGCCCTGGAAACCCGCAGTGCAATTTGGCGCAGGAAGAACCCTTTCTGCATCTCTTTGTCTCTTGGAGGGGTTGAGGAGGGTCTGAGGCACCAAGATCCCTCTGGAAAACACCACAGAGATGCCAGATTACAGCTCTCCTGACTGAGGACTGTCTCCCATGTCTTGTCTCGTGAGACCCAGAGCCTCCCTTGTAACCCAAGAGCCTCCAGAAGCAGAGGAGGCATCACAGGATCACCCTATCCAGCCACAAATAGCACACGTGACCAGAGGGAATAACAGGTCACATCTCCAGTGACAGCTGCTGTCCTGTGTTTTCATTTGCTTTATAGAAGCCGCTCATGTTCAGCCAGACCTGCTGTACACAGAAGCATTTGTATAGCATCCAAGGTCCCAAATGTGGGAGAATTCACTCCAGCAGCCTGTATTTTCAGTGTGTGACAGCCACTGTCTTTGCTCCCGAGCACAAAAAAGGCAGCTGATGTACCTTAAAAGACAACACCCTCCAAGCAGATGGCAAAGCAGGAATTGCTTTATTCCCTTGTCTCCCTGTGTTAGGGAAAGGAAAGGCAGAGTCAGAACTAATTCTGACCTTTACCCATTTGTGTTTCCCTCTTCTCACAGCTCTGTTAGCTCCAGCTTGTTTCTGCAGGTTCCTGGCCACTGAGGCTTTGTTTGGTGTCCCACCTAGATCTCCAAAGTGCACGGGCTGCTGCCCAAGTTATACAGGGCAATGCCTGCCTGTGCACAGCTCCTCTGGGTTTCTCAAGAGACCTTTCTTTGCTCTTCTTCTGCAAGCTCCAGAGTTTGTTCTTCCTTAGGAGAAGACCTTTGGTATCACAAAATATTGCTGATGTCAGAACTGGTTTTTATTTGTCTGCCACAGTTCGGCCATAGACAAGAAGACAGGGGAGAAGGTGGCTATCAAGAAGCTCTGCCGCCCATTCCAGTCAGAGATCTTTGCCAAGAGAGCATACAGAGAGCTCATGCTGTTGAAGCACATGCAACATGAGAATGTAAGTACTCCCTATGAGGGTGCTGAGGCGCTGGCACAGAGTGCCCAGAGAAGCTGTGGCTGCCCCATCCCTGGCAGTGTTCAAGGCCAGGTTGGACACAGGGGCTTGGAGCAAGCTGCTCTATGGAAGGGGTCCCTGCCTGTGGCAGGGGCTGGAGCTGGAGGAGCTTTAAGGTCCCTTCCAACACAAACCATTCCCTGGTGCTATGATTTCTTTCCATTTCTGCTGAAACAGGGTGGGGTTCTTGCCACGTGGGAGAGTCCTTTCTGGTGGCATCACCTTTATTTTAATTGAGAGGTCCTGACTCTTGGCACATGTGGGCAGTCTCAGGGTTTAACTTCTACCTGCCTGCTGTGCCCAGTTGGCACCAGGCTGAAGCTGATGTGTAATGGGTGCTCCCATGTATTAGTAAGAGGAAAAGCAGCTGCACAGCATAGTGAGCAGTCCTCAGATTCCTCACGTGGAGTTCCTGGTGCTCACCCATGTGCATGTGCCAATGGAGCGCTGCTACCTGAGTCCACACGTGCTCAGCAAATGCTTTCCAGGTTTAAATGTGGACTACTTCTCTTCTCCATCAGGTCATTGGGCTTCTTGATGTCTTCACCTCTGCTGCTTCCTACCAGGGCTTTCAGGACTTGTAAGTTCACGTTTGCTCTGTCTAACTCAGCCCTTGCCCAAGACGCCTATGACTTAGCAGCAGTATAACAGATCAGGTTGAGGTGCAGTCCAATAGATGGGGTTGAAAAGGGGCCAGACTAAAGCCAGCCATCCCCAAAAAACAAGGAGAAGCAAAAGCACAAGTCAGTTCCTGTGGTTAAACCACCCAGGTTACACAAACAGACCCCATGCCATGCTTGCAGCTGGATGAACACAGTGCAGGTAGACCAAGGTGTCTAAAAAAGTAGCTTTACATTCCATGACATATCACAGGCGTCATGATCCATGCTAATGTGCTGCCTGTGGGACTGCTGAGCTAAGAAGCTGTGCTCAGAATGGGACAAGAATTGTTCATCAGGCCCTCTCAGTAATTGAACAGCATTTTAAAGATCTGGCTTTCTTCTTATCTCAGTGCTGGCTATTCTTTTTCTTTTGGCATTTCTCTCAGTTGCTGGTCAGGCTGGATGAGTTTTCTCTTTCCCGTCTTTGGGCATGAGCAGCATGTGCCTGGGTTTGGGTGTTTAGCAGCCTGCAGGAGAAGTGTTTGAAGGTTCTCAGAGCAGTTCCTGCTGAAGATTATCAACTAATGAGCAGTCTCTGCATGCAGGCCAAAGACTGGAGGAAGCTCAATGTCTTCCAATGCAGGGCTGCAGAACATTACCAAGATAAATTTGGAAGCAAACACAGCCATTTTGCAAGACTCTAAAGCTGCACAAGATGTTTCAGTTCCTGGATGGTGTAAGGCCATCTGGAACTGACATCATTTGATGTCTAAAGTAAACTAATTCAGGATCGTTGGAGTTTGAAACATCCTTGACCTTATTTGATGTCAGATATCTGATTTAAGGGGAGAAGAGAAGGCAATTTTAAGAGCAGGTTGAACTCCCAGCATCACTGCAGGCTGTGCTAGTCACCCAGCAGCACTGTCACAACAAATCAACTTAGTTACAGTAAGTTACATAGCCAAAAAAAAAACCAAGAATCCCAAGTGAAAGAGAACAAGGCTAGTCTGGTTCCCTGTGTTTTTCTTCTAGACTCAGGGCCTTGTCTTACTGCCTTTTAGCTACCTGGTGATGCCATACATGCGGACAGACTTACAAAAGATCATGGGACATGAATTCAGTGATGAAAAGATCCAGTACCTGGTCTACCAAATGCTGAAAGGGCTAAAGGTAGGTGGGACTGGAGGAGCTTAGTGACTCCCTGTGTCTCCTCTACATGTCACCTCTGGGTTGACCATAACTAAACCCCCTTCCAACCCTAGTTGGAAGATTTGGGGGGGTTCATGGCATCCCCTGAGATATTTGCTGTTGAACTGCTCTTTTTCCAGCACACATCAATAAAGCAACTGCTTGTTCCCATCAGTCAATTGGCTGCTGAAGCAAGCATCAGTCCTAACCCTGGCAACTGGTTTTACCATGACAGCAGTTGTGCTGGTTTTTGACTAGCCAAAACCCTTAGCAAAACTGTGCAGAAAGAGGCTGGCAGCAACAGGAGCCTCTGCTGAATTCCTCACAGGGGCTCTCAGGGAGCAGATGGAGGGAATGATTTTCTGTTCAGTAGAATAAGGAAGGAATTTGCTGCTGTAACCAGCTTTGAGAGCTGAGAGCAGTCAAACCTGGGGTGTGGAGGCAGTGGAACATCCCTCACCTGGGGTCAGAGCAGGGACTTCCAGGCACTAATGAGTTCATCTTAATAACACCTTTCCACAGATCACTGTTACCTGAAGTTTAAATAGAGGGGGGAAGAACACACAGAAGGTTTAATTGGTATGACAAAAGCCACGTAGTCAGGTTTTGTGACTGGACAATTAGATTATTTTTTTCCCCACATAGTTTAACACCCAAAATAACAAAGTTTTCCTGTCATCTGCTGCCTGTGCTCCTCCCTGTAATCCTGATGCCTTTGTTTGATAGTGTGAGGCTATTGGTATGCTTGTGCTAAAGAGCTATTGCTCCATCTCTCCTCTGCTGCTCCACACCTCCTCTTTAGAGTGGCAATATCACGGCAAATAGTCAGAAATTCAGTGCAGGGGTTTCAGTGCAGGATCTGCTGCCCCGTGGACCTGCAGCCTGCTGCAGAGTCATGTTCTCAGCAAGTTCTTGTTTGTAGCTCTCATTTCTCTGCTGGAGACCAGAAAGTCTTGTCTGCTGGCAATCACATTGTGCCTTCTCTTTTTATTGCAGTATATCCATTCAGCTGGCATCATACACAGGGTGAGTTCATGTGTGCCTTTCCTCAGCTTTTTGTCTGTTTAGGAGAAACACAGCTTGGTTGTAAAGTGAAGAAATTCCTAAACATCTTTTCACTAACAGCCTTCTCTGCTCTAAGGTCTTTCTCCTCCTATACCCTGTGTCTGTTTGGATTTGATCATTTGTGCAGCTTTTGAGGAAACGCTGTATTTTCTGATGAGCTGAGAAACGTTTTATGATGCTTTTTGAATTGAAACTATTTGAGAAAAAATCAGTGGTGTAAAGCTGTACAGTATAGCAGCACGGTGACTGCTGTGCAGACACTGGAGTTGGGATGTTATGGGACCCTGTCAAAGGCAAGCAGAGGTTTGGCTGAGGCTCATGTGGATGTGTTGCAACCCCAGACATCCTCATGACTCCACTCTTGTCTGTTGTAGGACCTGAAGCCAGGCAACCTGGCTGTGAATGAAGACTGTCAGCTGAAGGTAGGTGGAAAAGCACCACTTTGCAGCATATCAGATCATGGAGGAACTGCTCTGCCAGCAGGAATTTGGCACTGTCATGTTTCCTCTCTCCTTCTGAGACCCGGTTCAAGGCGTTGCATTACTCAGCGGTTGCAGGCAGTGGGAAATACTCACCTGCTGATGTAACTTGCTGAATCAGGGCCCAAGACTTGGAATGAACATCCTGTTGTCATAATTCCTGCTTCTTGGCAGTTCCTAACGACTTCCTAAGTAAATTCAATACTGCTGAGCAATACTTGTGTTAGGTGTACTATCCCTGAAGGATAACTGCAGTCAGCCACAGTTGCCCTTTGGTTCTCATTGACGTGGTGGTTGTGATTCCACACAAAGCTATTTTCAGTATTGCTCTGAGGAGTTTCCTTGCAGCTCAGTGGTGCAGTGCTCTGGCACCTCTCTTCTGCAATGTGTATTACGGGGCATGGCTGGAGAGGTTGGGTCAAGGGACATCCATTTCCAGTATTGAGGGAGAGGCCGTTGCCAGTGAGCTGCAAGGTGTTTTGATAGGAAAGGGTGAGTAGCTGTGGCCTGTGAGCTGTCAGGCTATGAAACAGCTCAATTAAATAAAGCTCATGGAGTTGAAACTTAAGCTTCAAGAAAAGAAATGACCTTTCAGGTAGCTCACAGCACTGATCCTTTTGGCAGGGTCTTCATGCAGCTGGTTTTGCAGCCAGGTTGCAATTCCCAAGGGAATTAAGACAAACCTGTTAGTTCTTTGAACTGTCCCGTGGGTGGCTGTGGTGTAGTTGGAGCTTCCTTATTATCTCATTGGATCTGCTTTGTTTCCTTGTGGAAGCAGATTCTTGCTTGCCTGTAGGATTTCTGTTTTCTGCCTTTCCTTCTCCCTTTTCCTTTGGTGAACTGCAGATCTTGGATTTTGGCTTGGCCAGACATGCTGATGCTGAAATGACCGGCTACGTGGTTACGCGCTGGTACAGAGCCCCAGAAGTCATTCTGAACTGGATGCATTACAACCAGACAGGTGAGCAGCAGCGTGACTGCCTGGTGACAAGCCCAGGGATCCCTGGACCACACCTGGGTCACATCTCGTATAATCCTCCAGATGTTTTCCCTCTTTATCATCTGTATTCCCTAAAGCAGAGCGAGTCTCAAAGCTGTTGCACAACTCCCAGAGCTCGTGCCTGCGGGAAGTGATGAAAGCAGAGATTTTAGCAGTGTAGAAACAACAGGGGAGGGTGGAAAATGGGAGTGACATTTAAACTGGTGCCTGCTACAAGCAACAAAGCAACAGCCCAGCAATCATGGCTGCCTTTTTACTGCCATGGTTTTGTCTGTTTTGCTCTCTGAACAGTGGATATCTGGTCTATTGGCTGTATCATGGCAGAAATGCTGACTGGGAAAACGCTGTTTAAAGGAAAAGACTGTATCCTTTCAAGTTAAACCTTTTCTCTGGGGGGAGTAATAGTTCTTGGGGGGTGTGAAGGGGCTTTTATGAATGAGGAAAGCAGGAGTCAGTCTGGTTTACCAGGAGGTAATTGCATGGAAATGGAGAGAATGGGAGGAGGCCAAGCCAGCCTTAGAAATACACCTCTGTGCTGGCCATATGTGCTCTATGTCAGTCTACTTCACATAGCCATAGCTCCATCCCCAAAACCTCACATATCCCCCAAGCCCATGGCATACCCCTGGCAGAGCTGTGCCAGCAATATTGCCTGTTGCTGAAAATGGCATTCCAAGAAAAAAGCCCTTGAGCTGTTTTTGTCAGTCTCCTGAGTGTCTGCTTGTGTGGCTCTGTTGGGTTTGTATCATAACCTACTCCCAGCTCCCCCGGGCCCTGTGGCTCTGCAGCACCCAGCACACAGGCTGAGCTGCTGGGGGTGTCCAGGGCTCACCCCCAGATGGGTGATCTTTAACACAGCTGCCAGACCTGGATCAGCTGACTCAGATCCTGAAAGTAACGGGGCACCCAGGAGAAGACTTCGTGGAGAAGCTGGAGGACAAAGCGGTAAGGAAGTTCCCTGTGGATTTGTCTTGCTGTGTGTGGTGAAGAGGGGTTACCTTGGCCATAGCTTTGAGATGGGAGAGGGGCTGCTTGTCCACCACCAAAGAGGAGTGACTGCCAGCAGTCTTGTTCCCCATGACAGGGAAGATGCTTCTCTTTGCTAGTGGAACATCTGATGGATTTGGCATTGCACTGGGAACTGGTGTGGATTGCAGGGATACCCAAGTGAGGTCCCTGATTCCCCAGCAAACTAACAACCTCCTCTGTTCTCCAGTTTGGCCCTTAAAGCAGAAATATTTCTGTATCGCAGTTGATTAAAATGATTCCACGCAAACTGGTGACTAAAATGTGGCATCTGGGGTGACTTGCTGCTCTCTTCAGTTGCCTTTGCTCAGCTGAGCCCCGAGTCCCAAGAGCTGTATCTCACACCGCCTCACATCTGCTCTTCACATCTCTTTCAGGCCAAGAGTTACATCAAGTCCCTCCCTAAAATCCCCAAGAAGGATTTGTCTGTGCTTTTCCCCAGAGCCAATCCTCAGGGTAAGTCATCTCCAGGGTTTCTCAGGAGTTCTCACTGCTGGAAGGGGGCAGGTTGGCCACTACAGCGCCAGGCTTCTTTCTCCTTCTCACAATTTCCTCGTACTTCCTCCCTTGCAGGTTGGTGTCCCTGGGCACATAAGTAGGAATTAAAGGCAAAATGACTCTTTGCTGGTGTTAACATGGCAATGTTCTGCTGTTCTTAGCTATTTACTTCTTTAAGTTTAAAATGGCACAGCCTGTAACACACAATATTTGAGGAAGAGAGAAACTTCTGACTCATCAACAAGCCAGAAGAGAGCTGGTGCTGGATTGAACAGGATGTTGAGATTATGGGATGCAAGTTGTGGGATTAAGACAGTTGCATTATCAGCTCCATTTGGTATGAGAGTTGGGATAAATTTTGGCCAGTATTGGTTTGCAGAAGTTGTTCCTTGTAGCCAAGCAGGTGCTATGTGATCAGTAGTGTTCAGATAAACAAACCACCTCTTCTTTGTTCATCATTAGTTCCCAGCTCCACATCAAAGGCATCATAGTTCTGATAAACTGTTATTTCTATTAACTCTAAACTGTTGAAAACCTGGATCTGTTCACCCAAGAAGCACAATTTTCAGGGGAAAAACTGATCTCTTGCAAGGAACAATTTTCCTGAGCAGATGAGAGGCAAAACTATTGTAAGATCTGAAAGTATTAAGATGTTAAAACCAAGGGGGGATGGGGCAGACAGACTAGAGGGTATCTGCATTTCCTGCCTTCATGTTTACCAGTGATGCATAGATTTCTGTATAGATTACCCATGTTAAGAGTGCTTGGAGTTGTGGGGGCCTAAGTGAATGACTAAACCTGAAAACTATCTTGAAGTTGCTGATTTCTTACATTCTTTCAGCCCCATCTGTGCAGCAAGACTTATTCAAGATTAAATTGATATTTCTGCACCATTTACGTCTCCAGCTCTGTTAGTAAGAGCTCCCTGAGGCTGCTATTGGGCAGACTTTGCATCCCCTCCGATGGGAGCTCCATACTCCCCTGGTCAGGCTGAGGAATCTCTTTTAGGTCTGGAGATGTAGTACTGGGAGCACCTGTCCTGGCACAGGATGCCTGTTCTCCACCAACACCTTGCTTAGACCTTTTCCTGTCTTCTGCAGCAGTGGACCTGCTTGACAAGATGTTGCAGCTGGATGTGGAGAAGCGCATGACAGCCACGGAAGCGTTGGCTCACCCCTATTTTGACCAGTTCCGAGACGTTGAGGAGGAGACAGAAGCACAGGAGTCTTACGACGATTCTCTGGAACACGAGAAGCTTTCCATAGATGAGTGGAGAAGTAAGAAGTTTTTCTTTGAAGCTCTTGTTTAGCACGGGACTTCCCTACCCCTCTCTCTTTCCTGTACACCAGCTATAGAGCCAGGCTGAGAGAGCTGGGCTTGTTCAGCCTGCAGAAGAGAAGGCTCCTGAAGGGGAGACCTTAGAGCAGCTCCAGGGCCTAAAGGTGCTGCAGGAAACCTGGAGAGGGGCTTGGGACAAGGGCCTGTAGGGACAGGCCAAGGGGAATGGCTTTAACCTGCCCGAGGGGAGACTGAGATGAGCTCTTAGGCAGAAGCTCTTCCCTGTGAGGGTGCTGAGGCGCTGGCACAGGGTGCCCAGAGAAGCTGTGGCTGCCCCATCCCTGGCAGTGTTCAAGGCCAGGTTGGACACGGGCTTGGAGCAAGCTGCTCCAGTGGAAGGGGTCCCTGCCTGTGGCAGGGGTTGGAGCTGAATGAGCTTTAGGGTCCCTCCTCACTCTAGCCATTCTATGATTCTGTGCTGGGTAAAGCATAGATTGATGATGGCAGCGCATAGCTCCCTTGCCATGCTCTGCTTTTATGCATTCAGCAAAGGTTCCTCCAGCTCTTCAGGCAGACTTTTGTCTCTGTCTGCTTTGTCTCTCTCTTCCAGCTTCTGTAACCTCTTGCCCTAACCTCTCCACTGAACACCTCCTCTCTGCACAGAGAACACTCACACTTTCATTTGTGTCCTCTAATATCACACCTTCCTGGTTCTTTTGTTCTGTTTTTCAAGAGCATATTTACAAGGAGATCTTGTCCTTCAGTCCCATTGCACGGAAGGACTCAAAGAAGCGGAGTGGGATGTCGTTATAGCGACTGGTATGGCTGTGGCTGAGATTCCCTGCTGGATCATGGATCAGGTTTACTCCACGCTGTTGTGCTGGTGGCCAGTGTTTGGCCTGTGGGACTGCTCTGTGTGCCAGCACAAGGATGACGCTATGCTGTGAGCACTGGACTTTGGTCTACTAAAGGGGGAAGCACCCCAAGCAGTTTTCAACACAAAAGATAAAATATATTCTCATTGCAACTTCGATTGGGAGAATTTTACCTGGTGTTTCTTTATTTTTTTTATTCATTTTTTTCATGTTTGTCCACTTGAGAGCTCCATTCTCATTAGTTTTTCCAAGCACAGCTTTTAGTACATCAATTACGGATAAGGTCAAGGAAAAGGGAATACTGTCTGGGAAGTGAGTCCCAGCCAAAATGATTGGAAATAGTGAAATTCAGCACAAGAAGTTCTAACTCTGGGAGCGTTCCCTGTCCCTGAGCAGTCCCACAGCACCCAGCACAGTGATGCTTCTGGGATGGTGTCGGCTGCAGGATACTGTGGGAACCCAGTCCATCATGCGAAGGGTCTGTGTTCAGAGCAACTCCAAGCTTGCTGTAACAGCTCCCTGTGCTTCCTCCTCCACTGCCTCCTTCTCTTCTTTTACTCTGCTTATTCCATCCCCTGATCAATGCTGTCTCCTTATTGCCAGCTGGAAACGCACCCTGGGAGCTCAAGGCCACTTCCCACCCTGACAGACCAGGTATCCCAAGGAGCTGGGTTCTGCTCAGTCTGCTTTCCCCAACGGTTCTCTCTTCACCACCCTTATCTCTTGCTGAGCACCCTCTCCCTGGGGTAACTGCCTGTCTCTTGGAAGGGCTGGTGACATGACCCCTTATATTCTCATTCTTCTGCCCTATGGGATCAGTTAAAGCAGGGATCCTCTGCTTCAGTTCTCTTTAACAGCTGCTTGTTCCTCAGTAGGAAGAGACATTTCAACTGGTCATTTGGAAAACAGTCAATTGTCAGGGCTAAAGCTCAGCTCATATATTGGAGGGGAAGGAAGTATGTTGCATGAACAATCAAGCGTTAGAAAGGGGAACGCAATAATTCAGCTTGGTGAGCACAGAAAACTTCAGATACCTTAGTTTCTTGGTATAAGATCAGCTTCTTCAGTTGGCATCATTATAAATTGCATCTAAGGTAAACTCATGAAATAGAATATCTCACAAAACCCACCACAGGCTACAGAACATCCTTCTGAATAAGAGCTTCAGCCCCTTCACTGCGCTTCCACTGAGGGTTTGACTTTTTTTGTCTGCCTATGCAAATTTTAATTCATTCACTTACTTAGTGAATAATTCTTGGTAGCTACAAGAAGTCACCTTCTGAGATGCTTGCGGTGGGATGGAGAGCATGTGTCTCCCCAGCCTGCTGCGTACAAACCTGTTCTGCCTTCAGCAGGTACAGAGCTTTCTACGGGGTGAAAAACAACACAACAGTCTTTGGTTTTTCTCCTGGATGGGGACCAGAAAAATTGTAGGATGATGTGAGAAGATCCAGACAACTTGACTGGATTGAATTGCTTTGCAAATGTGTTCAGATAACCAGAGGGAGGTGGTTTTCTGAACACAGACCAACCAGGCAGTCGTCTGGTTCCTCCCTCCAGGGCCAGTTTGTTCCATCTTTTAGTTGTACACTAAAGTCAAATTTAAAAGTATGTTCTCTCTGCAAAGAGAATTAGAGTCATGGAATGGTTTGGCTTGGAAGGTATGTTAAAGCTCATCCAGCTCCAGCCCCTGCCACAGGCAGGGACCCCTTCCACTGGAGCAGGGTGCTCCAAGCCCCTGTGTCCAACCTGCCCTTGAACACTGCCAGGGATGGGGCAGCCACAGCTTCTCTGGGCACCCTGTGCCAGCGCCTCAGCACCCTCACAGGGAAGAGCTTCTGCCTAAGAGCTCAGCTCAGTCTCCCCTCTGGCAGGTTAAAGCCATTCCCCTTGGCCTGTCCCTACAGGCCCTTGTCCCAAGCCCCTCTCCAGCTTTCCTGCAGCCCCTTCAGGCCCTGGAGCTGCTCTCAGGTCTCCCCTTCAGGAGCCTTCTCTTCTCCAGGCTGCCCCAGCCCAGCTCTCTCAGCCTGGCTCCAGAGCAGAGCTGCTCCAGCCCTCGCAGCATCTCCATGGCCTCCTCTGGAAGCTCAAGAAGACCCACATCCTTCTTGGGTTGGGGACCCCAGAGCTGATGATTTTGTACACCATACATCTCAGTAGTCCTTTTGAAATACAGCCCATACCCACTTTCGTGGCTTATTCTGAAACCAGGTCACTGCTATTTCTTGACTGCAGTGCTAGGCAGGTACCGCTTCTAGTTGTGATAATACCTTTGGACTGCAGCATTAATATCTTCTTAGTTGGCATCTTCTTCCCTATTGCAGTCTGTCAGGTTCAGCCAGTCATTCCAGAATCTATCCCAAGGGACATGTGCCGAGTGACAAGTGTCTTTTCTGTGTGAGAGCTTGGAGCTACAGATAACTATTAGTTGAGAAACACATGAACTCGGTCATACAGGCAGTAGCTTCCAACTCTCCACCCCTTCTGTAGCTGTTGAGTCATTCTGGTTTGGTTAGCTGGGACATTACTTTTGATAACTCTCTCATTTTCTACTTTGCCTTAAGCAATATCCAGGTTTGCTGCCCAGACCTCAATGAAGGGAAAACTCCAGCATTACCAGAACTTTCTGAGTTCTCATCTCCATCAGGAACCAGACAAGATGATGTCGCATCTCTCTGCAGCAGCTCACGTACTCGAGTAACCCCCAGTGCCTGCAGTGGTTTGATATGAGGGTGCTGATGTTATCCTGCTGCAGCTGCACAGATGTTCTGTGCTGATGTGATGCTGCTTCTCTTGACCCCTATCTCTCTGGGCCATGCACAAGTCCTTTGCCTTGCTCTGCTCTTAGGCAGGGCCAGCAAGCACAGAACCGTGGCAATGTTCCCACAATTCTCTTGAAATGCAGTGAGTTGGGTACAAAGCCCTCCAAAGGTGGTGTCCTGCTGACTTTCTCTTGAAGAACCCCAGCTTGATGAGCATAAGGGATCATCCTCCCTTTTTTCTAAGCATGAGACAGCCTTGGGCAGTGGAAGGGGGAAGGTTCAGCTGCACTGGTCAAAAGCAGTTGAAATGTCCTCTTGAACCTGGCACCTGCCTTGGCTGCTGTGGCCTCCATGTAATTTTTAACAGAGGTCAGAGAGGAGCTCGCTGCTGCTGCCACAGACATCTAGGAGAGCTGCAGACATTTAGAGCTGCCTGTGCCCTGGGGAAGCAAGGCTTGGTGGGCAGCAATGGTGGGTTGTCATCCAGCTCTGTGTGTGTGAATGCTCGGGGAGGTGTCTGAGGACATGGCCAGGCCTGACTCCACTTCACGTGACACAGAGAGGCAGGGAAGAGTTGTAAAAGCTCACTCTTGTGGAGGAAATTGAGTAGATCTATGGAGGCTTTAGGAGTACAGAGCTTGCTTTCAGAAAGTCATCTGTTAAGGGAAAGAACCTGTTCAGACAGAACTCATAAACTGCTTTAAATGGGAATTCAGGATTGATTTCTTCATCATCTTGCCCCTCTTCAAAAGGGGATGGGCAGACCTGAAGAGGTCTGGAGTTACCTGGTGCTCTGTCGTGATAGCTGAGGGAGAAAACATCTCTGTGATAAATGAATGTCCTGAGCAGTCTACTGGCAGTTGAAAAGGAGCCTCTGTAGTTTTAAATAATAATGTGTTCCAAAGGGGAATTGTCTGTTTACCAGATAAAGAGGTACTGGGGACTTCTGATCTGAATGCGTGTGAGAAGAACAAGGGTGAACACAACCTAGTGGGCTATGCGGGGCTTGGAACTAAATGATCTTAAAGTCCTTTACAACCCCAGCCAGCCTGGGATTCTATGCAGATTTTGCTGTTAGCAAAAGCAAATACAAGTCCCGCTTGCTTCAGGGCTGTGAAGTCTCCTCAGCATCTGTCCTTCTGCTGAGTACACTTCCAGGAAACACCTTGTGTTTCAGGGACTGGGTTTCTCTGCAGGTTTTCTCTTTTGAGAGTTCCTTCTGAAACCTCAAGAGCAAACCCCAACAGCCGGTGTGTGGGTTTCATCATTCCCCCACCAACCCCATGCAGTGAGGGCACACTGTCCAAAAGCCAAACCATTCCTCTGCAATTCCCAGTATCCTGACAAATGCAGGGAGCTGGTGCTCTGCAAGCCCACAGCGCTGGAACTGTGCTTGGGTTTGTGGTATGCACCAGGCAAGAACTCAGCATAGATGGCAGGAAATGGAGCAGGTTGGAGTGGAAAGAGTCTCTCTCTGTGAAGACCAACCATCCCAGGGCTCCTGCAGCATCTGACGACTCACTGCAGTGAAGAGGAATGAGCTGCTTAAAAGGGAAACAAAAATCACGCTCACATTTCATGAAAGGAGATTGAAAAGCAGCCAGTCACCCCAAGTGGTGAGTCAAATAGTCCAGACTCCACTCAAGAAACGGGGAGCCCCTGACAGACCCCATTAGGCAAAGAAGAAATCCTCTTGTGCCAGCTGGCTGACCTGCATACTTTTGTTAGGTTTTTTTCCCCCTTGCATAGTTTACATACTTAAAAATACAAAAGTGAGTGATAAAACTCATTCAACCATTAAGTGAACATTCAAAATCCCATAAATGAGGCTGGCCAGAATTAAGTTTCCTGTATGTATGAAGGATGTGTGATAAAAATGGGGACGGATCGAATGTTTGTCTCACCTAATGTGCAAATGTTTCTCTTGAAATACTATTTACTTGGTTTTCCTACATTTATTTCTGAGATTATTATCTCAGCTTTAGTTCTACTTGCAAAGTGAAGCCTTTACTATAGCAAATCCTTCTGTGTAAGACTTGTTGCCAGCTAGTTAGGTGTGTGAAGTTGCAGTTTTATGGGATGGATTTATTAGGGACTTCCAGATGTAAGTGGGAAAGAAAAAGCAGATGAAGCAACGATTACTATTACTTTATTTTTATTTTTCCTTTCTTAAGAGACACCACAAAATGACCAGGATTGTTTTTAAGAGATATGATGTTTACAATGCTTTAGGCACCATCCAGAAACCTTTTGGTGTGGAGTTGTGAAACCATCTCCAGCCTCTTAGAAAACTGCATGCTTGCCCTATAGGAAATGGTTGGACTTGATGATCTATAAAGGTCTTTTCCAACCTGGTTGATTCTCTGATTCTGTAAAAACATCTGAGAATCTGGTTTCCTGTTGAACCTTTTCACATTCTAGGTGCAGACTAAACAAATAATTTCCAGGTTTGAAGTGTCTGATAATGGAAGAGCAGAAAAACCTAGAAAATAATGAATACAACTGAGAACTCTAGTGAGATATCCCCAGAGGCTGGGACGCTCAGCAAGTCTCTGATGACTCTGAGCTGTGTGGTGCAGTCAACATGCTGGAGGGAAGGGATGGGATGGGATCCAGAGGGGCCTGGACAGGCTGGAGAGGTGGGACCATGGGAACCTCATGGAGCTCATTAAGTGCAAGCTGTTGCCCCTGGGTCGGGGCAGTCCCAAGCACAAACTCAGACTGGGGGAGACTGGATGGAGCAGCCTGAGGAGAAGGACGTGGGGGTGCGGTGTTGGGTGTGGAGAAGCTCCTCATGACCCATTAGTGTGTGCTCACAGCCCAGAACCCGCCCTACCGTGTGCTGGGCTGCACCCCAGAGCATGAGTGGCAGCTCAGGGAGGGGACCTGCCCCTCTGCTGTGCTCTGGGGAGACCCCCATGCAGTCCTGATCCAGCTCTAGGGCAGCAGCACAAGAGGGACGTGGAGCTGTTGGAGCGAGGCCAGAGGAGGCCATGGGGCTGCTGCAAGGGCTGGAGCAGCTCTGCTCTGGAGGTGAAAGACTGAACAAAGACCAGAATAGCCACTACTAACTGACTGATCCCCAAAACTGATGAACACACACTGCACTAATTGCAGTGACCACAGAATCATTTAGGTGAGAAAGGACCTTTAAGATGGAATCCAACACTCTGAAGATGTTAAGAGTTTCCAGGTGAATGTGGTTTATGGGCTGTTTTGCCCAATTTCTCTCTAAAAGGCTATTCCCAAGCACATGGGTTTATAAGCTTTTAATGCAAGGTTCAGGCAGTGCTGCTTCACAACCCATTCAGTCAGCACTTAGGCTGATGGATAACTCTCTTATTAGATTGTGCTCTATTAAATAATGCTGTAAGGTTAGTATAGATCTTCAACCCTCATTGATTTCCTGTTAAGTGGAAGTGAATTCACTTCTTTTAGCCAAGTTTGGTTGAAAAAACAAAAACCCTCCCACCATCAATCATCATTTCAGCTCCATCTTCAGAACACTTTACCTGAAGAAAGGTTTGAAAACTGGGATTTGCATGTTAAGATTAAAAAGAACATCCCTGAGGACATGGTGTTTGTGTCACCTCTGATGATCCACACTCACCCAGAAAGTGCAGCTGAGCACTTGCAAATCCAGTACCCAAGGCAAATCTCTCAGAGAAACCAGACTTTCAACTGTTCAGGAGCATGAGGCCTTTTTAGCACTTGCATTGATTTCAACTATTCTGAATTAAAACCCAGAGCAAACACCTGAGGCAGAGGCAACAGCAGTGCTCATTGATGAGGCTTAATGAATCATCAATCAAAAAAGGGTAATGCTCAATTCCAAATAATTTTCTCCCCCTTTGAAGTCTGTTTTATACATCTCAATAAAGATGAGGACAACTGGAGTATGATTGAAGGTGCCCAACTCTGTTTGAGCCCCCTTGGTTCTGGAGCTCACCAAGTGTAGGTGATGCCCAGCACCAGCTTCCTGTTCTGTCAGGCTGATTTCATTTGAAATCGTTGCACCCTTTTAAACCTGGGAGAGTATCAAGGACCTGAGTTGAGTTGTGCCTCTGGGATTTGAGAATTCAAATCAGAATCAGCTCAGAATGGCAGTGGGTTGTTGTTTTGTTTTTTTTTTCAAATAACACGTTAGTCCCACAGCTCTACTATAAGCCTACATGAGGGATAACTTGTTTTGACCTTGTAACATGTGGCCCCCAACCTTCAGAGGTATCTGTGTATTGCACTGTTCACAAATCATCCTCCTGAACCCTGAAGGGCTCTTCACATCCTTTGCATGAACAAATCTTTGCAAGAGGGAACCTAATGTGGCTGTATCTGGCCAGTTCCAGTGCAACTCCAACGAGTATAAAGCTTCAGAATTAAAAGTTTGCAAAAGCTTATCATATTTAAAACAAAAGCAGACACCAAAAGTGCTAGGAAAAATGGAATCAAATACAGTTAAAATCAAGTTGTCGCATGTAGAAGGCAAGTGAAATAGTGATTCACTTATTGAAATGATTTAATGTACAGATTAACTGGCTTCCCAACTTGGAAGCAGAAACAGCTACAGATTATATACAGACCATGCTGTTGCACTGTTCTCCTGGGTTAGATAAGACCTTCAAAAATGAATGACACTTCTGGCACTTTAAATCTTTGATGGTTTATTTTTCATACAGGACAAGAACAGAATCTATTCTTTTTGGAGCTGTGATGTGGGAACAGTAGATTCTTTAACAGGTATACACAAAAGGAATACTTAGAGGTTGACACGTAAGGCTGCTCAGCAGTAATGTGTTTTCTCATGCTTTTAAGACTTCAACCAGCTCTGGTCTGCCCTGCTTACTTCCCAATAGATTTGGCATAGACTGGCTGCTCTCAGATTCCATACCTAACATAGGTTAAGAAACAAAATGATTTATAGTTGGATGGGAATGAGGGAAAATAGCATTTTTTTTTCCCATTTCTGTTAATTCTATGAATTCAGATTATGCAACGCTCTGCACGATACGAGTGGGAGGTGGAGCATACATCTGCCCAAGTATGTGCTGTGCTCTATAAAAAGTAAGTGTAGGAGCCTCTGCAGCTCCTACCTCACCACTTATCTCAGCTGCAAACAGAATTTCAGCCTTGCTGGTCCCTCTCTTGCTATCCTTCCACCTTGTCACAGCTCCTCACACCTCAGGAAGCCAGCTGGACCTCAAGGCTCACACTACAAAATAAACACGGACTCCTATTATTCCCCTCATTTGTTTGAGGGTGCTTGTCTGGGCTAAAGGCGGTAGAGCTGAGGCTGCAAGGGCTGGGCTCTCCTGCCTATCCTGAAGTTCGCAAAAAGCGGGTGCGGGATGAGGGCACCCCAACGAGCAAGGCCGCAGGCTGCCCAGCGCCGGTGGCGCCGGCGTTCCCTTAGCAGCAGCGCTCCGGATTAAGGGATGCCGAGCAAACCCCAACCCCGAGGAAGGGGGCAGCCCCTCCGCCCGAAGCCGGGCCCGTACCCGGCTCCTCTCCGCCTCGCCTGGCACGGCGGTAGCAGACCCCCCCCCCCCCATGCGGCCAGCGCTGAGGGACTCCCCCCACTCCCCGCCGTTCCCCGCAGCCCCCCGGGGGCCTCCGCGCCGCGCGGCCCGGGGGTGGGAAGGGACCGGGGAGGGGCGGGCGGTCCCTGCCCGCGGGGGGGAGCGAAGCGCGGCAGCCCCCTCCCCCGCCTGCCCGCCGCCTTCCCTCGCCGCTCGGCCGGGCTACGCCGCCGCTGCCACCACCAACCCCGCCGCCTCCATCTTGTGCGGGTGTCCCCTGCGCGCCCCCCCCTTTGCCTCCGCACGGCACCGAGAGCGGCGGCAGCCCGGGGAGGGGGTGAAGGGGGAGGCTGCTGTGGGGGAGGGGGGTGTTGGGGGGAGAAGCGGCACCGGGGCAGGAGCGGCGGCAGCGGCGGCATGAGGAGGCGGCGCTGAGGCGGCGGCGGTAGCCGGAGCGGACGGAGCCGACATCTTGTGCCCTCCCCTCCCGCCGCCGGCTGGGTGAGCCCGTCCGCCCCTGGGGGGAGGGGAGGGGGAGGCGGAAAGAGGATATAAAAAAAGAGGAGGAAAAAAAAAAAAAAAAGGAAAAAAATAACATTAAAAAAAATATCCCCCAAAGGAGGCGGCGGCAGCGGCGGAGCCCGCACTGAGGCGGCCAGGTAACGCGCTGCGCGGGAGCCCGCGACACCCTTCCCTCAGGGGGTCCTTCTCCCACGCTATTGGCCCAGGCGGGGCTGAGGGCGCCCTCCCGTTAGAGCAGCAAAGCCCTGCGCTGCTATTGGTGGTGGGGTTGGGATGGGCGGCGGCGGCAGCCAATAGCCTTTGGCGCTGCCTGCGCTGTCGCTCGCTCGCTCCTCCTCTCGTTCCGTTCACCCTGGGCATGTTTTTCGCTCCCGGGGCCGGTGCCGCGGTGCTGAGCCGGGAGCGGCCCGGTCCCGGCAGGGTCCCTGCTGCGTCTTGACCCGCATCACTGGCTGCTGATGGGGCTCCCTGCAGGCAGCCCGTGGCCCTCACTGTGCAGGGTAGCTCCAGGCCAGCGCTAAACACCACTCATGGCGTTTCACGGTTCCACCAGCTGCTGCTGAGGCTGGACACAGGTGGTGTGCGCTGTGATCTGTTGCTAAGCTCACACTTTACCTTAAGCTTCATTCTCAGGCCAGCATAATCATAGAATCCCAGACTGGTTTGTGTTGGAAGGGACCTTAAAGCTCCTCCAGCTCCAGCCCCTGCCACAGGCAGGGACCCCTTCCACTGGAGCAGCTTGCTCCAAGCCCCTGTGTCCAGCCTGGCCTTGAACACTGCCAGGGATGGGGCAGCCACAGCTTCTCTGGGCACCCTGTGCCAGCGCCTCAGCACCCTCACAGGGAAGAGCTTCTGCCTAAGAGCTCATCTCAGTCTCCCCTCTGGCAGGTTAAAGCCATTCCCCTTGGCCTGTCCCTACAGGCCCTTGTCCCAAGCCCCTCTCCAGCTTTCCTGCAGCCCCTTCAGGCACTGGAGCTGCTCTCAGGTCTCCCCTTCAGGAGCCTTCTCTTCTCCAGGCTGCCCCAGCCCAGCTCTCTCAGCCTGGCTCCAGAGCAGAGCTGCTCCAGCCCTCGCAGCATCTCCGTGGCCTCCTCTGGACTCGCTCCAACAACTCCACGTCCCACAAGGGTATTGCTGCCCCAGAGCTGAACCCCGTATTCCAGGTGGGGTTAAAACATCCAGTAGTGGATGTTTTGATTTGACCCCCTCAACACAACAGTTGAGGACACTTTCAGCAGACGGGGCAAGTGAATTAAAAGTTGAAACTCACCCTAGAATTGTCTCACACTGTCCCTGCTCCAGCAGGAGGTGCTCTCTTGAGGCCTGGTGCCTCTCCTGACAGCTCAGCTTGGCTACAGGAGTATTGGGGTGCCTATAAAGATCTCTGTGTATGCCGGGGCACGTGACTCTTGGCGGTGTTTGCTGAGCATTGACACACTTTGTTGTAGATGTCAGCATGGGCGTGGGGAGCATAAACCCTGGGCAGGAACATGAGGTGACTATGGCCCCAGGGAGAGCACGGAACATGGAGGGACATTGACAAGGGCAGCAGGAGTTTCACCTGCATTTTGGTTGGCAAAGGAAAGGTGGAAATGGGGCTGCGACTGTTCCAGGGTGTTTTTCCCTCTGGCATCCATTGCTTTTAATTTATTGATGTGTTTCTTATATAGCTCCATGGGTGTCTGTTCCCCACGGCGCAGGAATGGGTTTTAAAAGGCAAGAAGCAGCTGCCCGGAGCTGCGTGGCTGGCAGCACAGGACAGCGATGCAGAGGAACATCTCCAGACCTCATGTTTGACTTCATGTCCTGAAGAGTGGCAGATTTTGGTAACCTTGAACCTCAAACTGTTTAGGGCTGTATGAGCTGTAGCCACTGCCAGTAATAGTGGTGCACCAGAGTGGAATGAGAGCCACGTTGTTCCCATCTGCTGCAATCACTGAAGTTCTTCATCATGGAGGAGCCTAGTTCTTCACTGGGATCACCAAGCTGTGCTGGGAAGGGCCAGGAAACTTCCCCAGCAGCGCTGCCTTGAACTTCAGCTTGTGTCCGTGGCAGGTTAGCAAAGAAACCTGGTGCTGGAAAGCAGCTCCTTGGTTGTTCAGTGTGGGAAGGCTGGAAAAGGACTGCAGTGGGAAGGAGGGGTGGGAAGGAGGCAGAAGTCTGCGGTGCAAGAGGGTTCCTTTGACCTTGGGTACAGCCAACACAGTTGCATGGGTGTAAATTACAGCAGCATTTAGCCCTTTAGAGGATCTGCTTGCACTGGATTTTCCAGTCTGTGTGTATAGTAGGGGCCTGTATTGTGATGCTGTTTAGTACATGGATCTCTCAGGTTTTTTTCCTGTGGAGCTTTTGACCCATTTGTACTAGATTTAAGTCTCCTGATGGCAGGCTCATGTTTTTTCAGTCACCTTTGCAGCCCCTGCCCCTGGCATCTCTGGCTCACCAGTGTGAAAGCTGCTGCTCAGGAGGGCTGAACAGGTCCTGAGCAAACACCGTGGGTAGAATTTAAGTTCATCCCCGTGGCTTTGTGCATTCAGCCGCTTTGCTCAGTTGTATTCTCTAGGAACCTCACCCCCTGCTCCTGGCACGGTACCCAGCAGAAATGGATGATGGGAGCGTGTTTGGAAAGCCTTGAGCACGCTGGTGACAACGAGGGGACAGCTGAACTTTCTTCTTTCACCTCATCAACCTTTGTCCATGGTGGGGCAGAACCCTCACGGGTTGGAACAGCATTTAGCCCCACTGAAGCCAAGTCTGTTCAGCGTTTCGGTGTGCACAGGTGCTGTTTGCAGAAGGATTCTTTTTTATCTGTGACTGGGAGGTGTTTTCAAGTGTGCCACGAGGATCAAAATGTTCCTAGATTGCTGCTTCAAAGTTTCTGTTGCTGCAGGCAAGGTCACAGGGTTCAGTGCTCGGTGCGTCTGAGCTGTTTCATTGCTGCTTTCAAGGTATTTTGGAAGTGGGTAGTTCTGTCTCTCCTAGTATCTGGGTGCATGTCTTATCCTGGGCACTCAGTTCTTGCTGGCAGAGATTTCAGTTCTGGTTTAGATGCTTCTGTGTAGCACCAAGGAATTGTGTGTTTTACAAATGGGTTGGTTTATGGCAGTGGTGGAAATCCCACTTCGGGTAATTTTGCTAGACAATACACTGATAGTTTCACTAAAGCGTCAGGAACCCCAAAGCCTTTGTTGTTCCTTTCAAGATCTAAAACAGACCTTCCTTAAGATGCTTGTTCCACTGGAATTTGCTCATGCCTCAGCACTCCCAGCTAACACCTTGTTTTTCCTGAACACAGTATTAATGATGAGTGTGGTCAGCTCATGCTACTTACTTTATCCTCCAATATCTTTCTTCTCATATACCTTTTTTGCCTCCAGTATCTTCAGAATTTGGTACTTCTCTCTGGAATAAGCTTCTGGAAGGGACTTATTGTAGGTCCTGGTCCTGCAAGGCTCTGCTTGCTCTGACTTGCATATTTGAGACTTTGTGGAGCTGTGTCCCTCACAGCAGAAATAATGCAATGGCCAAGAACAAATTATGGGTCTGGAGTGTGTTTTCTTGTCTGCAGGTCCCACACAAAGGGGCTGAAAGTGTGGATTGGCTTAAATAAGGGTGAGGTTCTGGTTCAGGCTTCTGTGTAGCAACAGATAAGCTCTGGGCTGACTTATCATTTGCTTTTCTTTGTCTCCTCTCGTTTGTTTCAGCCTCATCCCTTTTCTTCCCAGAAGGCATGCTCCCATCCCTGACACTGCCCTTCTCACTTGCGTTACTCACTTGGCTTCCTCTCTTGTTTTCCCTGTTTGCTGCCTCCCTCCTTTGCCTGCAGATCACCAGGCCTCTGCTGCCATGTCCCCATCCTCCCCCACATCATCTCATCCAGGCTCCTGCTCTGCTCCCTGTGATGGGCACCTCCTTAATGGCAAGGGCTGACTCAAATATCTGGGTTGCTGATTAGCAGTTTGTAAGGGCAGAGCTGGCTTGGGCTTTTCGTTAAGGCTCTGGGCAAATACCCTTTTTAGCTGCTTTCCTGCTCATATCCCTGTGGATCCTCCGTGCAGAGCCGGCTCAGCTGCCTGAACATGGATTGTGGCTCCAAAGGGGTTAACGCTGACCCAGAGCTAGTAAGTCCATCTGTATCCTTGCTGCTTGTTCCCATGCTCATTCCCTCTTTGCTTCCTCAAGGATCCCACTGAAGAGCAGAAGGGTTCTCAGCTAGCACCTGCTGCGTTGCCCAGTTCATTCTCTGGTTGTGTTTGGAATTTTGTGACCCATTTTGCTTGTTGGGAAGGACACAATCCCTTCAGTGTGTGGACTGAAGGGACTGAGTGTCTGGAAAGGGGTGTGAGGAACAGCTACGTTTGTGAGAGACGGGGGAGGAAAGCTGGAGGATGGTTTTGCACTACTTCTTGCATCCACAGTGTGGGAAGGGAAGTGGTGGGCAACTTGGAGGAGCTCCATCCCAACCTAAGGGAGCACTGCTAGTTTTCTCATATGTAGCTCTGTGACCAAAAGAAAATGGGAACTGCTTTCATAGGACAGGAACAGTGCTTTCCTTTCCATCTAGAAAACATCCAGCACATTTTGTGTGCAATTAGGGCTATAAAAGAAAAGCCACAGGCAAAAGAAGAGAGACAAACTCCTTGGCTTGTGTGAGTTTATGAAGGTGCAAGCACAGGCTGGGCAGAGAAGAGATTCAGAGCAGCCCTGCGGAGAAGGACTTGGGGGTATTGGTTGATGAGAAACAACATGAGCCAGCTTCAGTGTGGCTTGCAGCCCAGAAAGCAACCGTGTCCTGGGCTGCATCAAAAGGAGCGTGACCAGCAGGGTGAAGGAGGTGATCCTGCCCCTCTACTCTGCTCTCTTGAGACCTCACCTGGAGCATTGTGTGCAGTTCTGGTGTCCTCAACATAAAAAGGACATGGAACTGTTGGAACAAGTCCAGAGGAGGCCACGAGGATGATCAGGGGCTGGAGCAGCTCCTGTATGGAGACAGGCTGAGAAAGTTGGGGCTGTTGAGCCTGGAGAAGAGGAGCTGTGTGAAGACCTCAGAGCAGCTTCCAGTGTCTGAAGGGGGCTATAAGGAGGCTAGGGAGGGACTCTCCCTTAGGGGCTGTAGTGACAGGACAAGGAGAATGGGTTGAGACTTAAACGGGAAGTTTAGATTGACTATAAGGCAGTTCTTTACTGTGAGCGTGGTGAGGCACTGGAATGGGTTGCCCAAAGAAGCTGTGAATGCTCTATCCCTGGCAGTGTTCAAGGCCAGGTTGAACAGTCTTGGGTGACATGGTCTAGTGTGAGGTGTTGGAGGGGGGTATTGGAACTGGATGGTCTTAAGGTCCTTTCCAACCCTAGCTATTCTGTGATTCTATGAGAAGTACTATTTAGGTTTCAGGGGATCTGAATGTTTTGCTGAGCTGAATGCACAGCAGTGTTAGGATGCTGCTATAAAATCAATTTGAACTCTTCTGTTCTGATGGTATTGGGGGTATGTACATGTCCTGACATGCAAATAAGGAAGGTTGGAGGGTGCTCACATAGACATTTCAAGAAATGGTTGATATTTCCATTGCCCGCTTGTATCTAAGAAGATGTAAAGACTCAGCAAGGTTGAAATTGCTGGAGTCTCTAGTAGAAATGTTATTCTATTGCAATGCTGAGTGAGTTTTTGGATCTGTACTGCTCCTTGCTTGTCTCATTGGCTTATGCTGTCTCCTGTCCTGTGTTGTTACAGGGTCTCTGGACTGCAGGGATGAGGAAGCCTCGGAGGAGGTCGCGGCAGAGCGTGGAGGGGAGGCGTTCGCCTTCACCCTACAGCCTCAAGTGCTCACCCACTCGGGAGACACTGACCTATGCTCAGGCCCAGCGGATTGTGGAGGTGGACATTGATGGGCGGCTTCATCGTATTAGCATCTACGATCCCTTAAAGATCATCACAGAGGATGAGCTGACTGCTCAGGACATCACAGAGTGCAACAGCAACAAAGAAAACAGTGAGCAGCCCCTTTTCCCTTCCAAATATAAGAAAACCTCTTCCAAAGGCAAGAAGAAGGAGTCCTGCTCCAAACATGCACCAGGGACATATTTACACTTACCCCAGCCCAACTTCCGTGTGGTGGACTCCTTCAGCCAACCAGAGGCTCCTCCTCTCCCTGCTGCTTACTACCGGTACATTGAAAAGCCTCCTGAGGACCTTGATGTAGAGGTGGAGTATGACATGGATGAGGAGGATCTGGCATGGCTGGAAATGGTCAACGAGAAGAGAAGGGATGATGGTTACGGCACAGTTTCTGCTGACACGTTTGAGTGGCTGGTGGATCGGTTGGAAAAGGAGTCGTATCTGGAGAGCCGGAACAACGGGGCTCAGCAGTCCCTCATTGATGAGGATGCCTTCTGCTGCGTCTGCATGGATGATGAGTGTCACAACAGCAACGTCATCCTGTTCTGTGATATCTGCAACCTGGCTGTACACCAGGAGTGTTACGGCGTGCCCTACATCCCTGAGGGGCAGTGGCTTTGCCGCTGCTGCTTACAGTCCCCTTCTCGCCCTGTGGATTGTGTCCTTTGCCCAAACAAAGGTGGAGCCTTCAAGCAGACCAGCGATGGCCGCTGGGCCCATGTGGTTTGTGCCATCTGGATCCCAGAGGTCTGCTTTGCAAACACTGTGTTCCTGGAGCCCATTGAAGGGATAAATAACATCCCCTCAGCTCGGTGGAAGCTCACGTGCTATATCTGCAAGCAGAAGGGCATGGGAGCTGCTATCCAGTGTCACAAGGTGAACTGTTATACTGCCTTCCATGTCACCTGCGCCCAGCGGGCTGGTCTCTTCATGAAGATTGAACCCATGAGGGAGACGAGCATCAACGGCACAACGTTCACCGTGCGCAAGACCGCCTATTGTGAGAGTCATTCCCCACCTGGGACTGTGAAAAAAGGGTCTCCAGCTGCTGGTGCTGAGGGGCAGGAGGCCTCTGTGAAGGAGGAGGCAGAGGAAGAAGCCAGTTCTGGCCCTCCCAAAGGATCTCTGAAGAAGAACCACTTGAGGTTGAAGCAGAAGATCAAGAAGGAGCTTGGTGATGTGACTAATGGGCGTTCGTCTTTGCCCATGGTGACAGTCACACAAATTCCCTCTTACAGGTGAGTGTCGCAGGTTTAGGGAAGGAGGTGGACAGGGTCTGTTTTGAGGACTTGATCCCTCTTGTTGGCCTTGTGAACACTGAATCTGCAGTCAAGACTCATCACTGGCTGTCTTCAGAGAGTGCTCTGCAGAACCCTTCCTGACCAGGGTTGCTCCACATGAGTGCTGAGGGCAACGCTGTGGTTTCCCTGCTTTACCATCGCAAACTGCCGGGTAACACAGAATCTGTGGAGGTCCCTAACTGAAAACAGCTCTTTAGCATCTGGATTCACACAGATGGCTGTGAAGATGTTCTTGAAACACTTCAGGCATTGCAGTTTGGCAGGCAGATAGAGGTCATCCTGCTATTGAATAGTTTTTAATCTCTTCATTTCATAGTTTCTTAATTCCTTTTATTGCAGAGCAAGCTAAACCTGTCAGTGTTGTAAGCAGCTTTGAATTTGGCTGTGTGGGGGCTTTTGCCTCCCACTTCTCTCACAAAAAAGTAGGTAGTGCTGCTAGTTTGGTGCATTACGAAGTGTGGTGATGTGTTGCCGGTATTTTAACAGCTTTGGAAAACTGCTGATAAGGCACCACATATAATCTAATGAATGATTCAAAAAGGTTAAAATAGGTGATACATGATTCTTGGACTCTTATGAAGTTAGTTTCTCAGACTCCAGCTTAATAACATCAGACTTAAATGTCCCCCAGGAAAGTTCTTGATGCTGAAAGTAGTTTTGAAGTGAGGGCTTGGAGCTGAATTTGTGGCCGCATACTTTGACTATGCTGTGGTGAGTGCTTGGTGAGAACCTCCAGCTGAACTGCTACTAACATAGGTTATACTGTGAAAAGCAGGCACATACGTTTTCATGGTGGGGAGGTTGCACATTGTTCTAGTTGCATTTGTAGTTCAGAGTGTGCATTGACACACAAAGCTTCATTAGGAATTGTGATGGCATCACCAGGGTCTATGGAGTCTTGATTGCTTCGGGGTTGCCTTCACAACACCTCTTTGCTTCCTTCAGGCTCAACAAGATCTGCAGTGGCCTCTCCCTCCAGAGGAAGAACCAGTTCATGCAGAGGCTCCACAACTACTGGCTGCTGAAGCGCCAGGCGAGGAATGGGGTGCCCCTGATCCGGCGCCTGCACTCGCACCTCCAGTCCCAGAGGAACGCAGAGCAGGTACTGGTGCCCAGCTGGACCCACATGGGAGGATGGAGAGCTTGCTTTCGGGGATGAATGTGCTTGATGCACGGCTGGGAAGAGGAATGAGGGTGAAAGGATCAGAGGGTAAACTGATTTAAGTCTCTTTTGGTCACCTCTTGGTATGCTCATGCCTGAAGAGCTGAGTTAGTATATCAGTGCCACTAGTATCTCACATGCCACTAGAACTGGTGTTGAGGAGCCAGCAGATAAGAGCTTTTCCCCTGAGTCAGGAGACCCAGGACCATGCAAGGGTGTGATGGGCCCTTGGTGGAATCATCTCTTAGATGAATCATAAAACCACATTCCTCGCATGTGATTAGAAATCCCCTCCTCAAGAGAAAAGGTGTTAGCTCCAGAGTCCTGGCCAAGCTCCAGCTTGGGTCGGTCTTCATGCAGCTTCAGTTTCCGACCCTCCCATGCACATTCGTGTGGAAGTTTAGTCATATCCATCAGCTCTGGACTCCTGTGCTTCCTCCTGTGAGCTGGCATCCAGAGTCACTTGATCTCAATGCTGTTAAACAGCACTGAGTTTAGCTCACGTCAGTGGCGAAATCATGAAGCAAGTGGACTCTACCCTCTAACATAGACTCTCAGTAGGTGCTGTGCCTGTTGTGCATGTTGTACATGTACATTTTTACTGTAGTTGGAGGAATTTATAGGCCTTTGGTTTGCATGAAGACTGCTCTGGATGTATAATAAGAAAACCTATTTTCTGCTCATCAGTCTGGAGCTTGGGAAAGTGCAGCATTTCCTTGGTGTATTTGGCAATTTACTGTAAGTAAGTTCTTAAAACCAAATGTCCTATAAATAGAGCCCATCAGGACCTTGGGGAAACAATTGTCCTCTCCTGGCAATCATGTGAAAGTGTGTGCGCTTCAGGTACATCCTCAAACCCATTTAAAAAGCTACAGATTTAGGAAAGGATGGATGATTGCCACTGAACTGTGTCTTGGAAGGTGTGAGCTCATCTCCCAGCATTGGCTCTTCCATTGTGTTTTGGTGAATCTCTTTCCCCGATAATTTCTTATTGGTTACAAGGAGGATAATGTTAGCTCTTTCTCTGCTCTCTTTGCCTTTCTACTGTAAAAGCTTTGGGCTGCATCTTCCATGCACAGCAGCCAAGAGAAAAATTTCCAGCCTCTATAATGAACTTGGGTATTTATAGCCCAGTATGTACTGAAGCATGGTCCCAGAGTGTAGCTACAGGATGATTTAGGCCTAACTTCACAGATAGATAACATAATATCCAGAAAGGCTGATGTTGTGTTTGTTAGCTAAATGGGGCATCGTTTATAGTCAGGAGGAAGACTATGAGAGCAGTTCACAGGGGACACCTAGAAAGAGGTTTTATTTCTAGCCCTGCTGCTGTGTCTTCCAGAAGGAGCAGGATGAGAAGACCAGTGCAGTAAAGGAAGAGCTGAAGTACTGGCAGAAACTGCGGCATGACTTGGAGCGGGCGCGGCTGCTCATCGAGCTGATCCGTAAGAGGGAAAAACTCAAACGGGAACAGGTAGGGTCCCGAGCTTGCACTGCTCAGCCTCTACCCTCAGAAGCAGCACTGGGGTGCAGCAAGCTGGGAAAATGGATTTGCATAACTAATAGTGAATTTGGTTCTTGACCTACAGCACCACTTCTGTTTCTGAGCACGGAGTAGGTGTTTTGCAGAGCAGAAGTTAGATCGCCTTTAATGATTATTGCAGGAGGTTGGTAACACCTACTCCAGAGAAAGAGCTAAATCACAATTCTGCTCCTGATTTCTAAAGCTAAAAATTCACGTGGTTTGCCCTCTGGTTCCATTTTTTACAAGAAAGAAGTTTTATGATGGATACCATTTACTAAATTTTTCAGTTTCTTCTTTGATCTGTATGCTGTTCTCCAAAGTTGCACAAGTTAAGGTTGCTTCCCAAGCTTGCCAGCTTTGTCTGTTGAGGGTCTTTGCTTGCCATGCCTGGTTGGTCTCTGAGGCCACAACTGTGCTCTCTGGCACCAGCATCTTCGAGGACAGCTTCATTAGAGACTCACCTTGTGCACTGTGAGCCTGTGTGCGTGACCTCAGGCACTGCCTGGGTGCTCTCAGGCTGTCTGCAGAGAACCAGGCAGAGGGAAAGCAGCATCCTCTGTGATCACAGCTTCTCTGCGAGCTGTTTTTTCATGACCATAAACTGCCCACAGCCTTTTTGATGGACACCTCTTTTGAGGTCTTTTTTGATGCAATTTTGGATGGGAAGATCAAAAGAAAAGTGATTCTTGGGTTTTGTTTGCTTTCAATATCTTGATAAATCCTTATGACAGTTGGCTAAATCCATAGAAGCTTTGGTGTCCTTTATAAAAGGATATCACAGGAAAGTGTGTATCTAGTTGGACCTCTCCCCCAGCCCACCTAAAAGGTGAGTGGAGAAGGATGCTCCAGAGTCCCAAGTCTTTTTTTGACTTCTTTCATTGTTTTGGGGGAAGAGCATGGTCTTTATGTCCCATCTTCATTCATTCTCTTATTGATGCTGTCTTGTTTATCACAGCAAATACAGCTTTTTGTAAACAGATTTGCTTTCCTTTGCTACTGAAGTGGTTGATTTAATGGCATAATGAGGAATTATAAGATCAAAGAAATTAAAATGTTAAGGGAGAGCTAAACACTTCTGTTCTGTTCCAGTCTCCTTTGAACAGAGTTTCATTGTAAGAGATCAGGCTGGTGCTACAACTTGTTTACTTGAAATCAAACTTCATAAGGGTTGGAAGAAGCTGTATTAGGGACTTGCAGACATCTAACTGGTGTTGTTGTTTGGCTTCTGCCTTGAAGTGTGAGAGCTTAAATCCTGAGCTTTGTTTGTGCTCTTTAGTCTAATTACAGATGTTGTTTATGTAAACACCTACATACTTCTAACTTTTGTATAGTGTTGCTAATAGACATAATAACATCTTGAGGTAGTGGGTTCTATAGCTTATTTTACCAGGCATGAAAAGCTTCTTCCTATTTTCATTTTTAGTTGTATTATCTTCTAAATTTCCAGCCTTTCCTCTTGTTTTGGTTTGATGAGATTGCATAAGCCCAAATTCCCCATACAAAAAGATTGAACTGTGCAGTTTGACTCTGCAGATCTGCTGATGTGGTTCCTGCACGTGAAGAGGATAAGGTGTTTGCCAGAATTTCTTCAAGCAATGAGTGTCTCAGGCTGGTTGTGACGATCTGGGGTTGCCACCACTGAGTAGAGCTGCGGTGATGACTCAGGAGAAATCGGAGGGAGACACCACTGGTGTATCCTGTCCTCTATAGTTGTGCTCATCACTGTTTTCCCATCCCCAGGTGAAGGTTCAGCAGGCTGCCATGGAGCTGCAGCTTACCCCTTTCAACGTACTTCTGCGCACAACACTGGACCTGCTGCAGGAGAAGGATGCTGCCCAGATCTTTGCAGAGCCTGTTAACCTGAACGAGGCAAGTCTCTTTCCTAGAGGTGTCTAATGGGTTTTAGATGAGGGAGTTCTGGGTAGAAGCATTGGAAGCCACCTTATCCCAAGCTGCGGTTGGACTAAAGGGTATCCCAAAGAGGACTCACAGTGGGGTACCCTTCTGGGCCAGAAGTAGTGTATTGCTTTCTGGAAGCTTCAGCACGTCTCAGTAATGTTTTGCAGAGCCAGGATGTGTCTGCCTTGACTGAGTGATACAGAAATGAACCGCTGGTGCTGCCCTTTGCTAGTGGAAAGGGCACTGAGTGCTTATGATGGATGCGCTCTAGTTGGCTAGTAAATGGTTTTTGTAATTGTACAGGTTTTATATGTTTAGGTTCCAGATTACCTGGAATTCATTTCCAACCCAATGGATTTTTCCACCATGAGGCGGAAGCTGGAGTCTCACCTGTACCGAACATTGGATGAGTTTGAGGAAGACTTTAACCTTATAGTTACCAACTGCATGAGGTATAATGCTAAAGACACGATTTTCCACCGAGCAGCTGTCCGGCTCCGAGACCTCGGAGGAGCGATATTGCGCCATGCACGGCGGCAGGCTGAAAGCATCGGCTTTGACACTGATGTGGGGATTCACCTGCCTGAGTCACCCAAAACTGAGGACTTTTACCGCTTTTCTTGGGAGGATGGTGAGTGTTAGCCTTAGTTTTTTTCAGGTAGATCATAACTGTGTTCTTTGTTCTCAGCATGTCACTCAGCTGCTGGAAATCAGAGCCATCATTCAGCATACAAGAGTTTCCCTATCCGTGTTTACCTAAGTATATATCTAACTTTAAAGCCTCAAAGGGCAGGATTTCAGGTGTGCCGGACATTCTGAGGTAGGTGCAGCTTTGGAAGAAGCTCTTCCCTGTGAGGGTGCTGAGGCGCTGGCACAGGGTGCCCAGAGAAGCTGTGGCTGCCCCATCCCTGGCAGTGTTCAAGGCCAGGTTGGACACAGGGGCTTGGAGCAAGCTGCTCCAGTGGAAGGGGTCCCTGCCTGTGGCAGGGGCTGGAGCTGGATGGTCTTAAGGTCCTTTCCAACCCAAATGATTCTATGTCTGTCTCAGAAGAGCTTCGTAACTGCCCATGTTGTTTGATTTCTGCCATGGCTTTAGTACAAACTTGGTATTTTAAAGAACAGGGCAAAAGTGGATCTGGGATTTCTTTGCTCTGAGGAAGGCCTGTGCATTTCATTATAAATTGGCAAGGTGCAAAGCAACTGGGTTCGATGGAGCACTGAGGGCTGGCAGGAGCTTGATGTAGGGTTAATGTCCTGGGACGCAAGCAGTCTTTCTAGCTGAGACTTCCCATTCATAGCATGACCACATCCATTTCCACTGCCATCTGGAGATGCAGCTCCAAAGCACTGGTTGAATAACTTGTCTAAACCTAGCATAGAATATTGCTGGCATCCAGAGCTTGCAGTCTGCCATCAAGTTCATAAATGTTGCAGCATTTTAGATTTCTGATGGATAGTTTGTTAGGAAACTTGTATATATGAGAGCACGTCTGTCAGCTGTCTGCCCCACTCCTGCAGATGCCGGCCCTTCAGCAGAGCCAGAGGAATGGCAAACATGTTGTGTTTTGACCAGTTCTGTCTGTGGTCTGATTTTGTTGTTTAATCTGGCAATGAAATAGGTTTCTGCCAAGGACCTGCACTGTGAGCTGTCATGGGTGCAGACGTATGTCCTTTCACTGTTGCCCCTGGGACAGTAATGGGAACTGGAGGGCAGAGCAAGTTATACCAGCTGCCCTTTACCCAAATGAAGGAAGTCCGAGCTCCAAGGTTAACAACTGCTGAATCTCCAAACTAAAGCAATTGCTTCATGAATAGTATCAAAGAGAATGAGGAACGGCAACGTTCCCAAATGCTTCTTCAAGAAGCCTTACTCCTTCCCTTCACTGTTATAATCTCTTTTGGTGCAGTGGATAACATCCTCCTCCCAGAGAACCGGGCTCACCTCTCCTTGGAGGCCCAGCTGAAGGAGCTTCTGGAGAAGCTGGACATGGTGAGCACCATGCGGTCCAGTGGTGCCCGGACGCGACGTATCCGGCTTCTGAGACGGGAGATCAATTCCATTCGACAGAAGCTGGCCCAGCAGCAGAGCAGGACCATGCCCAGTGGAGAGCCTGTGCTGAGGGAAGAGGGCCTGGATAAAACACCAAGGGAAGGGGATGAGGAAGGGGAGAAAGGTAAGAGGTTACAGCAGGGTACAGGTGTATGCAGTTCTGGTGTCCTCAACATAAAACAGACTTGGAGCAAGTTCAGAGGAGGCCACAAGGCTGATAAGGGGAATGGAGCACCTCCGTTATGAAGACAGGCTGAGAACACTGAGGGTATTCAGCCTGGAGAAGAGAAGCTGCGTGAAGACCTCAGAGCAGCTTCCAGTGTCTGAAGGGGGCCTACAAGGATGCCGGGGAGGGGCTCTTCATCAGGGACTGCAGTGACAGGGCAAGGGGTGATGGGTTCAAACTTAGATAGGGGTAGTTCAGGTTAGCTATAAGGCAGAAGTTCTTCACTGTGGGTGTGGTGAGACACTGAAACAGGCTGCCCAAAGAAGCGGTAAATGCTCCATCCCTGGCAGTGTTCAAGGCCAGGTTGGACAGAGATTCGGGAGTCATGGTCTAGAGTGAGGTGTCCCTGCCCATGGCAGGGGGGTTGAAACTGAATGATCTTAAGGCCCTTTACAACCCTAACCATTCCGTGGTTCTTTGATTTTAGCTCCAGCTCTAGTGCATGTCAGCAGTTAAGACCTGCTGTTTCTCCTATCTGTGGCCTTTGTGAAAGGTGGGAATGGCTGTGGAATAACTCTTTGGGAGTTTTGGGAGATAACTATTTCTAAGATGTTCAAGCAGACTCTACTCCTTTAGCAGATGATTCCAAGCCCCCGAACCCTCCAACCCTGGAGCCCACAGGACCTGCACCCTCCCTCTCAGAGCTGGACTCTCTGCAGGACCCTCCAAAGCTCAAACCCATCAGTGAAAGCAAGTCCTCGAACCAGCTGCAGAAGAGGGTGGTGTTGAACAGGGAGCTCTTTGACAAGAAGGCTCTGCAGCGGGAGAGCCAAGCCTTCCAGCGCCTGCTCAGCGACAACGGGCTCAACGGGCTGGCCTTGCCCCCTGCAGATACCCCCTCCAGCCCTGCCTTCAGTGGCGTGGGCAGACGGACATCTGTCCTGTTCAAAAAGGCTAAGAATGGAGTGAAGCTGCAGAGGGGCCTGGACTGCTCCCTGGAGAACGGGGAGGACCAGCAGCTTTCACCCTCCTGCCCCGATGGGGAGCAACAAGCCCGGAAGCGGCCGCAGAGCAGGACCTGCAGTGAGAGTGATGGAGAGAAGTCACCCAGGCAGGCAGGACAGAAAGGTAATTACTTGGGATTTCTCTTCCTTCTGAACCCTTGGAAACTGCGTAATGGGGCTGAGGGAGTAGGAATCTAAAGTAAAGATGTCTGCATCCAAACTGCTCCCCTGAAACTCACTTTATGCTTGAGGGAAACAGTGACCATCATCAGATGTGCCTGGTGAAAGCTCCAGTTCTTCCACACATGTCTGCAATAGGGCAGACAAGGCATGTCTGTAAGGGATTGCACCTCTCTCCTTCAATGGCTATACATGGAGTTTCTAGTAACTTAGTTCAGAGCGGGGCTAGAGAAGGGCAGTGGAGCTGGTGCAGGGCCTGGAGCACAAGTGTGATGAGGAATGGCTGAGGGACCTGGAGGGGTTTATTCTGGAGAACAGAAGGCTCAGGGGGGACCTGATTGCTCTCTACAACTGCCTGAAACCAGTTTTTCCTAGAGCATTTTTCTCTCATGTCTTCCAAATGACACCTGGAAGCCAGATGAGCAAGTGGTTCATTTCCTGGCCTCTGAGCTTCCCTGGTGAGCTGGCTCTCCTATTCCATCCCTGGGCACTGTTCTAGCACTTGCTTCTTCAGAGACTGCCTAATTTTTTGTGTTGCTGGTAGAAATACCTTTATTGGCCACCTTTTGGTTGCAGCTGAGTCTGGGGAACTCAGTACAGAATTTTCCTCTCTCATTGAAGCACTCATCTTTGTGGATGTGAGTCATGGGACAGTGGCCCCACCTGAGCCGTGGTAGCATCTTTGTGTGTTGCTGCTTCTTCTCTGGGCTGATTCCCATTTGTCTCCTTGGCAGGAGTGACCAATGGCTTTGTGAAGCACACAGAGAGTGGCTCTGACTCTGAGTGCAGCTCTGGCCTGGGCAGTGGGCTGGTATTTGAAGCCTGCAGGTAAGTGCCCCAAACAAAACTGTCCTCAGAACACCTTCTATGTCTGGATTAGTCTGCCTTGTTTTATTATTCAACCTCTTTGTTTCAACCCCAGCCCAAACTGTTCCTTATTTTGTGTGTTGATCCTAAAAGACAAAGAGCTTCTGAGGTTCCATCACATCCTATTAAACCCAAATGCAGTGCTTCATTTTCAAGCAAATGGGTCTTCTGTTCCTCAATGCATGCAACATCCTCTGCTGATGGATGCATACCTTCTTGCAGCACTTGAGAGCCCAAAGTAGAAAAACCTTGAACTCAAATGTCCTGTTCAGCGCTACAGGCGCAGCTGAACTTCTGCTACCTGCTGAATTGCTGCTTCCTTCCTCTTGGAGGTTTAAAAGCAGAACTGGGCACTTCAAACAGACCTGAACAGACTTAAAGCAAACATCTGTCATCTTTTGGTCAGATGTTGGGGTACCATATCTATTTTCTGGTCTACCTGTCCAAACTAGAGTCAGTGTTAGGAGCCCTTTTACTGCGTGGTAAAACCTGCACTTTGCCACAATCACCTTTATGTGGCAGGCTGAGGACATTTGACCTCCATGGTCATCCTGGAGCATCCAGGACAGGCAGAAGCACAACTTTCTTATTGATACTCTTAGTAATATTTTCTGCCTTGAACATGTTGCCCTCTGCTTGTCTTTGATGACCCCAAGGATGACCCATCATTAGTGAAATATGTTCAGACCTTTCCTCCCAGTGCATGTACTCAGTCCTGTAAGATTTCAAACTTCCAGTGTCATTTGGGCACTTACAATCATAAAACTCCCCATTCTCAGGTCTGAACATACAGACTATGTGTAACACATTATTCTGGTTGAATCCCAGGAGCCATTTTCAAATGAAAACTTTGCTCTGTTCTGCAGAGTGATCCTAAATGTTGGCTCTCAAAAGAGGTGGATAATTTTGCAGTTGTAGCTAAGGTTTGATTACTGTTTCCATTATGAATCTGTTCACAAAGGCTTCTTTTGCCCATGACGAAAGGCAAGGCCCTGGGTTCAGAGAAGCAGTTTTGGTGCCAGGGCTTTTCCCTGTGGCAGAGTGGTCCTACTCCACAATCAGGTGCCAGACAGCCTGAGGGAAGCATGTGGCACCACAGTAAATGATGTCTCAGCACAGGGTGGCACCTCCAGCTCTTCTCTGATGCAACACCCACCCATTTCGTCATCTCTTCCCTCTTCTCTGGGCTGTGTGCCCTGATCTTCAGATCAGTCCTTGCCTCTTCTGTAAGCTGGATGCTTACAGAAGAGGCATCAGCCCATGCAGATCTCACCAGAAGGTCATTGCAGGAGGGCTGGACTAAAAGACTTTTGAACATCCTTTCCAGCCCAGACTTCTCTGTGATTCTGTTTTGATAAACTTGTCAAGTAAGGAGCTGCATCAGAGGGAACAAAAATGAGACCCGCATTCACACATGGTTGAAGTGTCATTTAAATGAAGGCTCTTGTGTCATGCAGAAATCCTTCACTGGGTGAGGGTACAGTCAGAACAGGACCAGGAGCCAGGAACTTCCTTTCAAACCATATCTTGGCCTTATGGCCACACTGTACTCACCTCTGTTTGCCCCTGTGTAAGCAAGGGAGACAAATTGGAATTCACAGGGGAGTGTGGGGACTTGTTAGTTGGTGTTTGTATAGTACTTTAAAGCTGAAACGTGTGATGTAAATGCTTACTGCAATAATTGCCAGCAATTCACATAGCAAAAATTACATTAGAGCTATGCGACATCCACAAAACAAGGAATTAATACCAAGCTGATGTCTCATGGATAACTTGTACAATTCTTCTATTCAGGAACTGCTGTTTACTCCTTTTTCTCCAGTCTTTCTTTTTGAACACCAAATTCACCCAGAATGGGTTATTAGAAAACTTTAAAAGAAAAATGGAAAAGAAATCCTCAAGAAGTGAAAAAAACAGGATTGCTTGAGGTGGAGGTGATAGTCAGTTTTCTGTCTATAATATTTGTAGCAATGAGGTGAAGGCCATGGGCTGAGAGAGTCCCAGCTGCATAGATACTCTCCATCCCTGGCAGTGTTCAAGGCCAGGTTGGATGATGTCTTGGTTGACATGGTCCAGTGTGTGGTGTCCGTGCCCATGGCAGGGGGGTTGAAGCTATGTGACCTTAAGGTCCTTTGCAACCCAAATCATTCTATGATTCTGTGATTCTATGATTGATTCTATATTGGAGCCATGTTGGAGGGCTGCTCAGTTGTCTCTGACATCAGTACACAACTGGCTGAGCTCATGCAAGCTCCAAACGTTACCACATCAGCTCTTCAGCATGAGGTCTTTGCTGGGTTTCTTTCTTTGTTCATAGCTTGGTTTCTGGTGGGCCTCTTTTATTGCTTGTGGCAAAGCTGGGATATGTCCAGTGGACTTGAACCAGAAGAAATGTATCGATGGTTCACTGTTCTTTTCATGTCAGTGATGTTACAGTGTTTCAAACAGAGCTGGGGAATCCATTTCTTTGGCTTTGTTTTCAAGGGAAATCTGCTTTCTCCAGATGCCTTTCTTTTGCATATCTTCCCAACAGCGGTTTGATGCCTCCCAAGCGGAGTCGAGGGAAGCCAGCTCTTTCCCGAGTGCCCTTCTTGGATGGTGTGAATGGAGACTCTGATTACAGCAGCTCAGGTGAGAACAGCTCTGCAGCACGTCCTGTGCTGGTCCCGACACTCAATCTGATCCAAGGAGAGAAGGTCTCAATGCAGGAACTAGTCCTGGGTGACTACCCAGGTTGTCCTATCAGGCTGCTTACCTGCCCGTGCATTGCTGCCTGCTTGGTTACAAGTGTAGGTTATTGCATAAAAGGTTTTTCCTGCTTTTACATTTGCTGGTGTTCTCCTCAGATGGGTGCTTTCTGTACATCTGGTGTGTATGATGCACCTGGCACTGTTTTCACCTGTTTTGCAACTAGTTCTCTTTAGCGATGCTGCAATACAAGCAGTAAATCATCATTTTATATAAGAGAAGTCTCTCTGGAGATGACTTTGTGGCTGCTCCCTCCTGTATTGCTGTCATTGCTTTCAGGGTCTTTGTAACAAAGTCGTCTTTGCCAAGCTGTAAAATTAAGTCACGCTCCTCTAGTCCTACACAAGGCACTACACCCGTCTTGCAGTGCTCACGTGAGCAGATTCTCGTCTTTCTTACAGTGTGTCAGTGCTCGAGTTGTGGCAGGTCTGTGCTGAAATCAGGACTCAGCTTTGACTCCCTGGTACAGCTCCCATGTGCTGGCTCCCGTCTCCCTGGGAACCATTATTATCCCAGACCCCAGGCACTCAGCAGGCTGCTTTGGAGATAAGCTCACAGAGCAGGGCTGGTGCTGGGAGCATTAGAATCAGTGGGAGAATTCTGCGCTTTAGAACTTCATTTCATTATGGAGGAATACAGTAGTGGAGAAGTTTGTCAGATCCGTTTGGCAGGGAGCTCTTTTGGGTCATACTCAGTGTTTTCTAGATACAGTTTAAGTTCTGGTAAAGCCAGTGTTTGCCCATTTCTCCCCCAAAGCAAGTACTACTTGCTGTAAAATTCACATTAATGGAGATTACTCCTTTTCCAGGACCAGGAGCTGGCAGATGAGTTATTCATGTCTTGAATGGATCCTTTGCCATGCCATACTTCTGACTGAAGTTTGAAAAATTAATGGTTAATAGACTTCTGTCAGTTAGAACCAGGCATTTCCCACAGGCATCAAGTACCCCCATAGTATTATGGTATCAGAATAATATAGAGATTTGTATTTAGGAGGAGTAAAAAGGAGCTGTCTGAACAGTGGCTCAAAGTAATCTCAGATACAGCTTCATCTGTTCCATTGGGGATGGATTTGGCTTGGTGGAGCCTAATGAATCAAATTCATCTCTCACATACCCATTTGATTTCAGTGGTATAACAGTTGTTCACTCCAGAATTGAATTTGATTCGCAGTTCCATATTGAAGAGTTCATCTGAAGCTACATGCACTAACAGACTTAGACCCATGATTAGGGAGACTGTGGCATTATCTTAATGCAGAACTGACAGAGCATAAAGAAGGCTGGACATTCGCCATGGCCAGGCTGGATCTCACTGCACCTTACCATAAACTTACTGCAGATGAGATCTTCCTTGCTGCAGAGAACCCTTACAGCCCCTGGTTTGGATACTCAATGCATGTAGGTGTAAACAATGAACAGCTTTCCATTTTGCTCTAGCTCTTGGTTAAGAGAAATGGGTTTGGGATTATGCAGATGATTAAATGACAAAGAGCTGGACAATAGGTTTGTTATGTAAAAAAGATGAAATTCCAGCTTTCTGCTTGCTGAAGAATCAAATAAAAGAAGACAACTGAAATATTGCCAGTATGTTGTAAGTACAAGAGTGGTTCATCTCTTGTAGCTGATTGCTGCTGGGACAGTGCAGGCCATCACACCCAGGTTAGATGATGGTGTGGTTTCTTGTGTTACCATAAGTCCCTGGCTAGCTATCACCCTCCTAAGCCGTGTCTCCTTCTGTCCCTTAGGCAGGACTCTCCTGATGTCCTTTGAGAGTCAGGCTGAGCTGGAGCCCTTGGAGCTGGTGTGGGCCAAGTGCCGGGGCTATCCCTCCTACCCTGCCTTGGTAAGTACACCAGTGCTTTCATGCATCCTGTACCCGCATTGCAGGTAGCCCAGAGCACAGTGCTAGTGTGCAGTGTAACCAGGCAGAACAGGAACACTTCCCAAAGTCATACAATGTGCCCTTTTTATTTCCTTTTCCCTTTGCACAGTGAATTTTCCCTGTGCTCACTGTTGCCGAGCATTGCGGAGGGTTCATAAAACATTGCTGTCTTGGTGCCAGGAATAGGAGATCTTTCCTCTCCTCTCCTGTTCACTCTGTAGGTATCGGGAAAGTGGTCAGTACCGCTGGCATGACAAGACCTACATTTTACAAAGGCAGGCACCAGGTTCCACTGGTGTCCAACTGCCTGCACAGTTTCCTGTATAGTGAGTACAACTCCCTATGGTCTTGTGATGGACATATCCTCTTCCAATAACCATATGTTTGATTTAAATATGAGAATGTGTTCATGTGTTTGCATCTAGTCCTATGACTATAGTTCCTTAACATTTATCCATCTTTGGATATTTGACTGTTAAGGTGAAATCCATAAACCTGGCTTCAGTTCCAAAGCCAGGCACAACATGCAGTTGTTGCTAGGAAGTGCCAGTACCACTGCAGGCTTTTACATGCTTGGAAAGTTAGCAGCAGAGATGGCTGAAGTGAGTATATAAATAAGAACGTGGAATAGAACAACATTTTGGTTTTTCTGCTGCTTTTAAATAGATCCCTTGAGACGTGGCTCTTCTGCCATCTCTAAGTGGGAGCCCACAGGAGGGAACAGCTGTGGATCTGCTAGCTGTGTTGGCCAGTCAAAGCACTTTTAGATCTCTGTGTTGCTATGGCCAAAGTTAAACTGTGCGTTAGCATGGATTTAAACACTGGGATTGCCCCCTAAAAGGCATATTTCTGTAACAGTCTGTTGCAGTGCTGGTGTCTTCACTTCAGTTCCTGCAGCTGGCCAATGTCAAAGCCAGGCTGCTTTTTTGAGCCCTTAGGAGCCAAGATCGGGAGGCAAACAAGAGCACACTGAGTGTTGCGCACGGGGCAGGGGGTTGGAACTAGATCATCTTTAAGGTGCTTTCCAACCTGAACCAGTCTGCGATTCTGGGATTGTGTCCACCCTTTGCTTCTCCTGCCATAATCACATAGCACAGATGTCTGACACTGACTTCTGCTTTATATGGAGACAATAACTGTGTCTGTTGTTACTCCCCTCCAGTGACCCAAGTCTGTGTTCCCCCTCCCTGATAAAGCTGGAACTGCTCGTCCACTCTCTCAGAATACTGACTATGATTCTGCTCTAGTAGCAGAATAAATCAGTGATGCCACTGAAGTCAACTGGACTGCAATGGAATGGAGCTGGTGTTAACCTCACTGTGCCTGCTGCCTGCAGCAGTGGTGCTACGTTTGTTGTATGAATTTGGAGTGAGGGAGGGAAATCCTTCATTGAGCACAATGATAGACTGAGTTTCTACTAAATTACAATTGGTGTAAATGCAGGTACATCCATGCAGAACAAAAACGTACAGCTTTTCACTTTTTTTAACATCAGGTGCTTGACTTTTGGACTGACACAGGGGAAGACAAAAAGAGCCACTGAGACAGAACATTCTGCTCACCCATCCCAAGTAGATCTTCATTGTCTAGCTTGGATAGACTGAAAGAACAGAAAAAGAAAATGCATTTTCTTCAGTACTTGAAGGGGTTTGTGCTTAAATGTCCTTTCCCTGTATCACTAGATAATCGATCCCAAGATGCCACGTGAAGGTTTGCTCCACAACGGAGTCCCCATCCCAGTTCCACCCGTGGATGTGTTGAAGTTGGGGGAACAGAGGCAGACAGAGGCAGGAGAAAAGCTCTTCCTTGTCCTTTTCTTTGACAACAAGAGAACCTGGTGAGTGCTGTGGCAGAGAGGGAGGAAGATTTAACATAATCTCTGGTATATGGGAGCATGCAGGGGTTATGATGATGTTACATGGAAATTGGAGATTTTAAACATGCAGCAGTCACAAAGAGCCATAAGGAGGGCAGCATGCTTTTTCTGGCCCAAAAGCATGACATCTAACATGGTGAACAGCCCAGCATCCTTCACCCACAGGTCACATCACCACAAAAATACTGAGCCACGTGGAGAACCAATTTCATAGTCCAAATCTGCAGCAGATTAGAGAGAGCATTTGACTTTAAAACACCAGCAGACTGAGCAGCCAGTTCCAGTGCTGCACAGAAGATTGGGCAAAAATCTCCAGGGTAACATTTTCCAAATGCTGGGTTTATTCCATATTTAGACTTGCCTGATTTTGTCAGAGGTGCTGAGTACCTGCAATTTTCAAATCAAGGCATTTATGTAAGACGGAAACGTAGGTGTAAGCACCTGGTTCAGGGCAAGCGAAATACCTCAAGGCCTGTTCTATCTCAGACTGCATCTGCTGGTTTTAATATCAGTGGCTGACCATGTTACCATGCTCACATGGTAACAATAACCCAGCCATGTATAATAAGCCACAAACCAGTGATGTCCCTTAAAAAATAAAGCTTTGAAATTCATGTATGAAGCAATAGGAAAATTGGAACACTGGAGAATTGCGCTGGAAGAGGCGAGTCCCCGCAGTGAGGCAGCAGCCACATGCTGAGCCCACTGGATTATTTAACCAGACTTGAAATTGAAACTGCCTTCCCAAGGAAAATCACCATCTCCTTAGCTTTGCCCTGCTCTGGTGAATGTTTACACTCTTAAGGAGCCACTTAGGGTGGGTATGAGAGCCAGGCACACTGGAGCAGTCAGTCTCCTGCAGGGAGCTTGGGAGGCCTTCAGTGACATGGGTCAGTGGTAGCCTTGGCAGTGCTGCGGAACAGATGCACTTTGATGATCTTAAAGGTCTTTGCCAGCTTTGTTGATTCTATGATTACAAGGCAGGAGGCCTTCAGGTCTTTGTTCTTCCTTCCCCCTTCCCCTCTGGATGTCCTTGGTGACTGGGCTTTGCACTCTGTTGCAGGCAGTGGCTTCCACGTGACAAAGTCTATCCCCTCGGTGTGGATGACACAGTGGATAAGTTAAAGATGATGGAAGGACGGAAAACCAGCATCCGCAAATCTGTGCAGGTGGCATACGACCGAGCCATGATCCACATGAGCCGTGTGCGGGGGGATCATCCCTTCCTTACATCCAGCTACCTGTAAGGGCTCGGGGCGGCTGGTCCTCCTTTTTCTCCAGAGCCCACGCTCGCTGCAGTGGCAGAGCTGATCACTGCGTGCACTGACTGGCCAGGGGGCACTGATCCCAGTGGTTGTCAGCACTCCTTGAAGTACCCTGAAATGTGCCAAAAAGCCGGTCCAGCTTCTTTCTGAATGTGTCTCACTGAAGAGCTGGCAGGAGGTGAAATGTAGAGTCTGCAAGTCCAGGAGGAAGGTAGTTAGGAGAAGCTGCTTGGTGAAGGTGAGCCAATGTGGTGAGCAGAGCACAGCACTGGGATGTTTGGACCTCAGGCACCTCCTTCAGGGGGTCATCAACCAGCCCTGAGTAATTCCCAGGAACCCGTGACCACTGTAACTGAACCAGGATCCTTTATGGAAATCGCAACTGGACTTTCTTGTGCCAAATTTACCCAAACCATCATTGGCCTTTTCATTTTACTTTGTTTTAAATGACATTGATCGTTCCATCACATTCAAAACCAAAAGGTGTAGCTGAGAGTTCACCCTCTGATCTTCCTGGCTACGTCCATAGTGTTTTCATGTTCGATTTCTCTCATTTAGTTTACAAAAGCTTGAGATATTTTGGTAACCTTCCCCTCTGCTGCACACACATGAAAGAGCTTTAAATACGGAAAGCGAAGTACCTGATTTGTGTGTGTGTGTGTATGTCCTAGTCATTTTTTGGTAGTTTCACATTTATATGCTGATTTCTGTGCCTGTACTTGCTCCAGCATTTCATGTCATGGTTTAGTACACAACTGAGTCTAAGCAAAGAGAGCTTCCTTCTTTTAAGAAGCAAAACTAATTTTAGAGGTGTCTGATGAGCTGGAGCAGCTTTGCAGGCGCTGAGGTTGATCAGGGTTGGAGGTAGGTACATCTTTTGTGTTGCTTATGCACATCTGGTGTAAGGCTCCTCTTCTTTTCTTCCTTTTTTTCTGTCCCTGCTGTGTTCCTCTGGCTTGGGTTGGGTTGAAACCAAGCACTCAATAGAGCACATGACCATTTTGCCTTTCTTCCTTCTCCCATGCACATGTATCCGTTCCCCAGTGTGTGGGTCTCCAGCACTGTCACCCATTGAATCCCAAACCCCAGCTCTGCAGACAATCCCTGGCTTTTTGGGTTTGCGTTGCAAAAAACAGGGACAACTCGTGTTTGGAAACTTGATGACAAAATCTTTTCTATTAGCCAAGGACTTGGTGGTTTCTTGTCCTGTGTATCCCTTTTTGCTTTCCCATGTGAAGAACCAAAGGTGCAGAGCAAGATTGTAGACTGAATTGTCATCACTTCGCTTTTTAACTCAGTATTTTTTTATTATTTTAACTTTTTCATACTGAAGAGAATGTGGGGGGGGGGTGTGTTCAAAATAATAATAATTGCTAATGACTAATGGGGAGTAATCACTGCCATTTCTACTTGGTCTACTTTTTTAAGATACCACTTCTTATACATTGGGATGTAGAACCACACTTTAAGGAAGAGATTCCTGTAACATATAGAGAAGGGGCGTAGGATTTTGTAAAAATATTAATAATGCCTATGGAGTGTGGCAAGGGAAGGACAATGTGTAAATAGCTGTAAAATACTGTTCTAAATTATTTAGACCTCTTGTCACCATTCTTGAAGTCCTCAGTTGTGTTGCTGGGTCTTTTATATGCCCCCAGTGTAATTTATTTAAAGGAACATACACTTTGCAGGTGGTAGCTCAGCTGTGGACTCGTGACCTGTGTATATGTTTTAGGATCTTGGGAACTGGGGTTTTGGGGGGGTTGGTTTGGTGTTGAAATGCCATTTTAGGCTTGGAATTGGCTGATATCCTGCTGTTACTCCGGGACCCAAATGTTACTGTCAGTCTGCTGTAAAGCACAGAGCGCTCTATTTATTGTAGAAAGTGAGTTTATTTGCTTTCTAGAATTGTTTATATCAGATGGTATAAGAGAATTAAGAAAATCTATGCTTGAAAAGAAGATGCTAATTTTACCTACTATAATCTGACTGTCTGAGACTATATTTTCTCTCTGAGAAATAAATGTTCTAATGTATAAAATCAGAGCCCTTCCTTGTTATTGTTGAACTGAGGTCAAGGACATCGCTCACCATGATGGATTTTGTTCATCCCAGTCACCCCAGTTGCAGGTGAAAAGAGCAACGATAGGGAAGGGACCCATGGAAGGAGCATCTCCAGAAGGTGTTTGCTCCGTGTGCCACGGGTGACAACATTGGGTGGTGGAAGATGCGAGCCCTCTGGCCTGGGGCTGGCTGAGAGCCCCTAGAGGGACGGGAATTGGGAATATGGGGCTTCAGTCCCACCTCCTGGTGATGCCTTGGTGGACCTGGGGGTTCCTCAGCAGAGCTCTTGCCTTGTCTCTTCCCAAAGATGCATTTTTCCCTCCTGCACAGGCTGGTGTTGCTGCAGGTGGTGCTGCACCACCAGGACCCCTGGCTCAAGGAGAGCAGCAGGGGATGGGCAAGGTATTAAAGGGGGAATTCTTCAATTTACTTTCTATCATTTCCACCTGTTGCAAAACCAAGGAGGATTTATCAGCAAGAGGGATGTTGGGCACCTGTTCTCCAGAGGACAGCACCGGAAAACAGCATCCATGGACTACTGCCCATAGACCTCCCTGCTGGCATCATTTCGGGTTAGAATTATTGCACTTTAATAAAATAGCTTCCCCCTCCCACCCCATCTTTTCCTCTTTAACAAATGAGATGGTGACTTCCCGAATAGCTCTGCAGCTCCAAGGTTTCCACGACGATGGCATCTTTCAGCTGCAGAATCAGCTTCATCGCCCAGGCCTGAAAGGGGGGAGATGGGAGTGGAGGGGGGAGGGTGGATAGAGGGTGGGGGGGTCTCAGGCAGGTTTTTGGGTGGTATCATTGGCATCACCCCGGTGCTGGGTGGCACCGGGACAACCCATCCCAGTAAATCCCATCAAGGTAAATAGGCTGAAACACAAATTAAGCAGCTTGGAGACTGACTGCAGAGGCTTGGGCAGGGATCGGGGGCTTAGGGCTGTCTCAGGCCCTTTTTGGAGCTCTTGGAAAGGCCAAGCCCTCTCCTGACAAACCAGCAATTTCCACAGCTGAGACCCCCCCCCACCTTGCTTTACAGGTGAGGAAACTGAGGCACAACCACACCTGAGGCACCTCAAACACTGCTCTCAACCCCACCGCAAGCACATGCCCCAAGCCCAGAACTGTTGTTGAGTTTGGGTGGGTTATTTCTTCTCTCCCTTTGTCACGTCTCACTGCAGCTCACCAGGTCTGTCCCATGGAGAAAGCAACAAAAGGCACCTGCAAAAGTCCCAAGTAAAAGCCTGTGAAGAACAACTCCAGGTTGGGAAAGCAATTTCTTGAGACACTATTTGGAGTTTTATTGGCAACAAGGCTCTGCCTTTCACATGCTCAACCCCGGCCTCGCAGCCCCGCTGCCTCTTCCCACTGGGAACAGCAATGGAATACGGAGGGACTGGGAAGCTCCAGGCCCTGGTGACAGCCCACATGGCCTGGATCCACCCCCAGCCCCCGATCAGGATGTGGCCAGCAGGAAGAACGCAGCTGGTTAAAACATCCACAACTGGTTTAAGAGCAGATGGTGGTGAGGGCAGCCTGCTCCTTGCTGGGAGAAGCCCTGGAGGACACATCCATAGGGCTGGGGAATGGCGGGGCAGCCAGCGCTGGATCCTGGATTGTTCCTCCCCAGATAGTTCCACTGGTCTCGGAGCCAGCAGCAGACAAGACGGGATACCCTTTTCCCTGGACATGGCTCTACCCTGCTTCCCATCTCCTTTAAGCACCCAAATCCTCTTTGGAGGGAAGCTTTGAGATCCATGTTTCCATTGCAGCTCTTCCTGGCAAGTCCAACACTGCACACACACGTTGTGGGTCCAAAATGCCCCCCCCCGCCATGTCTGGAGAGGTCCAAAGCCCTATGATGCTGTAACCAGGCACCCTTCCCAGGCATGGAGAGGATGAGGAGAACAAGGAGTGCATGTTATAAATATAAAATCATGATCTGCTACAAACATAAGACGTATATTGTACATCTTTAACCCATATACACAAGAACACAATATACACAGAATGTCTCAGAGGAACAGGGGCTTTGCAAGGGGGGAGTGAGAGATGCTGCTCCCCTTCCAGCTCCCCCCTGCCTCCTGCCATGACAGGGGGGCTGTACCAACAGCACATCAGTCACGGGAAGTCCTGTGAAGCTGACATGCATCATTGGATGTGATGGAGTTGCCCCCCCCGTCCCAGGCCATGCTCACCCCACTGCCTGGGGGAGAGGGAGGTGAAGAGGATGAGGAGGACAGAGAGCAGGTGCAAGGGGTTCTCTTGTGAACCCACAAAGTGCTTGGGGTGTCCGGACCCTGGGAGTGAAGCCAGGCCCTGAGAGCAGCTTCTTGCCCTGCTGCCCTCAGGGGAAGGATTTTCCAGCCAGGCAGGTCTCTCATAAGGCATTTTTCATCTGGGAGCTGGAGCGACCAGTGGCAGAAGAGAGAAGGGAGCAGATATGGCAGCGCACGTGGTGACAGGGTAACACGAGGCAGCGAAGCCAAAGTGGTCCCAGCCCAGCATACGGGGTGGAGAGGGCAGGAGGGCTTCGTCCTCAGCTCAGTTTATCTGTAAAGCTGCCCCCCAATGTCCTCTCACAGCCCTTTCACGCCTCTCTCCCTGGCTTGGCATGGAATACTGACGGTCACTGGAGTGGCACATCCAGGCGCATGGAGTGGCAGACAGGCACACGTTAAGAGTTAAGACAAGAGTCAATGTGAGCTTTGTACAGCGAGGAGCAGCTCCTGGCCAGAGTGTCCCAGGACTTGGATGACAGAAATGCCACAGTGATCAGATTGGGCCAGGACAAGGGCTGGACATGGGGAAAAGGAGGGAGTTGAGTCCTGGCACCTATCGGCGGTAATGATTGGGGGCATCTGCAAACATGTACTTGAGTCTGTAGGCTTCAGCGAGCAGGAGTCCAATCTCTTCATTACCCCAGTGTATTGTTGGCAGGTTTTGTAATAACATCAGAAGGCCCTGAAAGAGGGGAAGGTGCTCAGTTTGGGGAGCTTGAAGGCAGAGAATAGATCCAGAGCAGGCTCAGGGCAGCAGCAATCAATAACTTGCTCACAGACAGCATTAAGGTATGCTCATGTCTAGATCCCAATCAGTGGAACACCTCAGATGCCCCAAAATCCCTTGAGATAAAGGATGCTTCCATAGCTGGACACCAGAAGGCAAATATCAAGGGACTTACCCTGATCAGAGCTGATATTTGATGTCAGAACTCTCCAACAGCTCAGTTCTATCCTGAGCCCTCAGCTCAGTAGTTACTTTTAGGCAAGGATCCTGAGACAGAATGATCTTGGAGACAGCTCCGAGGTGATGGCTGACTCCACCCACCTTGGGCTCCCAACCAAAGCAATCCCCTCCCCTCACCACCAGGGAATTATCCCCAGCCCCAAGGTCTTACTTGGAAATCTTCCTCATCTAGGATCTCCTTTCGCCACTTGATCAAGAAGGCAGCGCAGACGTACAGGTGGAAATGTGAGAATCCTTCTGGCTCTGACTGTGGACAGCAAAGCTCTGTGTCATGACCTCCCTGGACACATATATCCTGCTGGGCCACCTATCACCTAACTGGCTATCAATGTCCCAGGGCCACGTTGCTTTGCTTCCTTCGTCACACCCCTCTACTCTGCTCTCACGAGATCCCACTTGCAGCACTGTGTGCGGTTCTGGTGTTCTCAACATAAGAAGGACACGGAGCTGTTGGAGCAAGGCCAGAGGAGGCCACGAGGATGCTCAGTGGCTGGAGCACCTCCTGTATGGAGCCAGGCTGAGAACACTGGGGCTGTTCAGCCTGGAGAAGAGAAGCTGGGTGGAGACCTCAGAGCAGCTTCCAGTGTCTGAAGAGGGCTACAAGGATGCTGAAGAGGGCTACAAGGATGCTGGAGAGGGCTACAAGGATGCTGGAGAGGGACTCTTCATCAGGGACTGCAGTGATAGGACAAGGGGTAATGGGTTCAAACTTAGAGGAAGCTCAGGTTGGATATAAGGAAGTTCTTTACTGTGAGTCTGGTGAGACACTGAAACAGGCTGCCTAAAGAAGTGATAAATGCTCCATCCCTGGCAGGGTTCAAGGCCAGGCTGGACAGAGCCTTGGGCAGCATGGTTTAAAGTGAGGAGTCCCTTCCCATTGCAGGGGGTTGGAACTGGATGATCTTAAGGTCCTTTACAACCATAACTATTCTATGATTCCACGATCTCCCCAGTTACCAGATAACTTGCATCCCACCGTGCACACAGAATCAGTCCTGGAGTGACCAGCCAAGCAGGGAAGGCAGCAGGAGCCTGTGTACCTGATAGGTGTCCCAGAGGCGGATGGTGCAGCGAAGAGGCAGCTCCCTCATCAGCAGATTGTTCATCCAGCGAAAGGCAAACTGCAGGTATTCGACCTCGTACTTCCTAAAGTGATTGTGTACCTGCTCTGAAACAGCACATTTCACTTACACACCTGAGGAACACAGCACGGGCTTTCAGGATGAGACCTTGTTCTCCAAAACACCTCCACTCCTCATCCTGGGCAGCAAAACCCTGTCCCAGGAGGTTCCTGGCTGACCCTACCCTGCTCTGCTTCTATACCATTGCAGGAAAGAGTCTACCCCTGCCCTGAGGGTGCTACTTGCAAAGGAGCTCCCCCCAGTGTTGTGACAACCTGCTCAGATCCCCATGTCACCTACCATCGATCCGGCTCACTAGCTCCTCCAGGGCTTTGACTTTCTTCTGGATCCCTGGCTGAGCAAAGGTGTAGTTATCCTGTGGGGAGAGGCCAGGAGTCAGAAGCAGCAGCTCTAACAACAGCTAGAAATGACCCAAACCACATCTGCAGCTCCAACAGCACCATGAGTCATGGATACACAACTTTTGAGCACCAGGATCATCTGCCTGCTGTGAATCCCTAGTCAGGACAGTGCAGGTTCGAGAGGCACAGGATTTTACCCACAGATTTAGCTCAGTGAAATAGCAAAATCTTCCTAATGCTGGCACATGCAGAGCACTCACCATATCAAACGGAGAGACAACCCCCCAGGGCCCCAGAGCTCACCTGAATCCCATCCAGCAGCTTGCTCATGCACCAGAAGCTGTCAGCTTCAATGCTCCGTAACACATCCTGCGACAGGTTCGTCACATCAAAGTTCTCCACATCCTCCTCTGCAGAACAGAGAGGGAAGAGCATCAGGAGGGTGGGGACATCAGGCAGCTCACAGGACACGCTGAGAGACTTTATCAAGACAAAGGCAAGCTATGAGGCTCCCTGCCTGGCCCAGAGCACAGCACCCGTGCAGTGACCTGTTTCTCCAACCCACGTGAAGGGCTGAAGGATCCCAAAAGACTCAGTGGCCACGATCCGAAACCAGCCCAGATCTCCAGGGTGCTGTGGGAGGGATCCCACAGTGCTGCTGCTGTCATTGTCCCTCTGGGGCAGGGGCTGTGCATGGACAAAGCTGCATACCGGACCCCTCTAGCCAGACCACATCCCACCTCAGGTGATGGCAGGTCTCTGCAAGCACCACAGGGAGAGCTGGGAGAGACGCATCTCCCACTGCAGCAAGAAACCAGGGAGGGAAACACTGCCCGTGACCTGGGGCAGCTCAGTGCCTGCGCCCAGTCAGATTCACCAGCATCATCCCAGGACTGAAGCACAATAATGTCACCTAAAAAGTGACTGCCAAAGCATCAGAACCCTCTATGGGAGAGCAGGACTTTGAGGCACAGTTGCAAGTCCCAAAAGCCGACAGACATCTTCCTAGAGAGCAAAAAGGCTCCGAGTTAAATCCAGCTCGAAGCCTGACAGTGGGGACACGCAGCAGAGAGGCTGCTCAGCTTCACATCTTCTCCTCCTCAAGCCCAGATGATGGGAAAGATCCAGCAAACAGCAGCCCCAAGCACAGAACTTTGCTGAAGGGGAAGCAGTGATTTGTGCAAGCTTGTTTTCCAAAGCCAGTGAAATGGGGGTCAGAAAGCACAAGGGTTAGTGGCAGCTCTGCCCCCAAAGGGTACTCACAGAGTGCAAAAGGCTGCCCCTGCTTTTACATGGGCTTATGAACCTGCAAGAAGGGGAAGGGAGAGATCAGAAACCTCAAGGGTAGGATGGTGGTGATGCTAGCTGAATTTGGAGCAGGTATCACCTGCTCCAGGCCAAGTTCACCTTAACCTGGGGCTGTAAAAGGCAGTGGAAACAGGGAGGAGACTCAGGAGACACAGGTCTGGCCCTCCTGGCTTGGCAGACCCAGCAGCTCCCTTCCCTTTCTTCCTCAGGAGAGCACCTAACACAGTGCTAAATCAGACCAACAGATGACAGGACTAAACTGGCCCATTTCCAAACCCAGAGGTTCGGAAAGCCTAACAAGTGTCTGAACTTCCTTGGAAAAGAACAAGAGAGGAAGAGGAAAGGGACTGGGGCTAGAGCCAGGCCGCACTCTTGGTTTAGGTGAAAACTCACACTAACAGATCTTGCGTACAGGAGGACGGGAAGTGCAGAGCCAGTGACTCCAGCACTGCTCCTCCTCTGGGACAGGGCTCAACTCCAGAGCAAAATGCCACCAGGAGCTTTAGCGACAAGCAAGGGCTTAACTCTGCATTAATCTAGCAAGCTTGAACTGCAGAAAGATCAGCAAAGCTCTTCTACAGCTGCAGGTCATCATCCAAAGCTATCACTCTTCTACTACCTTCTCTGCAGGGACTCACAAATATTCCTGATAATGAGAAAGGCAGGCAAAATCCTTCCCTAGATAACTTCCCTCACAGAGAAAGAAGGATGGACAGGCAAAAGAAGGGGACAGGGCCATATGCTAGTAGCCAGAACTGGCTGGGGGGGAGGAGGGGGGAGGCTGAGCCACGCAGGATGAGCTCCATTCAGCTCCAGGCATGAGGATCGTGATGGGGAAGAGGATGTGGTGAACTACCAAGGTGACGGGGAACACCCTGCTGCTTGCACCAGTATAGGGACAGGAGAAGCAACTCTGCCTGCACCCTGTTGTCAAAGCAAAACAGGGATAGGAGGTGCCCAGCATGAGCCAACATACACTGCAGGAAGGCTGCTGGAGTGTGTGGCTCAACACAAACATTGCTCAGTGGCATCATTCAAGTAGCCCTGTGGAAAGGAGGGAGCTGCTCAACAGGGTTCTGGCAGGGACTGAAAGGGAGCCAGTGGCACAATGACACTGCTGGCAGTGTCCCAGGGTGCCTCAGGGCAGCTGGAGAAAGTACAGGTCCTGCGAGTGACATTTCATCAGGACTCAGGGCAGACACAAGAGAAGGGACATCACAATCCCACTTGAGCCCTTGCTCCAAATGCCAGGCAGGGAATAGCTTGGAGCAGATAAGAGGTACCAGGACTCAGTACCTGCTTGCCCTCAGGGAGCTTTACTGACTCCCCATGCTCAGTGCAGGACTAGACACATGGGGAACAGTTAAACCCAGTCTCGGCTCACAGCCCTGTGTAGTAATGGGCACGTCTGCACCATGTGCAGTGAAGGGCAGATCCAGGGCAAACCTGGAGTTCAGAACAAGACTGATGTTACAGCCTAAGCTGGTAAACTGCAGTGTGAGTAGTAACGCCCAGGTACGAGGCTTCCCTTCCCCCAGGTTCCACTTACGCTTCTGTTTAGAGGGAGACAGTCTTAGTTTAACTACAGTCAGGATTTAGTTACAAAAGCCAGTCAGGGGCGAGCAAGATCAGTCCTTTCCATGCTGCTGCCTCTTTTATAGGCTTAGTGAAATGCCAAACAGAGCCCAAAGCTGAAACAATCCATTACACAAGGCCTTGGATGAGTAATGGAAGTGGTGTCATACATTTAGATGGGCAGAGAGCACTGGGAGAGGGCACAGAGCCAGCACTGGCACTGCCTTGGGCTGCTGAACGAATTTCTGAGCTCTGTCACTGCCATTTGAAATGCAAACACAAGCCCTGATTGCTGGGGGTGACTCCGAAGGGCTGTGGGAAATGAGCTGGGAGCAGTTTAAGGAGGACTGAGGGCTCAGCATCCCTGTGCTTGCTGGGCCATCTCTGATCACCTGGAAAAAGGAGCATACGGTTTCCTCTGGCAGGGTGTCAGCCTTGCCCCAGTTCCTCAGATGCCAGACTGTCTCTCTCCATCCTTACTGCTCAGGCTCTGACTGCCCAGCAGCACCACTGCACCCATCCCATCCAGAGAGCAAGAACAGTAGACTCAGCTGCTCCTGTGGCCTTAATACCTCCCTCGAGCTCTTCTCCATGGCAGCATAAGCAGAAGCTGTCAATCACGAGGAGGAGGAATCACTCCAGCTACGGATCTGATGGTGGCAGGGGCCCAAAGCCCCCATGCTTGCTGCCAAGTAGCTGTGTTGGTGCAGCAGACAGGTAGAGCATCGCAGGACGTGAGCCATGATGGGGGAAAGGTTAAAACACAGCAATTAAATCTATCCCATCTGCCAAGGGGCAGAAGTCACAGGTGTCTGCCCAGCACCTAAAGGAGCATAAGTTTTGCATCTAGACTGGGCACAAGTAAAGGAAAAACAACTGGTACCAACTGGCACCAGAAAAAGGGGCAGAGGAGTTCAGACATGGGGACTGGAAGCTCAGGGGAAGAGCTGCTCCTCCCTGCTTCAGCCTAGTTGGCGCTGGTTGAAGGGGCACACACACACTGGATTCAAGGCATTGCTCAGAAATAGAATAGCAATACTAACAGGACCCCTTTGGTTAAGCTGGGGAAATGCAGGCTAATAACAGGGTCATCCAGTTCCCAAAGGACCATGGGGCAGTCAGAAGAAATAGCTTCCTGCGAGTATGCTTCACCCACTGGTCCATTTACCTCCTTCAGGACCCAGACAGGCTTCCACCCTTCCCCTCCCCATCTTCTACAGTGAGGATGGAAGGGCATCAAGTCAAAGACTCAGCAGTATACAAAGCCAGACTGCTGTAACTACTACCCTGAGCAAGCTGTTCAATCCCTCTGCACACAAGAGCCTGGGTGTTGGCTTGGTTACTGTTGACTGATGGGTCTTTACTCATGTCAGCTTCAGTGAAAGGAAGCTGCCAAACTGTTCCCTGAAGGTGCCTGGAAAGCTACAGACCATCCCCTCCCCAAGGCACCCACCTTTTCCCTATGGGCATGTTCGAGCCCTTGGTGGGAAGCCAGACAAACCCTCTTGAGTATGTTTTAGGCCATGGTCTTGTAATATCGTAATATCGTATACTGATGTATAATGGACATACCATTAACCAGACACATTGATCAGCTGATAAGCACCAAGCAGAGATTTTAATTGATCTGTAGAAAAGTGGATTTGTTGTCTGCAAATGCAATGCCTGCTCAAAGCATGGGATGATGGAGCATGAGAGAAGGCTCAGGGGAGACCTTATCACTCTCTACAACTATCTGAAAGAAGGATAGAGTGAGGTAGGGGGTGGTCTCTGCCCGCAAGGAACAAGTGACAGGACAAGAGGAAATGGCCTCAAGCTGCCCCAGGGCAGGTTTATATGGAGATGAGGAACAATTCCTACCCCAAAGGGTGCTCAGGCATTGGAACAGGCTGCCCAGGGCAGGGCTGCAGTCACTGTCCCTGCAAGTGTTCACACAGCGTGGAGACGAGGCCCTCATGGGTTAGCGGTAGCCTTGGCAGAGCTGGGGAATGGTTGGACTGGATGAGCTTAAAGGGCTTTTCCAACCTGGTTGATGCTATGATGGGTTAGAAGTCTACAAAGAAATTGGAGATGGAAACCAGCCCATTATCAGAGACTGCTTTATGAGAAGCCACTAGACTGAACAGCAGGAGACCAGGGTGCCAGCCTGGCTTTGTGCTGAGCAGCTAACCAAAGTCAACAGCTTGCAAACTCCACCTCTGCCTGTCAGCTCACTCATACCTGCACACCATGGTCCCCAAAGGGCTGTGATGGTCCTGCTGAGTCGGCTGCTGCAGGGACAGCCCTTCAGAGCTCCACACAGACATCCAGTGAAGCTGGTGGGCAGGTGAGCTGAGTAGCCAGCACAGTGGATCCATTTAACAAAATCCTAGTCTCAAGAACAGGGGTAGCAAAACTAGAGGTTTGAAGATGGTGTCAATTTCATAGAGCCAGCTTTCAAGGAAAACTTTTCCAGGCCAGCTCTACGTACGCCTTTGAATGTGGAAATAACCTCAGATGACAGGGGTATGAGCCCTCAAATAGCTGCCTGACTGTGCCAGGGATACAGCTTGAACACAGGCAGAATTTCCTTTAGACAAGAGACTTCCCACAGAAAGGAGAGTTGTCCACTGGCACATGCTGCACAAGGGTTACCAAAGTGCACAAGGCCTCTTTGGGCTCTCCTGCTGCAACGACTCGGATGCAGCGCAGATTTGGCTGACCCAGGAATCCTGAGAATTAGTGATCTAACAAGGAGAGCCTCCAGACCTGCACAGCACCAGCTCTTCAAGGGCCTGTCAGCAAAGGCATCTGTAAAGAAGAGCCAGTGGTCCAAGCAAGAGACTTAAATCCTGTTGCAAAAGGGGTTATATGGCACTGAGCACTGCCAATTCGTTCCCATGTACACTCAAGGCAATTACTGATCTTGTCCTTAAACTCTAACTGCTACACAGCCAGAGAAGGGAGCCACCAAGGCAGACTGTCACCTGAAGGCTGGCTTTGTGTCCCAGGCTCTGGGGCCAGAAGGGGATGCATGATATTGTTTGGCCAAGTTCAACTCAACAGGTTTTTCTCACACTTTTTTTTTCTCCAAGTTTCAGAGATAGCTGGAAGCAGGATGACCACATTCAGAGAGGAAACTTCAGGCACGGGTGAAAACAGCCCTGGAAGATGGTGAGAAGCACACACCAGCAAGAGGTGGACTGGGCTGATGCAACACAAACTCTGCCACACACAGAGAGTTGAGCCTTAGCACAGTACAGGGCTGCAAGAAGTCACACCAGGTACCTGCAGGCAGCTCTGATGCTTCAGACTAGCTCCCTCCTTGCAGAGATAACTCACTGTGCACAGCCCTGCTTCTAACCCAATAAATCAATCCTGAGCAACCAGCCTCCACCAAGCCTAAGTGCTGCGGTAGAAGCAACTTAAAGGGAACCTGCCCAGACCTGACTCAACAGGCTCCTGACCTCCCAGGAAAGGGAATTCCCAAGAAAGGGTACTCACCACAGCTCATAGCAGGGCCACATTTTGTGCCTTGTCCTTCAGGCTGTGAGAAGCATCAACACTTTGTGGGGATCAATCCTGACCACACTGGCTACCACAGCAGAACCAAGCTGGCTTACCTCTTTGCAAGCTCAGGTGAGGCACATCCGTACTGGTTTACAAAGCCTCAGCTAGGCAGTGGAAGGCTTCCACTGACTTCAACAAGCTTTGGATGAGACCTTAAAATATTTGTTCCCCGGGATTTCTCTGTCACTAATACTGTCTTACAAATTCCCTTTTTCCTTCTATTTACAGTGAAAACTAAGAGCCTGTAGGCATAGGGATTACAGAGGCCCAGCATTAATGTTAAGCCCAAAACACAGCTAGAGCTGGAGACTGAAAAGTATTATGGGTGGAAATGACTTGATCTCCAGCTAAAGGCAACTGGCTGCCAAGAAAGCCAAAAGCAGCAGGGAGAAGTCAATTTGCTTTCTGAAAGTCTCAGCTTGAGAAACACACCTGTACCGGCAGCACGGGCCAGGAAGCTTTCATTTCAATAGTTTATTTTTGCATTCTCAGCAGGGTCTCTTTATACTTCCCTCAATGCCTGTAGAGCCAGAACTACCTCAAAAGCAAAGCTTTGAGAGCAAGACCCTCCCTTCCCCCAACTCTGTATCATCAGGGCTTTACCTAAACTCTCAGCAACTAAAAGGTCTCAGTTCTCCTCCAAGCTGTAAAGATGTTAAGCACATTCAGATGTAAATCTACCCTCAGCACTTCAACTTTCGTGGAGCTCAGCAAACTGAAGTCAATCCAACCAGGCAGTAAGAGGTCAGGATGTATCTCCAGCCTGGCACAGGCACTGAAGGATTAACACATCCCCTCAGCAAGGCAAGCTTTTCTGATGCCAGCATTTCACACCCTTTCAAACATAATTGTGGAGAGGCAGCAACGTGCTTCAAGCAAGGTATGTCACTTACCAACATACTCAGAGAGGAACACAACAAAGAAAGGAGTGACCAGGTCATTGATTCCCTGTACATAGCCGCTGGCTGGGTGTCGAATGGCCCAGATAAACAGGATTCTTTCAAAGATCTAGGGAAGAATGAGGGAAAGCAGGTACCTGCATTAGCCGTGCACAAAGGAAAGGCAGAAAAGCATAATCGCTAAGCTCAGGGAGCAGAAATCATGCACAGACAGGCTTTTCTGCAGCAATATGGGTAAGATAAGAAGCATACAAGTCCTAGGAGAGCCTCCTGTGTGATCCACAGATCCCCCACACAGGCCAGCCCACACTCCACAGAACAAGGCAGCCCAGGCTCCTCATCAAAGCCCCAGATGAAGAAATGCAGACCCAACTTTGTAAGATCCAGGTGGTTTAACACCCTTCCACCCACAGGACAGGGCTGCCTGTGCACACCAGCATGCCTTGCTGAACATGATGTTGAAAGCTAAGGCTGTTATCCGTTATCAGCACAGTATTCCCAGCAAAACATCACAGATCAGGAGAGTTTCCAACAGAACAGCCGCCCTGTAACAACCTTCCAGACTGCCTCAGCCCCAGGACACCATGTTCTGACATACCACAAACACATGCTGAGCTTGTTTCCAAGGAGGACATGTGCCTACTATGCCTCCCGGTCATCTCTCTAAATCCTGCTTGGATTTCTCACAGAGTGCTTCACAGAAAAGAGGTTTCATAGCAAAACAGAACAGATCTCCTGTTCTGGTTCAAATGTCTAGAATTTGTCTCAAAACAAAAGCCTCATGTCTTCTGCCAACTCTTGGCTACATCTCACCACAGAAGAGCTGATCTCATAACCCTGAGCTCCAAGTCTGATGTCCCTCAGAAACATGGGACAAGACCAGTTTCAGCAGGTATCTGCATCAGGAGCTGTCAGCCAGGGAAGCTTGTCCACACACACACCCCACAGCCAGTGTGTGTGACAGGAGCTTTCCTCTCCCTTACCTCCTGGACAAGCGGCTGCTGGAAGAGGGGGATGAGTGGGTTGGTCCTTGGAATATCGATGTGGATCTGGAAGAGAAGGTGGGTTACACACAGGAGCCATGCCTTCCAGAGGTACACTAACTCATCACAGGCTAACAGAGGGGAATCCACTTCTCAGTGTCCCCCAGGTGACAGCTGCACTTGCTGACAAGCACAGTGAGGGCTACAGCTGCAATGACAGAATCATGTTCAGTTTTATCTCCGATCTCCTCTGCTCAGGTGTGGGCAGGTAACCAGATCTGGGGTCCAAAATCTAGTTATTAGATCAACTGAAGGAAGGGTTAAACTAATACCTGTAAGTAGAGGGATAGAAACACAGTGCCCTTTTCCCTCCTAATAGCTACATCTAGAGGAAGTCCTGGCATGACCCCAACTGCATGGACAAGCAGTGGCAAGAGGGAGGAAAGGGATATAACCAAGGCAGAAAGCCAGGCAACAGGCAGAGGTAGGTCTCTACCTGTCATGGGTAGGTCTTGTACCTGTCGGTAGGTGTCTTGATGATGCTCCTCATTCCGGGAATCATAATACTGCTGGATGAAACCAAAGTATTCCTCCCGCTTGCGCTGCAAAGTCAGCTTTCGCCGCTCCATATTTGCGGGGAGATAACCCTGTGGCAGGAAAACCTGCGTCAGGGCAGAGCCTCTTCCCTCAACTTAAACCATCCCCTGAGATCCTGCCTGTCAGCTGGAATCATCAGGCACACAGACTCAGGAGCTGGGGAAAGACCTTTCATGGGATTTGGCTCTCCCAGCTCCTGATCCCTGGAGCAACACATACCACGGAATTCAGCTTTCCAAACCAGAGTGAACCACCTATTCCTAGCACCACTATGGGCTTTGTGCTGAACGATGATGTGGCAATTATACTCCCCAACCAAAAAAACCCTGCATAGGCTGGGTACAGACACAACACGAGCAAACCTGGTTACAGGACACAAGAAGCACATGTCTCTGGCTTGGCACACTCCCCCAGTCCCCTGCATCACAGTTCCAAGTACTCACTGAGAGGAGACGCCAAGTCACAGGCCGGACTTCTCTGGGCACACCAGGCCAGCTGCATTTTCTCAGTTCATCTGCAAACGGACAGTGGTGGCAATGGATTAGATCCTAGGCACGTCCAGGCACCACTATACCTAGAAGGAGAGGAAAGCCCAGTCTGCTCCTGCAGGCTCTGGTGACACTGAGCCTCCAGGAAGGCTCCACATTAGCAATGGCTGGGGATGTGGGTCTGCAGCAAGGGGAGCAGAGCTAGTTCCAGCTCAGACTGGGCACAGAACTGGTGCCTGCAGGGGTTCCAATGTGACGGAACCCCAGTTCTCATGCAGAGCCCGACAGCCCCCAGTGATCCCAGCCATCATTTGCAAATTGGAGGAAGACTGAGAACAGACAAGGAGCCGGCGGAGGATGTTGCCATCTGCCAAAAGAGCAGTTTGTGCCTCCACACCACTTGTTGCAACTGCAGAGAGTATTTTTTTCCACTCCAGAGCAGACCCGATTACAATCTGAAGCAGGCAGCAGCCCCCTCCTCACCCACAGGCACCCCCATTTTGCCACACTCACCCAGGTCTGTGTTGTGGCTGGAAAGGAGTTGCCGAAACTTCTCCAGGCGGGTTTTCTCCCTCACTGTCATTGGGGGAGCACCCGAAGCATTCTGGTCAGAGATTCGGGCAACAAGTGGAATGACAGGCCGAAGGGGAAGGGACTGCTGCTTCTGAAGGGGGGTCCTCACACAGGCCTCCTCTGCAAGAAGCATACGCTGCAGTGAGATAGGGAAGGAGACTGTACCTCTCCAAACCTACTTCACTCAGAGACCTGCCACTGCAGATTTCACCCCAGGCAACAGAGCATCACTGGCCCACTCTGATGGATCATCTGGTTGACAGGCATTTGTTACAGCTCTTCCATCATTTGTCTTTCCTTTCCTTTCTCCTGCACCCAGACACCTGGCTGCCAGTGGATCAGAATTCCCTCTTCACATGGGAAGCATGACACAGGAGACAGGCAGAAGGAGCTGTGTCAGTTCCAGAAGAAACCACCTCCACCGCTGATCTAGTGACCAAGCTAATTGCTTGCATAGAAAGCAGGCAATGGGCTGCCAATGCCACCTGCTGGCAGCAGGGACCTGCTGAGTTACTGCCACAGTGTGACGAGGCACAGTGAGCAGGGGCTGATGCTGCCCAGCTCCCTGCCCAAGGTGGATGGACTTGGGGTCAACAGGACCTCACCCAGATGTTTACTAAGAGCAGCATGCTGGGCCACGAAGGAAGCAGACCCTGAGCAAGAATTTAACAGATCTCCAAAATCCCTTAGCACACAGAACACAGGATGCTTTGGAGTACAGGATACTACAAACAGGTGAAAGCCCCTGTTGAGCTTATGGGCTGGGCGGAAGCTTCTCACGTATAACATGCGAGGAGCAGCAAGCAGCTGAGTTTGGCAGTGAACTAGGAGAACACTGGAGCAGTAAGCTGCTCAGAAGATGGCTCTTACCAGATGTCCTGGAGAGCTGGGCCTCACTGCTGGACTTGATTACCTTGCAGTTGGTGGGCATGTCACCAAGAGCAGACTGGGCTCGCTCGGGTTTTGCCCGTAGCTTGCTGTGGTTCTCTAGTACCTGTGCTGCCGTGGCCTTGGCCACTTTAGAGTTCAGAGTCTGGAAAGAGGAAGAGGAAGAAGAGAAGTCCTCATCTTCATCATCACCAATGTCCCAGGCATCACTGGTATTGCGGGCAAACTCGTGGAAGCTGGAGGCCTTCTTGCTTTTCACAGGCAGCGCATTGGCCTTGGAGCGGTCCTTGATGAAACTGAGAACCAGAGAGAATCACTATCAGAACCATGCTGTTAGATTATTCCATCTTCTTTCCTTCCCTATGCCCTCACTTCAATCAGCCAGCCCCTTTTCCCAATTCCTCTGTTCCTCCTCCCAAACCCAAGGACTATGTTAAGCCTCTCTGGGCTGTCCACTGCCATAAAGCAGAACCTGACATGACGGCAGGGCACACAGGCCACAACTGGCAGCTGGAGAGATGCCAGGCTTCCCAGCCCAGCAGGGCAAAGTGGAGACGCCTACAGCTCCTGTAGCTCCACCACCTCCACCCTACACAAAACAGGTAGATTAGCACCCAAAAAAGGGACTTGCAACCTCGGGAGAGGCATGGCACAGGTCAGACAAAGCTGGTTTGTGCCCTTGGACACCCCTGATACAGCTGCGACTGCTCCCAGCACACCAACCAGCCTGGTTCTCTTCTCAAGCACAGGTGGAGCCTTTGTATTTATCCTCAAGCTACAGGAGTCAAAGTCCAGTGCCTGAAGCGTCACAGAAAGGGGGAACCTTCACCACTATCCAGCATGAGATAGGGACGAGGAAGCAGTTCAGCTCTGCCTTTTCTTGCTGGGAGGCGTGCTGTGGCTCTCCAGCCTCTCAGCAGCCAGGCAGCTTTACCACCCTCCCTTCCCTTAATTCTTCTGTCTCCAAAGGGGAGCAGAGGGTTCAGACACCACTGCTAAAAACTACGCCTGTCTCCTTTGATGTGGCCGGGTTTCTGGCCGTAAAGGGCGTCTGCAGATAAGCTTTCCCTGCAAATTTCTTCAGAGCTCAACACAGCGTCGCACCCCACTGCTGTCCTTCTCCACGGGAGTATCACAGTGTCAGGGGAGGCTGAAGACATCCACCTACTGCAGGACTGAGCCAAAAACCTGCAGTCTTGTGGCCTGCATCTCCAGAAGCTAAGCACTTACTTCTTGGTGAGACGGGGATCCAGAGGAGGATGCTGTGCTCCATATACAGGTTGAATGCTGTAGGAAGGAGAAAGAAAAAGAAATAGAAGACCGTGCAAAAAGCCATGAATAATCTCCCCAACCCAGACTGGGGTCACACTTCTTGCCGGCTGTCAGGAACTGTACACAGACCAAAAGCAGCTTCTACCTGCAAAGCTTTAGCTCCAAAGTGCCACATTCAACTGAAGATTTGCTCTCTGCAGCAGCAAAGAGAAGCCTTGTTTAAACTCTCAGCCTCTCTCCAGCCTGAGCTGGGATTTGTGATCTGCTCTTTTTCTGAGTGACCATGCGTCTCTGTCCCACTGCCTTATATGCTGAGGATCATTCTCCTTTCTAACAAGGGGATTTCTAGGATGCAGAATTCACCCTTCCGAGCCCTGCAGGACAGGGAAGAACTCCAGCCCTGGTGTTGCACACTGGCGCTCCTCCACAATACACCTGAGGGTCTGAACCCCATGCTGGCTCTCAGGCTCATAGCCAGTGCTATGGCGAAGCAGCATCTGGTACAGCACATGGTTTGACGCAGGTCCAAATCCCAGTTTAATCAACCACTTCCTATGCAGTCTGAAATGAGACACCATATCCCAGTCCCTTGGTTCTGCTCCTTGTGGAGTGGGACTGGTGGGACAGGGAGCCCAAGGGCTGCAGGCACTGCATGGGGAGCATCCCCTTGGAGAGGAGCTAGTAGAGGAATGTTCATCACTAGTTTTACAAGCTCTGCGTGTGAGACAGGGATCCTAAGTTATCAGTTCAATTTGGGTAACTATCCACAGCCACCCCATCTTTGGAAAACAAGTCCTCCCCATCCCTGGTACACAAGCACAGTCCCACATCCCACAGCAGAGACAAGGGCCCATTCAGAGCTGGCACACAGTGAACAAGCTCCTCTTGGGTCAACAGAGCTGGCCTGATTTCCAGAAGGTGCAGATGGTGCCCAGCAGTAAAACAAGCAGAGCCCAGCCATGCAGGAGGGAAACAGCAGCCTAGCGCAGCTGGAAAGCACACCGTGAACCAGTTGATGGTAGCGCGGTGGCAGAAACAGGCCCAGCTGGCTAGGGAAAGACACAGAGATCACGGGCAGAGGCTGGAAACAAACATAGCACAGAGAGAGCCTGGTGGTGAAGCCCGGTGAGGGGTGGGCTCTGCTGCAGCAGCCACCCCCCGTGGCTGGAAGCACTAAAAAGGCTCACCATGTTTCCCCACCAGCCATCAAGCCTAGGAAGGAGTTTGCTGACTAATTAGCATCCAGAAGTCAGGACAGCTATTAAGCAGAGGCACCCCCGTGGGTGGGCACAGCAAGCAGATTATCAGGAGTAAGAAAAACAATCTCTCCATGTCAGTGCTGCTTCCCAGTGACTCATGGCAGCTCCTTGCAGGAGAGGAATCAGCAGTCTCTTCGATAGCCAGCTCCAATCTTGCACTGTCTTGTGACAGCAGCCATAGAGCACTGTTCCTCTCTGTGCTGACAGCGGGTGGCCACTTCCAACTCATGTGCAAAAGCCTGAGCTCCACAAGCCAAATGTGTGATATGTGTTAGAGACAGAGGGGGGGATATGGCAGCAGCTCTGGGTGAAGAAACTCCTTCCTCACGCTCTGAAGCAATCCACTGGCTAACGGCTACAGAGAGGGTCCCACCTCCCAGGCAGCTCATTTTGAAGAGCTTGAATGCAAGCTCCCCAAGACAAAGCACCCTGAGCTGATCAAATGTGTTCACACAAGGGGCTGAAGGGGACAGTCTGGTTTCCGGCAGGCTACAGAGCCAGGGCTGAACAACACCATCCTGCGCTGATGAGTTTGAACTGCTGCATGAAGCGGGTTCTCCCCATGTTTGTCCCATCTCTGCCAGTTCTCTGCCAGATTCACCCGTGCAGAGGGTGTAACAGGCTGGACAGGAGGAGTGCAAATGAAGTGTGCAACAGGTCTGTAAGATACATGAGCACATGCAGATAGACGCCAGACAGCAAGCTTGTGCTGTGGTGTCTGTGGTACCCTCGATGCCGGAGCCCACCCCTTCAGCTCACATCCCTGTAGCTGACTCCCAGCAGATCCTACAGCTCCACATTAGCACAACCTACTGAGAACATTGAGGCAAAGGAGCGATCACCAAGTGATGCTCACTAACTTCATTTACTCACTTTTGCCTGGTTTTCCCTGATGCAGCTTGGCTAGATGAATCTGTTGTCTCCAAGCTTAACCCCCTGTCTGAAGTTGGTTTTGCCACACTTTTGCATGGACAGAAAGCTCAGGGCATGAGCTTTCATAAGGGCAGGCATTACACACACACACCACTGGGTCAGGAGCTGATGCTGTGTGGATGAGCCCTCTGTCCTGTCTCATTTGAAGCTCTTTGGACAGGAATTTCTTCTTACCCATATGGTCAGTGCTGGTACAATGCCTGTGGTACCTGCATTATGCTACTCACAAGGAGATCACCACAGGGTGTCAGTTGTTGACACTGCAGCAGAAAGCACATCTGTGAAACCTCAAGTGCCACTTCAGACACAGACCAGATTTACTCCTAGTCAAGTCTGTTTCTCCCCTTTTAAAACAGCATTTAAATACCCCTCACTGGAGCCAGACTGACTGCCTTTCTGAACAGCAGGAAATAACCCATCACACAGGATAACACACTAGAGCAACCTGCCACCACATCCCTAGAGAATTACTGGGGTGACAATTCCCAATGCAAAAACTACAGGACAGTACTGAAAATGTAAAAGGACATTTACTGCTTCTGCCATGCTAAATCTACCGGGAAAAAGCCCCAACTAAAAGCTAATACAACCAAGTGACCAAATGTACAAAGTGGCATGGAAAAGGAAGTTAACACAGTTTCCAAATCTTGACGAAGCCTCCCTCTGCCTGCTTGTCAAGGCAGAGGAAGAAGAGAGGCAAGAATCTGTACGGGAAGGTCTCTTAAACCTCATATAAAACAGAAAGGGAGCTTTACATCTAGCACTTATGGATGCAAGCATGTCCCACCTCCACCTTTGGCTGCTGTGTTGCCCAAAATCTGTCAGTAATCATCCCAGGAATGCACAGGGCATTTATTTAGAGGTCGTGAGAAGGCTCCTGAACAGCAGGATAGCTGCTACGCAGCCAGCCAGGAACAGGGGAGAACTCTGCCAAAAACCTGACATCGCAGTCTATTGTCTAGGCAGGACCAGCTGCCTCCCAGACCGGTTCACCTGGTTTGAGCTCTCCAAGCCAAAGCTCCAAGTCACTGACTGCAGGAGTGAGCTGCTGTCCAAGACTATGAGCTGGAAACACGGCTGTGACCTCGAGTAAGAGATGTGAGCAATCAGGAAGCCAAATCACCCAGGAAGAGCACAGCATTTTCTTCCCCCATGAGCAGAAGAGGAGGAACATGTAGTGCTTGTTGCTTTCTCTTTGCTTGCCACAGACCTGGATTGTCCCACTAACCTGAGGGAGCCAGCCACTGCAGTGACAAAGAACTGAATGACAGCACATCAGGAAGAGAAAATTAACTTGCCCAGCAGGATTTAAAGCCAACTAAGCATTTCAAATTGCATCCACACACCAGAAGGGGACGGGCAGGGTGCAGATAAGGCAAATGAGAGGAAAACACGAGGTGCACTCGATGGCAACAGCACTTGTGAAAGCCTCCTCAGAGGGCTGGATGCCCTCTCCCCATGGTAGCCTTGCTGGCTGGTTGCCCGCTCCCCTAAGACTGTAGGGAGAATCTCCTTCATCAGCACCAGCCTCTTCTTCCTAAACACCACCTGAATCAGACATTTCACTTGTTTCTCCCATCCCCGGGAGAGCGCAGGTGCCTTGACAGGAAGCAGAACATCACAGCCAAAGGAACTGAAGCAGGAGGGGGCACACAAAAAGAGGTCCCACAGTCTCCAGTGCTGAGCAGAGGTGGGCCAGGAGTGACACTGCATAGGAGAGGTCAAGGGAGGGACATGTGCATTGGCAAAGGCACCTTTCTGGGACAGAGCTGCTGTCACCCAAGGTGACACCTCTAAGGGCTTCAAGAAGGGCCGTGATTCCTTCAATACCTGTGGAAATGAGGAAGGTACAACCTGGCCCGAGGCCACCTCATGGGGGCCTTCGAGGGCCTGACCCCCTTCCCCCTGCAGGCAGGGATCCCCACAGCCCCCTACACGAGGGGCAATCCTGAAGCTACCCTTGTTCCCTATACAGTGGGACTTCTGCCAGCAGCAATACTCTGCCCCATAGCCTGGGGGAGGGGAGGTGTGTGTGGAGGGCTGGTATCGTCCCCGTTGCAGGGGGAAAGTCGGGGTCCCCCAGCCAGCTCCCCTGCCCCATACCAGGGTGACATCCCTGTAACCCCCCCTTGCAGGGGTAACGCGGCCCATGACAGCCAGTTCCCAAGGCAGAGAGGCCGCTCCCGCTCCCCCACCCAACGCCCCGCAGGTGGGCCCCTGCGCCCCTTCCCGGGGCTGAACCGGCCGGGCCGGGTGTCCGCGCTCACCTGCCCGGCAGCTTGGCGCTCCGCTTCCAGAACTGCCTGCCGCTCTCGGCCGCCATGGCGGAAGGGAGGGGCGGGCCCGGCCGGCCAGCCAGCGAGCAAGCGAGCCCACCGGCCGGCCGGCCCCGCGGCGCAGCGGCAAAGCGCGACGGAAGGTGGCGGCCTCCCGCAGGCCGCCTCAGCGCCGCCCGCCCTCAGCCCCCGGCGGCGCCATCTTGGGTCCCGGAGGAGAAAGCGCCGCCATTGGCCGCTTCGGGCAAGGCGTTGAGGAGCGGCCAATCGTGAGAGGGAGGGGGAATGACGTCTCTGAGGAGGTGGGGTCTGCAAGGCTGGCGGGGAGGCTGTGTGCGGCGGGAGAGACCATCCAGGAGGGAGGGAGGAGGGGATAAACCATCTTGTCCCGTGCGGAGGGAGAGGGAGCGAACCGCTATCACCGAGGGGAATGGAAAGCGGCGCTGAGGCGGTGGAGGGAGGGGGCAGAGGGACCGCGAAGAGGCCAGGGCGGGAAAAGTTAAACAGCCCGTGCGCCCTGGGGAACGGGAAAGACCATTCACGCTGCGGGGGGGAAGGGGGGACACGCCCAGCAACCGCTTGGGCGAAACCATCGGGTAGGGTGGAGGGGAGGAGAAAGCTGGGGGAAGGCGGTGCGCTGAGCCCTGCACGGGGCGGGAAGCAGCTTAGAGCTGCTGCAGGAAACCACACCTCCGCCAGGCTGCTGACAGGAACACTACGGAGCTGGGGGCAGACACAGGACAGGCTCCACACCTCCGAGGCTGCTGAACACACACGGAGCCACACGGACTCTGGGCACAGGAAGCTGGGAAGATCCAAATGGAAAACCAGGGGATCAGCAGCTGCAGGAGCAAGGCGCGGGTTGGAAACCCATGGGAATTATAAATAAATAAATAACTTTGCCCACCGGCTAGAACTCTTTAAAAAAAAACAAAACAACAAATTCATGAAAATAAGTTAAAAACCAAACCTGGAGCAACAAGAAAAAAGGTCAATTCTTAGCACTATTAACAACTGTACAACAGACTTTGCTCCTCTCTGACTTTGTCCATATTTACAGCTCTGTTGGTTTGCATTGTTTGTGCATTCATGAGGGCACAGAGAAGCAAGGAACCCCAGACAAATCCACGTGAGATGGAGGCACAGGAGGCATCGCCCGGCTGGGCTCCCGCTGTCCTCTGAGCTCCTTGGCAAGGAGCTGTACATCCAGGTGAGTCTCGGAAAAGCACCAGAGTAGGAAAATTCAAGTATTTCCTCCAGCACAGCCCAGGTGGCAACTGAAGGCACTCAAGCAGGGGGACAGAGGAGAAGAGGCACGACCCTGGACCTGCCCCCCGCCATCAGTTCTTCCCTGTTGAAGCTTTTCTCACAAGAAGGTCCCTGTTCCTCTTGTGTTCCTGAATCCAGCAGGTCAGGAGACACCTGGGAGCCTCCAAACCCAGAAACAGAAACAAAACAAAGAAAACAAAACAACAACAAAAAACGAAACACAAGAACTACACCCAACCCCCCAACCCAGCTCCCTGATAAAACCCACCCCCCAAAAAGCCCAAATTGCCCAAAATCCCAGACCTCCCTAAAAAAACAGCCAACCCCAAAACTCTACCCCAGTCCCCCTGAAACCCAAACTGGACAAAGCCAAACCCTGATCCCCCCCAGAAAACAAACCAGAACAAACCAAACCAAAGCAAACTAAACGGAACAACACAAAGTCCAGGGCAGCCGGGCCAGATGGCGGCCACTGGTGCTTGGAAGACGAGGTCCAGGACAAGCTGTGCGAGGTGCATCTGAGGATCCTTGCTCAGTTCTGTGCTCACCAGGACAAGTCTGGGATTCTTTGCTGCTTCTGGCCAGGAGCTGCCTGAAGCTGTCACTTGCCAGGCTCCTGGATGAGGCTGTGCAGGTGGATGTCGGCTGTCTCCTGGGGCAGGTGAAGGGCTTGCAGCCACGTGTGGTTGAAAATGTCTTCCAGGGATGGTCTGTCGGAAGCGTGCAGGGGTAAACACCACCAGATGAGGTGCTGGCACTCTGGGGAGAGAACCGGGACCTGCCGTGAGTCACAGGAGGCTCCTGTCCACCTGTCCGCAGTGCTCAGGAGGTGCTGGGTGTGCTCAGAGCTGCACCCAAACCTTGTGCTCTGTGATGTGTGCTTGAGAAGAGCAGGATCCCCACCATGATGTCCTCATCAGCTGACCAAGGCAGACCATGTCATACAGCAGCACTCCCAGTGACCAGATGGCCGCTGGTGGCCGTGGTAGCCTCCCAAACCCCGTTCTCCCCTGTGCTGTGAGGCTGGGTTCCTATGGGATACAGAGCACAGCTCAGCGGGAGGATGCATCCCTGGGATGGCATGATGTCCTGCATCGTGGCCCCAAGGGGACACACACACCGTGTCACCCGTTCCATGTCATAAAGCAGCACGCCCAGTGACCAGATGGCCGTTGGATGGCCATGGTAGCGCACCCACTCTGGTGGACTGTACACACCTGAGAAATCATCATAACAAGGTACAGGCACAGGGAGCAGGAGGAGCAGCACTTCCATGCCTGCAAACCCAACCGGCCCCAGCATCCCCAGGGGCAGGGTGGGGTTGCACTGGTGGTCCCACACCAAAAAGCAGGTCGGCAGCTGCTGGAGAATGAACTCCCCCTCCAGCAAAGCAGGGAACTGCCGGTGCCCAGCCAAGCTGAGCCCTGCACTGCCCGGGACCAGGAGCATCCCCCCAGCTCCGGGCTCACCGTCAAATTCGGTGTAGGCTGTGTCCTTGAGGAAGGTGCTGGAGGCAAAGTCGATGAGCTTGAGCTCTCCGGTGGACAGGTTGATGATGATGTTCTCGTCCTTGATGTCTCGGTGCACGACGCCGCAGCTGTGGCAGTGTCGCACAGCCTCCAGCACCTGGAGGAACAGCCCCCGCGCCAGGTCCTCAGGCAGGAACCTTCGCTCCGTGATGAAGTCAAACAGATCCTGCGACGGCTCCGGACGCTCCAGCACCAGCACGAAGCTGTCGGGCAGCTCAAACCAGTCCAGGAGGTGGATGATGGCGCTGCAGCCAGAGCCCACCTTCTTCAGCATGGCTATCTCCATTGGTACTCGAGTGCCGTTGGGCTGCGGGGGGCCCATGATGCCATCAGCTGGGCTGATGCTGCACCAGGGGCCTGGTGCCCCCTGCCCTGCGGTTGCTGCTGTTTTGCCCTGCCTGGCCCCACTGGTACTGGGCATCCTGCAACCTGGGGAAAGCTCCACTGTCCCCCTGCCCGGCCCCTACTGTGCTTGGGCATTTCCTGGTCCAAGGGATACTCTGGTACTCTCCTGCCCAGCCCCACCAGTGCCAGGCATCCCCCAACCAGGGGAAAGCTCGGCTGTCCACCAGCATAGCCCCAACGGTGCTTGGGCGTCCCCCAGTCCAGCGGATGCTCCAGTGCCCTCCTGCCTGGCCACAACAAGTACCGTGCTCCCCTAGCACGAGGATGCTCCGGTGCCGCCCTGCTCGGTCCCATCGGTACCGGGCATCCCCCACCCGGCTGCTCCGCCTTCCCCGGTGACTCCCGGTTTCCCCTCCCGCTGTCCCGGTGGTCCCGCACTCACCAGCTCGCCCCACGAGGAGATGCGGTCCCGAGCCACGTGTTTGATCGCCACCTGCAAGCCAAGGGCAGCGTTGGGCTGAGCTGGCCCCCGCCGCGCCGCCTCCCCCCGCCCCACCACCGGCCCCGCCACTTACCGGGGCGCTGTCGGACAGGCGGACCCCCGAGTACACGGACCCGAAGCCGCCGCTCCCCAGCAGCGGTCCCACGCGGTAAAGCCGCTCCAGGGGCTCCTTCTCCTTCCCTGCGCGCCAGACGCGGCCGTTACCGCTGCAGCCGGGGCTCCAACCGGCCCCTACCCGCCGCCCCGGGCCGAGCGGAGCCGGGCAGTTACCGCCCTTACCCGCTTGCAGCTTCGCGGCGTGCAGCTCCCCGCCGGTCCCGGAGCGCAGATGGGCCAACGAGCTAATTTTCGAGAGCAGCATCCCGGTCCCCTCGCCCGACCAGGGCCGGTCCCGGCACCTCCGCAGCCGCACCGGGCTCCGGTGGCTCGGAGCCGGCAGTCGCGGTGCCGAGCGGCCGGGGCCGGGCGGGGCAGCCCCGGGGCGGAGGCGGCCGCGGCGGCTGCGGGGCGGGGAGGGAGCGGCCGCGGCCCGGCTGCTCCGCGCGGCGCCGGGCCCCGTGTGTGGCGGGTGCTGCCGCGCCACAGCCAGCGGCGGGGCCCGCCCAGCGCCGCCACTGCCGGGAGCGGGAGAGCGGAGCGGCGCGGGAGCCCCGCGGGGTGGCGGGAGGAGCCCCGGCGCTGGGGGCACCGGGGAGGCACCGGCTGCGGGCCGCGTCCCCGCTCTCAGCGGCATCACCCCCGCGACCGAGCCGTGGCGCTTCCTGTCCGAGCCCTCCTTGAGGAGCTCGTTCCTCACGTTATCCCTTTTCCCTGCAGCCGCGCCGCTCGCCAGCGGTGCCCGGCCTTTCCCGGCCCCCATCCCGCCCGCTCCCCCCGCGCCGCCGTTACTTCATCGCGGGCAAACGAGTGTCTAAACTTTTCCCTTTTCTAGTAAAAGTGCCGATGCCAGCTGGGACTCTTGTCTATCAACGCGGTTTTCCCTGTTTTCCTCCGCAGAAGTCGCTGGCTGAGATGCTTTCCCGAGTTCCAGAGATAAGATAAATAATTTACTGGATGGAGGTCTCTGATTACTCACTCTATTAGCATTTAGAGCAAAGAGCTCCAGCCACCGGGAGCTGAATTATTCCAGACGAAGCCCATCTGGACTCTCTCGCCCGAATGAAACCGAGGAGTTCCCAGCATCCCACACATACTTGTGGGATGAATTGCTTGAAATCGAATGGGATTTACTGGAAACGCTGGTGAGCTCCTGTCTCCTTTAGTATTTCTTGAAAGAAAAATAAAGAATAAAACACAACCAAAAAGTAACCCCCAAAGTGGTGCCTGGAGCTGTGGCTCAGCTCGCACACCAGCCAGGAAGCGCTCGCCACCGCTGTTGCCTCCTTTAGATTTACCAGGAACGCAGCACATCCTCTTTCAGGAGCTGAGACAACCAAAAACCTAAAACCTGAAAAACCTACATTGTTTTTTACTCAGAAGGTGGCATTTGATTTTGGCGAAAAGTTTGGAAAATCTGACCCTGCACCCTTCATCCTTTTTTTAAACTTTTTTTTTATTTTCCCCTATTTATTTTTATGTATGTTATTGTTGTTATTTGGGGTGATGCAAGTTGAGGGTGGAGGAGAGGGGCGGGCAGGGCCTTTCTCCTGCCTTATTCCCACCCAGCACCCAGGCATATTTGGGACAACTGGTTCTGCCAGTCAGTGCTCACCCATGGGACGGACGGGGTGACTTAGCATCTGGCCCCAAACCCATTATCAAGTTCTTTGCCAGGATGATGAAAGGTAAGGATGGGGCTGCCCTGGAAACCCAGCTCTTTATTGACAAACAAAGCTCACCCGGAGCTGCTGGGCCTTCCTGGGGGTTGCTTTCCCCTGACCTCCTTGGGAGGTGTAGCCTTGTCCTCACTCTGCCCCAACCTGCTCATTAGCGTGGATGGGAGCAGCGTGTCTTGCAGCCTGGATGAGCTGGGGCCAGATCATCCTTGTGCGGAAACCTGCCCATTGCCTTGGGGGGCTGAGTCAGCAGGACTCTTCCTGCCCGTGCCCAGGGGTTGCATCCCTCCTAGGTTAGGGAAAACCCCCATCTTGGAGGTGATGGGGAGACATTTCTCCATGCCCTGGCCATGCAGAGATGGGATGTGGCCCCATTTCCCACCCAAATCCATCTCTCTCCAGAATAACCCATCCCTGTTACCCAGATGACCCCAATCCGGGGCTAGAAGCCATCTTTTCCCCCCAGGCCCATCCCACGTACTCACCTTTCCCCTCCCAACCCGGGTGAGGCCATTGGGATGTGTCAGGCATTCAAACTAACATGAAACAAACCCCATCCTGCTGGCTACCTGCTTTGCCCTTGTCCATAGGGATCACCTCTTCTCCCAGCCCTCTTCCTCCAGGATGAAAGCCACCAAAGATGGATGCAGAAGAGGAGCCTGTGTCTTTTAGCACTTGCATGGACACATGGATGTCTGAGCAGAACAACAGGTCTTTCAGCATCCCTGATCCAGGCTCTCTTCCCACCCTTGGGTCAAACCCAAGGCTTGACCCCCAGGGAGCAGTTTGCAGCTCAGAGGAGGTGGCATAAGTCTTGCAGGGAGTTAAAACCCAAGTGCAGGACCGTGCCTGGGAAGAAGCAGGACCCCCGGGTGGCACATGGAGCTGGTGGCAGGTCTGCAGGAAAGGAGCTTCCAGCAGACATCAAAAGATCAGTTCTCAGCCCTGCAAACAATCCTGGCAGCTTTGGGGCTCTTCAGTGGCATTCCAGTCTAACCGGGGCTGCCTTGCATGATAATCAGGCTTAATTACTGCTTTATCGCTTGATTGCTGTGCTGGGCCCTTGGAGCTGCTGTGTTGCTTTCCCAGTTTACTTTCTGTACTTCCTCCCCCTCGCCTTCCCCGCCAGCACAATTAGCAAAGAGGTGAAAATGGGGAGGGCCAGGGTATCACACCCAGGGGGTGGAGAGGGAAGATTCGCTGCCCAGGAGTCCCTGGGGTGGAGGGGTGGTAAAGTTGCAGCTCGTGGAGAGTTAAAACTGCAAACAAAACAGCAAGGTCAATGCCAAGCCATGAGCACAACCCCACATCAGCCACACGAGCACCCCCCTCCAGATGGGACAGCATCCCTGGAGGAGGGAGGGGAGGACCGTGGGGCTATTAAAGCCATGACACAGAAAGGCTGTGGTTTTCCAAGCATGAGCTTTGAGTCACTGCATGACCTTGGCTGGGTCTGCTCGTGGCTCGCTGGGCTCGGGCGCCCGCAGAACCGGCTGGGCCAGGGCGTGGGGCGTGAGGAACCTGCTGGTGCTCAGGGAAAGCGTGAAGCTTCCTCAGCCAAGATGCTCCCACCTACATGTGGTGAGCAAGCCCCTGCCACACCGGCGAGGAAGCGGGCGCTGCCCTCAGCCAGGCCCTGGGTGCTGCGGTTGGGACACCCCAATGTGCTGTCACCCGCTTGAAGTCACCTCTATGGAGGTGACAAGGTGCCCTCGTGTCCCAGTGGTGGCTTTATAAGCGCAATAAAATGGGTGTTCATCCCTCAGCATCATCGTGGTGCGGGTGGTGGGCATCAACCTGCAGCATGCAGCCGATCCTGGGGTGCTAGGAGGTGCTGGTGCTCTCCCCAGCCATGGATTGAGATCATGGATGCTGGGGGCCAGGGCAGCTGCAAGGTGTTGATTCCCCTCCCCATCTGGGTCCTTGTGGTCACCCCTAACCCATCTGAGCCCCCAGAGCAGCAGTGACAGCTTGGGAACCCCATATCCCATCCTGGGGCTGGAGTCACCTAAGGACAGGGAAGGGGAAGGTCCTCACTGATGTGCTGGAGCACTTGATAAAGCCCCTAAACCATGACCCAGTCCTGGCCTTTGGGTGCCAATCCCTGCTGGTTTAGGAAGGCGATGGGACCTGCGAGCAGGGCAGGAGGTGCAGGGACCCATCCTGCTCCCTGGGGCGAGCAGACCTGAGGATTTCTTCTTCTTAATTTCAACTTCTTTTTGTATGTTGGCTTTTTTAGCGCGGGCTTTTGGGGCGAGGTGCGCGGGGAGGCGGCAGCATGGCTAATGTGCTTTGTGAATGGAGCTGCACGGGGGGCGGCCGAGGGGATGGGGAGGTGGAGGGAGCCACATATTTGGGATTCCTTCATCTGGGTGGGCTCCTTCTCCCCAGACTCTCAGGATGTGGGAAATGGAAGATGAAAGGAGCTGCATTTCCAGCCTCTCGGGTTACAATGTCTAAAGCAGAAAAGGGTGGTTGGGGGAAAAAAAGGAGAGGGAAGGCGGGGGGGGGGGGGGGCTGGATTGGGATGCTACAGGGAAACCTGGGTTGGGAAATGGCCCGGGTAGGTTGGGGCAGAGAAGGGGGCGGCTGGGGCCGAGCCGCTCGTGTTTCACATCACGTCAGGGCTGAGGAATTTCCTCTGCTCTGGGGGTGCCTCGCAGAGAAAAAGGGGGAGGCTTTTAGGTTAGCTGGGGATGAATAATAGCCAAGAGGCGAGGGATTAAAGTGTTACCCAGGGGCTGCTGTTTACAAGCAAACCCCTTTGCAGAGCAAAAGGGCAAAGAGGGATTCATGGGGGTGAAGGTGGGGATCCCACCATGTGTCACCCACGTCCCTTCCCCATGAGCACAGAGGCGATTGCCCCCTGCTCCCCTGAGCTTTCCCCCCACATCCCCTCTGCAGCGAGGTCCCAGCAGCCAGTGTGTCCTGGGGTGTCTCCTGCATGCACGGGGTGTCCTGGCTTCCCCGCTCTGTCCTCCCGTGGCCCCAAGAGGTTTCCCATCCTTCCCATTCCCCTGAGCTGCAGCTGCCCGGATCATCCCTGTGCACAGGCAGGAAAATCCTCTTCCCCAAGAGGGCAGGGAAAGGGGCAGCCAGAAACACAGGGCTCTGTGAGGGGGCCAGGGCTCAGTACTAAGCCTGGGCTCAGGTTTTGTACCTTGCTGGGTGATGGGAGCAGCCTCCAGACCTGGCATCACCCTCTGGCATCATCCCAAGCATCTCCTGAGCCAAGCCCAGGTTTTGTCCCAAAACTGTTCATTTTCATTTCCCCTTCATTGCTCTTTTGGGTGATGCAAGGTCAAGGTGGGGAGGAGGGGAGGGAAACGCTGTTTTCCTGTGTTATTCCCTGTTATCCTCCATCTCTGATCTGACAGCTGGGAAGAGACTGTCACAGCATGGAAGTGCAGCACCCAGACTGGTCCAAAGGATGCTGCAGGATCAGACCATGCCAGCACGTGCTGCAGCAACGGGGCTCCTCTTCCAGGGACTGTATGCTAGGGACAGGCTGTCCTCCCTGATTTAGCCCAGGAAAACTGAGGCAGGAGGAGGGGGGCTGGAGATGGGCCTATTCCACCCCAAAAAGGGGATGAAAGGGCAAAAAAAGGATTTGCAAGCCAAGGAAGATGTGGATGGGATCAACCCAAGTGCTGCCTATGGCTATACCAGGGAGGACCCTGCACCCAAGGGAGACCCCTGACTGTGCCTAGGGGCTCAGGATCTGGCCCCATGACCATGGGCTGGCAGCACTTGGGGAACACAAGCTGTATGTACACCCAA